GTGACCTTAGCGCAAGCAACGTGACTGGCAATTTCCCAAGGCTCAAGGGTCCCTTTTCGTTTGACATTGCTGCTGTCATCTTCCTCAAGACGCTGTGAGTCCACCCACAAGAACCAACTGCGCTGCGAGTCTGTCTTTCTCATTAGTATCAAATTACTGAGATCATGATTATTCAGATGCTTGAATATGCTGCTGTCATTTTCCTCAAGTCTCACGCTCCCTTTACTTGTTGGCACTACTCCGTCGAAAGCCGTCCTCCCTTTTTATGCGTTTCCTGCTTCTCTCCCCACGTCTCACTCCCCTTCTCCTACTCCCTTTTCCCCACGTCCTGTTCGACCACTAACTTCCACCCACATACTCTCATATCTCTCCATCCCCACTGCCCACTCCCTCGCTCCCCACTCCCTCACTCCCCACTCTCCTCTCCACTCCCCCACTCCACCTGTTTCCCCTCTCTGCGTGATTCCCTACTTCGCCACCATGGCCTTCCCAACATGGCCTTCCCACCATGGCCTACCCACCATGGCGTCGCCCGGAGCAGCAATCTTGCAGGAAACCTACTGCATGGCCCATTTGTGAGTCACTAGGACAGCGTTTGGCATCAAAGCACATGGGCGCCTCACGCAATGTTCTGCCTTTCTGCGATGCTGCGCCTTTAGTGAGTTGGAACAAATTCCATTGCTGCGCCGAAGCAATCAGTAGCCTTTAGGCAATCATCCTCTCCTTATGTTCTCCTGTTCTCCCACTACCCCTCCTTTGCTCCTCTCCTTATTCCTCCCCTCCTTCCCTTCCTGTCCTCCTCCTGCCTAATCCGTTCCTCCCACCCATTCCTCCCTGCACTCCCCCCCCCCCACCAATCCCCCTCTACCAGCCAAGTGAGTTGGCGCTCTCGCCCAGCCTCGCCTCTCTCAACGTGGCAAACAACAGCCTCACAGGGCGCCTGTCTGAGGACCTCTGTAACCTCAACCTCACCTGCGTGTGAGTGCAGTCCTGTCTCACTGGGAGTGCCGCCTTGCTTTGCTGTGAGCCATTGTGCTGTGCTGTACTGGCTTGTGGGTGAACTCACACAACAGCCTCACAGGGCGTCTGTCCGAAGACCTCTGTAACCTCAACCTCACCTGCGTGTGAGTGCAGTCCTGTCTCACTGGGAGTGCCGCCTTGCTTTGCTGTGAGCCATTGTGCTGTGCTGTACTGGCTTGTGGGTGAACTCACACAACAGCCTCACAGGGCGTCTGTCCGAAGACCTCTGTAACCTCAACCTCACCTGCGTGTGAGTGCAGTCCTGTCTCACTGGGAGTGCCGCCTTGCTTTGCTGTGAGCCATTGTGCTGTGCTGTACTGGCTTGTGGGTGAACTCACACAACAGCCTCACAGGGCGTCTGTCCGAAGACCTCTGTAACCTCAACCTCACCTGCGTGTGAGTGCACTCTTGCCTTGCTGTTAGTGTCACCTTACCTGCTCTGGCTGTCTTCTCCTGACAGCGGTCGTAGCACCAAGTGCATTACATTGAGCGAGCCACGTTGGTTTTTCAGAATTCTCAGAAAACAGCTGGCCTGGCTGTCTTCTCCTCTCCTGACAGCGGTCGTGGCACGAAGTGCATTACATCGAGTGAGCCAAGTGGTTTCTGAGTGGACTCAAGCAACAGCCTCACAGGGCGACGGTCTGAGGTCCTTTGCAACCTCGACCTCTACTCCTCGTCTCTTCCCCTCTTCACCCCACACACAACCTCTTCTCTGTTTCTCCCCACACGCACCCCTCTTCTCCCTCCGCCTCCCACTTTTCTCCCCTCCCAGCAACATGATGGGCAACCGTCTCCGTGGGCCCATCTCCTCGTGCTGGACATGTGTGTTTTGAGTCGACTCAAAATACCCTTCTTCTATTCCACACACCCCCTACTTCGTTGTGCCCACTCCCTTGTCTCTTCCCCCAGCAACGTGATGGGCAACCCTCTCCGCGGTCCCATCCCCTCGTGCTGGAGGAACTTCACATGCCTTGAGTACGCCATGCCATACCGTACCATGCCATATCATGCCGTGACACCCTACCATGCATACCATGCCATGCCATGCCGTGCCATGCCATGCCATGCCATGCCATGCCATGCCATGAGTGCATATGCGCGCACTTCCTTCAATAGAGTTTTTGGCCCGCACCTGCACGTACGATTCTCACTGTAACTTGTGCTCAATGAATGGATATAACCTATGTGCGTTCACACCCTGCCCACACCGTGCCTATACCAACCATTATCTTACTCTCATTCTTGGCCCCTGCAATCTCTCCCCCCTTCCCCCCCGCCTCCCCCCACGCCTCTCTTCCACCTCCCTCCCATTGCCTCTCTCCCTGCAGCTTTGCAAACACCAGCCTCCTGGTTGTTCCCAACGAAACATGTCGCGATGGTGAGCTTATAACGAATCTTGAGGTGATGATAAGCTTATGACAAAACGTGCCAACATGGTGAGGTGAGCTTATAACAAGTCGTGCCCTGAACGTGAGTCTGCAACGAGACAGGGTTGGTAAAGAGTGAATAGTGTCTGGAATGGTGAGCTAGTAAAGAGAAATTCCTGGATGGTAATCACTACATTTTTTTACGTCAGGAAATATGTGTTTTGCGTGCGACGGTACGCGTGCGAACTATACGCTATATGTGTTTTGTGTTTTACGTACGCGATACGCTGATTTCCCACGCATGTTGCTGGCGAAGCACCCTTTCCCGCAGGTAGCAATACGTCTCAAACACATCCCTTTTCCTCTCCGCTCTCCCGTTTCCACCCTCTCAACTGTCCTACCTTTTCCCCAGTCCCCTACCACAGCTGCAACCCGCCCCTCGCCGTAGCGGTGGGCCCCCGGCAGCAGCAGCCTCCTCTGTCAACGTCGTTGCCATCATCTGTGGCGTCGTGGGGGGTGCGGCATTCATTGCACTGCTGATTGCTGGAGCCATGCTGCTGATATGAAGCACTTTTCTTTTTCCTCTCTTCCCACCACCTGTTCTCCCCCTTCTTCCCCCAGTCCCCTACCACAGCTGCAACCCGCCCCTCGCCGTAGCGGTGGCCCCCCCATCAGCAGCAGCCTCCTCTGTCAACGTCGTTGCCATCATCTGTGGCGTCGTGGGGGGTGCTGCGCTCATTGCGCTGCTGATTGCGGGGGCGATGGTGGTGATGAAGCACATTGAACGGAAGCGCAGGGAGGAGGAGGAGCGGCGCCTAGAGCAGGATCTGGAGAGTGAGTGATGATGGGGGGGGAAGGGGTGTTTGCGGAGGCTTGAATGATAAAGGGGGTTGGCCTTGTTCCCTCCTTTTAGCAGCTCTGCTTACTGCCAATTGCTCTCCATATTTCGTCTGCCACGTTCTCCAATTTGAAACAGCCCAGATCTGAGGTGCTTTCTAGCAAACGAGCTGAAAAGTGGCCACCAATGGCCTTCATGATCCCTTTCCTCTCCAAATATCTCCCTTCACCCTCACTCTCTCCTTCACTCTCTTGCTCACTTTCGCTCACTCTCTCCCTCACCCTCTCCCTCACCCGCTCCCTCACTCTCGCCCTCCTGTTCCCAGCAGCCCAGTTCTCTTCGTGTTACTTTGCAATTCTGAGACGCTTCACCTCAGAGGAGCTGAAGAAGGCCACTAACGGGTTTGATGAGGACTATGTGCTGGGCGAGGGGAGGAGAGTTCCGATGCACTAGCCAGCCCAGCTCCCCTCATCGCGTCTCCCCTCTACCCCCACTCTCTCTCTCCCTCCTCTCTCCCCACTGCTCCCAGCAGCCCAAATCTCATCTCGCCGCTTTTGAACCCGTGGCGGTTCACCTGAGAGGAGCTCAACAAGGCAACAAATGGGTTTCATCATCTGCCCCCCTGATTCCCTTCTCCCTGCTTCCCACACTCCCACACCTTCTCCACTGCAGCCCAAATCTCATCGCGCCACTTCGGAACCCTGAGACGCTTCACCTCAGAGGAGCTGAAGAAGGCCACCAACGGGTTTGATGAGGACTATGTGCTGGGCGAGGGCGGGTTCAGCAAGGTGTACAAGGGCAAGCTGGAGGACGGCAAGTTCGTTGCTATCAAAAGGATTAAGGTGAGTGGGGAACGGTGGTGTGCGGTGCTGTGAGGTGAAATAGGTTGTTAAATAGGTCACCAACGGGTTTGATGAGGACTATGTGCTGGGCGAGGGCGGGTTCAGCAAGGTGTATAAGGGCAAGCTGGAGGATGGGAAGTTCGTTGCCATCAAGAGGATCAAGGTGAGGAGCGGTGGTGTGCGGTTATGTGCGGTGATGTGTGGTGATGTGCGGTGGTCTGTGGTGATGTGGCGTGATGAAGAAGGCCACCAACGGGTTTGACAACACTGGGCGAGGGAGGCTCCGGCAAGCTGGAGGATGGCAAGTTCGTGGCGATTAAGGTGCAAAAGAGTTGGGGGAGGTGGGAAGCGGTTATGTGCGGTGATGTGGGTTGATGAAGTTTTGGAGCTGTGGTATTGGCTTGCTGGGCGAGGGCGGGTTCAGCAAGGTGTACAAGGGCAAGCTGGAGGACGGCAAGCTCGTTGCGATCAAGAGGATCAAGGTGGGTGGGTCTCAAAAGCACCACAGCCTCACCTTTGCCGAGGGATTCTGGTCGGCCATGCCAGGCTTTTTACTCGAGCCAAAAATCGCCTCGAAAGTCGACTCGAAAATTGCCTCAAAGGCACCGTGCAACCTCACTCGTGCAGAGGGCTTCTGGTCGGTCGTGCCAGAGAGGTCTTTTGAGGGCTTCTTGTCGTCAAAAGTCACCTCACTCAAAAGTCACCAGGGAGGTCTTCTTGTCGTCCCTTATCTTTCTCCCTTTCCTGATTTCCGTTTTTTCTCAGGACGAGAAGCGCGCTGGTGGCGAGCTGCAGTTCCTATCAGAGGTGGAGATGATCAGCCGGGCCGTGCACCGCAACCTCATTCGTGCCGAGGGCTTTCGAGTGGCCAGGGCCTTGCTCTCTTTCAGCCTTGTTCTCTGCCTTCCCAACCTCTGCTGCTAACCACAGGATGAGAAGAGGGCGGGTGGCGAGCTGCAGTTCCTATCAGAGTTGGAGATGATCAGCCGGGCCGTCCACCGCAACCTCGTTCGTGCCGAGGGCTTCTGTGTGGGGGGGGGCAAAGGGGGTTCCCTCATGCACCATTGCCTTCCTCTCTTTGCCTCTTTCTGTTCTCCGTTTCCTTACAGGATGAGAAGCGCGCAGGTGGCGAGCTGCAGTTCCTATCAGAGGTGGAGATGATCAGCCGGGCAGTGCACCGCAACCTCATCCGTGCCGAGGGATTCTGTGTGGAGCGCGGCGAGTGCATGCTCGTGCTGCCGTTTTGCTCCAATGGCTCTGTTGCCTCGCGCACTCAGGGTGAGTAAAGGGTCGGGCTGGGTTCAGAGCGGTGCAGCTGGGTGGGAGGTGCATTCGTGCAAGGGGCTTCTGTGTGGAGTGGGGCGAAGGCATGCTCGTGTTGCCCTTCTGCTCCAACGGCAATGTTGCCTGTGTCAAAGCTCCACCTCTTTTCCAGAACCATGACACACGTTCAGAAATGGGAGGTTGACTTGTGGGAGTGAGCATGATTGTGAAAATTGACTGTAAGCATTCTGCAAAATGAAACCACCAGCAGGAAAGGGGTGTTCCGAGAATTGAACTCGGGACCTCTCGCACCCTAAGCGAGAATCATGCCACTAGACCAAACACCCACACTAGATGTCATGGGGAGAAGCACAGAGGTTTGCACCACCCACTTCCACCCCATTTCCTCCCATCCCTTCTTGGTCCGTTCTTGCTCGCCAGGCAAGGAGGGTAACCCCATGGACTGGCCTACGCGCATGAAGGTGGCCCGTGGCGCAGCGGAGGGGATAGGCTATCTGCACACGGACTGCAAGCCGAAGCTGGTGCACCGCGACATCAAGGTAGGTACCAAGTCTGTTTGCGTGGGTTTTGGTTCATAGACTTGTGCAGCGGAGGGTATAGCGATGCTAAAGAAAGCCCTCGCAACTCTCTCTACTCACCCCCTACCCATCCCCTGCCCATCTGCCAGGCTGCCAACGTGCTTTTGGATGAGAACGACGAGGCGGTGATTGCGGACTTTGGGCTGGCCAAGGAGATGGGCGTGCATGAGATGAGAGCCATACGGCCGCTGTATTCTTCCCCTGCTCGTTCCCTGCTCTATACCCTCCCGTTCCCCTTCCCACCAGGCTGCAAATGTGCTGCTGGATGAGAACGACGAGGCAGTGATTGCAGACTTCGGTCTTGCCAAGGAGATGGACGTGAATGAGACGCATGCCACCACGGCTGTCAAGGGCACCATCGGTCACATTGCTCCTGGTGCGTGTAGGTGCAGGATAGGTACAGCTGTGCAGGGAATGGGTCTGAATGGGTGTTATGACCCAGGTGAGTGGTGTATGGGACGCGTTCCACTACGGCTGTCGAGGGCACTATCGGTCACATCTCCTCTGGTGCGTCCTAGAAGCAGTTACCCTGCAGCTTGAAGTGCGCAGGTACACCTCTTCCTTGCTGTTAGAGTACTTTGTGAGCGATCACTAAATAGAGTTGACTTTTGAGTCGACTCAAAAGTCAACCAGCTACACCTCCTTGCTGCCAGAGTACTTCGTGAGCGAGCACTAGATACCCATCTCCTTCCCAGTGCTAATTCCTCCTCTGCTTCTACCCTCCCCTCCCTCACCCGCCCTCCTCCCTAACCAACCCTCCAGAGTACTTTGTGAGCGGGCAGTGTTCGGAGAAAACGGACGTGTATGCCTTCGGGGTCTTCCTGCTGGAGCTCGTGTCGGGCAAGGACGTGTACGGCCTCACAGTGGTGCCCGAGGCCGAGGAGATTCTCCTGAGGGACTGGGTGAGTCTCTCTAAGCCTAAGCCCCTCTTCTTGTGAGGGGTGCTCTCAGCTCTCCCCCCCCCTCTCTCTTCCTGCTGGAGCTCGTGTCAGGCAAGGACGTGTACGGGCTAACCGTTGTTCCCGAGGCTGAGGAGATTCTTCTGAGGGATTGGGTGAGTCGCTCTGAGCCTTTGTGCTGCTCTTATGGGTGTTCTCCGCTCTTGCTCCTGCCCTCTCTCTTCCTGCTGGAGCTCGTATCGGGCAAGGATGTGTACCGGCTCACTGTCGTGCCCGAGGCTCAGGAGATTTTTCTCAGGGACTGGGTGAGTTGCTATGATCCCCTCTTCTTGTGATGGGTGTGCTCGGCTCCCCATACCCGACTCTCGTCCTGCTGGAGCTCGTGTCGGGAAAGGACGTGTGCGGGCTCACCGTGGTGCCAGAGGCAGAGGAGATTCTGCTCAGGGAGTGCGTGATTCGCTCTGAGCCCCGCTTCTTGCTCGAGCTTGTGTCGAGCAAGGACATGTACGGGCTCACAATCTTCTGAGGCTGAGGAGATTCTTCAGAAAACGGATTGAGTGCGTCGGTTGGAGCAGTGGACATGGGGCAGATAGGGAAGATGCTCCAATTTTCCCCCCCTCCATTTTCCCATTTTTTCGATGCCCCAGGTGTCGCGGCTGTTGGTGAAGGGCAAGGCGGACGTGTTGGTGAAGAAGATGGACATGGCGCAGTGGACATGGGGCAGGTCGAGAAGATGCTGCAGGTGGCGCTGCTGTGCCTCCTTGCTCTCACTCTCTCCCTGCTCCCATCCCCCAGGTGTCTCGGCTGCTGGTGGAGGGCAAGGCGGACGTGCTTGTAGACCCAGAGGTGAAGAAGCCCGAGGGCGCAGTGGACATGGGGCAGGGTGGCCTTGCTGTGCCTCAACAAACTCTCTCCCTTCCATGATCTCACCCTCTCCCGTGCCCCAGGTGTCACGGCTGCTAGTGGAAGGGAAGGCGGACGTGCTGGTGGGTCCAGAGGTGAAGAAGTCCGAGGGGGCGGTGGACATGGGGCAGGTGGAGAAGATGCTGCAGGTGGCGCTGCTGTGCCTGCTCTTGCTTCCACCCATATACTCTCTCCCTCTCTGTGCCCTACACCCTCTCTCCCTCGGTGCGTCCTGCCTGCAGGTATCGCGGCTGCTGGTGGAGGGCAAGGCGGACGTGCTGGTGGATCCAGAGGTGAAGAAGCCCGAGGGGGCGGTGGACATGGGGCAGGTGGAGAAGATGCTGCAGGTGGCGCTGCTGTGCCTCAAGAACGACCCGGCTGAGCGACCTACCATGGAGGATGTGGCTAAGATGGTGGCTGGGAGTGAACTCACGGAGAAGTGGCAGCAGTGGCAGGTGAGGGTTCTGTGTGAGCGTGTGTATGTAGCTTGTTGTGTGAACAGCTTGCTGAGTGCTAAGATTGGTAAGAACGACCCGGCTGAGCGACCCACCATGGAGGATGTGGCTAAGATGGTGGCTGGGAGTGAACTCACGGAGAAGTGGCAGCAGTGGCAGGTGAGGGGTGTGGGGTGAGGGCTCTTTGTGTATGGAATGTGTTGTGGAAAGAGCTTGTTGAGTGGTATTTTTGGGAAGAATGACTTGACTGAGCGACCCACGATGGAGGATGTGGCTAAGATGGTGGCTGAGAGTGAACTCACGGAGAAGTGGCAGCAGTGGCAGGTGAGGGTTCTGTGTGTGCGTGTGTGTGTAGCTTTTTGTGTGAACAGCTTGCTGAGTGCAAAGATTGGTAAGAACGACCCGGCTGAGCAACCCACAATGGCGGTTGTGGCTAAGATGGTGGCTGGGAGTGAACTCACGGAGAAGTGGCAGCAGTGGCAGGTACGTGGACATAAAAATTTGTATTCTTGTTGGGCAAGGAGCACACAGCCACGTGCATGCACTCATTGCCTCTAAAGGTAGATGTGACGTGTTTGTACTTGGCTCACGAGTCTTATTTCTATGTGAATTTCCTCGTGCTGATCCCAAACTCAACTATATTGCGTCACATTGTTGTTTTTCCAGGCTGAAGCTGGGGCCATGCGAGCAGAGGACCTCATGGCTGTTGTTAAGAACCCTTCCCTCTGGGAGAACACAACTACTGGAATTTCACTCGAAGCCTTCAATGTTACTGGACCGCGCTGAGAGCTGCGCCTTTTCTACTGGTGCCAGACGGAGCGACCGTATTTATAGTAGGTTTACCATTAAGAGGCCGTCTTGTTATGTATGCATTACCTCAGTCTGCAAAGCAGTACGCTCTCAGGGTATTTACAAGAATAGTGTGGTGAAAGAAGCTAGTCATTTCGCTTGGGTTTCTAGACCTCGCCCGAAGCCAGAGTGTTTACTGTACATTTATTTGAGAGGTTAAAGCCAAACACCTCGTCAGGGATATTTGTGGTAGCTGACGTGGATTACGCCCCAGTCCACGGCCTTTATCGGCTCCCCGAAGCCGGATATCCGAGTCAGCAGCGCACCCTACCTCGAGCCGAGTCGCTAGCCACCAATGTGTCGCACGCGCGGTGAGTGGCTGCATACGAACTGTGTGAGTGTGACCAGCTGACGACTAGGATCTTTTTCACTAGTTTGGTGGGATTGCTCGCTCGCCCGAGCCAACCGTGCCCCTTTGTGTCCGCCAAACCATACCAGTTTCCGAACCGAACCAAACAGCTGTCGAAATGCATGTTCCGCTTGATCATCACAATTATTCGCCTTCGGTCAGCCTGGATAACAGCAATGTCCGCCTCTATTGGTGCAATTGACCTTCACCCTCGAAATTTTGTTTTTTTTACTCGTTTCGTCACGTGATTGTCCCCCGTCGCCGAAGCAAACATCCCTGCCAGGCAGGCGCAGGCCCCCAGCGCAGACATGAACTCCGCACAACTCTCGCGCTGCCTCTGTGCAGTGTGTCATCCACAGAAGCAGCGCGGAGGCCCTCCTCCCGCCAGCTCACTCTTTTCTTCCCCTTCTGTTTCTCCTACCTGCCCGCAATCTTCCCCAAACCAAGGCTCGAGCCCAGGGTAAAAAGCTGCGGTCACCAAGGCTGCAACGAAGCTGCGGTTTGGTGAGGTCGGCTTTTTCCTCCTTGGCCTCGATTCCTCTTCCTGACGCAAGATACCGCCATGGCCGAGGTGCTGTGCTGCTGATTGCCGTGCGGTTGATTGCTGCTGTGCTCGTATAAACCCGATGGCCGCTGCTGCTGATTGATCGTGGTGCTTGCGCAGCAGCAAAGAACGCGTTCGGGTTGTTTAGCGCAGATCACGCGTCGGACGTAGCCAATATCCCGCTGGCTGAGCCAACCTAGAAATATTAACGGGAGCATCGTAGCTCTCGTTCAGCTTTATCAGAGGCAGATTTTGCTTCACGTTTAGTAACAGCTATGGAAGAAGCTACTGAATCGTGTGTTCCGCACCATGACAAGGGTTGCTGCTCTCACAGCAACATGTGGTATCGTGTCAAGAAGCGGTATAAGCTCTGTGATTTTAGTGCTCTTCCCGACTACCTCCAAGACAACGAGTACATTCATGGATATTACCGAGCTAACTGGCCTCTTAAACACACCCTATGGAGCATCTTTCATATTCATAACGAGACCGGAAATATCTGGACGTAAGTCATACCGACCGTCGCTAAGCTTCTCGTTTCTCGACTGCTATACTGGCTTCGCGAGTTTAATAGTCGTTTCCTCATCCTCGACTTTGGATTGCAGAGTTTCATTGACATCTTGTGCTTACTAGCTGTGGCTGGTTGGTTGCAGGCATCTTATGGGATTTATCCTCTTCCTGAACCTGACCATCTACACAGCCCAGCAGTTCCCGAAGGTGGTTGAGATCCCTCTGTCCCACCTCCATTTTCCTGAATCCTGGGTCAACGCCACTGACAGCATTCATGCACATCTTCAGCACATGGAACTTCCGGATTTCCGTCCCATAAGAGACGCGCTTACCTCCATGGAGTTTCCGAATCTCCATGCCATGTACAACTCCCTCCCACACGTCGAGCTCTCTGGAATCTCTGGAATCTCGACGTCCATTTACGAGGCCATGCCGCACGTTCCGAACATGCACGAGATGCAGAGCATGCTCTCGGCAGTCATGAAGTCGAAGCTACCAGACCTGGACACGACGAAGCTTCAGGCGATGCTTCCTCACCTAGAGCTTCCGAAGCTGCAGCAGGTTCAGGCTGCTCTCCTGTGGTACTACGGCTGTGTCCATCGCTACGCCAGCACGGCCTTGGAATCCACGCCGGCGTTTCCCACCAGCCCGTTGTGGAATGATCATAGCGTTTTTGGCAACTGCGTAAGTATATACTCACTCCCTGTGACCACTTTGTGAGCCGATGTCTCGTCCTTGCTAGCTTTTGTGCATTTCTGTCCTGACCAGCTGGTTCTGGGAAGACATTGTCTTACGCGCCTAAGGTTTCTATGCCTGCTCCTTTCAGTTTTCTAGCCATTTCCTCCGTTCTGCTTCCGTGGTATCCTAAACCTGCTCCAAACTTGCTTCTGAGTCATCTGTTCTATTTTCTCTCCCTTCTCCTCCTCCACAGAAACCATTTTCCACTAACTCTCACCCCCACCCCATCCCCCCCTTCCCTCTTTCCCTCCCCTCTTCCCCATACACACTCCTCCCGGAATTCCATGGCTCTTCTGCAGTCACTTTCAGACAGCCCTTCGTTTCTGCTGAGATCAGTGAAGACTGAGCGCACGATTGCCATGTGGCCATTCTTTGTCTTCCTCACGGGCGCCATGATCTGCCTGCTCTCTAGCAGCACCTGCCACCTCCTGGGCTGCCATTCCAAGAAGGTCTCTCAGATCATCTGGCGGTTTGACTACGCTGGGATTGCCATCCTCATCTGCGCATCCTTCTACCCGCCGGTCTACTACGGCTTCCTCTGCCACCCATACGCGCAGCTCACCTACCTCGTCCTGATCACCCTTGCTGGTTTGGGAACTGTAGCTGTCTCTCTTCTCCCTGCGTTTCAGAAACCTAAGTTTCGAGCCTTTCGTGCAGGGCTGTTCTTTGGACTGGGAGTCTCTGGTGTGGTTCCATTCTTCCATGGCATGCTGCTTTACCACCATGAGCCGTTTTTAGTGACAACTCTACTGTACGAGCTGCTAATGGGGGCGTTGTACGGCATCGGAGCTCTCTTTTATGCCACCAGGATTCCCGAGCGATGGCTGCCTGGGAAGTTTGACATTGCGGGACACAGCCATCAGATTTTCCATGTCCTTGTGGTTGCTGGTGCGTACACGCACTACCAGGCTGCCTTGCGATACCTGCAGTGGGTAGATGGTCGTACGTGCTGAAGTGTACTTGTAACGGCTAAGAGGTTTGCGCAAGAGGCGCCTGGATTGGGTCTATGGAGCGGCCATGTTGTGGTTGATCTTGCCTTACAGCTCGACACTTGGGTGAAGAGTGCAAGGAGGATTTCTGCTTATTGGTGGGATGTACTGGGTGTCTTCTGGAATCTGGATGCATGCATGCCTGCTGACATTGTCCTGCCTGTGGGCCACAGGCAGTGTCAAATGTTGTAGCCTATAGTGAGGTTTGTCTTAGGGGGTACAAAACTTAGGGTTAGCTATATGTACCCCAACCAACATCAATGCATCATCCATTCTTCATTCTGACATGGTATCAGTTAGGTTAGGATCCTGTGGGATCCCGTTCCGCCGTTCTCCGTTCGTACCACCCGAGCCTGATCCTAGCTCTCGTTCGTCTCCTTCTCGTTGTTACCGAGCCTAGCGCCGAGCCACGCTCTCGTTCGTATCGTTCCAGCTGTTACCGAGCCTAGCAACGACCCACGCTCTCGTTCGTATCGTTCCAGCTGTTACCGAGCCTAGCAACGACCCACGCTCTCGTTCGTATCGTTCCAGCTGTTACCGCCCCCCCGTCGCGTCGCCTTCCCCCCCCTCGAGACGCGCCCGTCCCTTTCCCCCTGTCGCGTCGCGCTCCCCCCGTCGCGTCGCGTCCGCGCCTCCCCCCCGTCGTGTCGCCTTCCCCCTGTCCCGTCGCGCCCCCCCCTTTCCCCCCGTCGCGTCGCCCTCCCCCTGTCCCGTCGCACCCGCCCCTTTCCCCCCGTCGCGTCGCCCTCCCCCTGTCCCGTCGCTCCCGCCCTCTCCCCCCGTCGCGTCGCCCGTCCCGCAGCGCCCGCCACTGTCGCTCGCGACCGCGCTCGTCGCCGCCGCGCCTGCCGCCGTCGCCCGCCCCCTGCGCGCCTCGCCGCGGCCCCGCCGTCGTCGCCCGCCGCTGCGCGCGTCGCCGCTGCGCCCCCTGCCGTCGCCCGCTGCGCGCGCTGCTGGCCCCTGCTGCCGAGCGCGCTGCCATCGCCCGCCGCTGCGCCCGTTCCCGTTCCCCGCTGCTTAGTCCCCTGTTACCTCCCGCTGTCACGCCCGCTGTGGCGTCCGCTCCTCCCCTGTCCCAGAGTACCGCCGAACCCTAATTTGCCTCTCACCTACTGCTGTCCCCTCCCTCTCCGTTCGCGTTCGTTTTCACTATGGCGACTCAGCGTGTCCTTCGTTTCGACGCTGACGGTAGACCTCTTGATTTTTCCGTCTGGCTTCTTCGTGCTCGCCGTCTGTTAGAGAGTCAGGTCCAGGCAGGCGAGACCCTCTGGGCGCACGCTACTGGTGCCCTACCTGCGCCCCCCGACCCTACGCCTTTAGGACCTGCCCCTGACGACGCCGCTAGAGCCCGCTTTGCCACTCAGCGAGCTGACCAGACGGCTTGGACGTCACGTGACGCTGCGGCCTGCATCGCGCTCAGCAGCCTCCTCCCTGAGTCTGAGGAGGTTCACTTCACTCAGGTTCGCACCGCTGCTGAGTACCTCACTGCGATTAAGGCCCGCTACTCTACTCCCGCTGCTGTCTCTCTTGGCCGCCTGTTCCTCCCGTTCCTGTTTCCTGACCTAGCGTCTTTTGAGCGCTCTGCTGACTTGATCGCTCACCTCCGCTCGCTCGACGCTAGTTACCGCGCTGCTTGCACTGAGGCACAGCTTGCACTGCTTCCTCCCCCTATGGCGATTACTATCTATTTCATCGCCACTAGCCTCCCTGACCGCCTTGCCTCCGTTCGCGACGCGCTTCTGCTGAAGCACCCTAGTGAGCTCACCGTCGAGGTCCTTGAGTCTGCACTCAAGGACGTCGAGAGCAACCTTCGCTCGGTAGCCGCTGCCTCTGGTGCTGTGCCCCCCCCACTCTTCCACGGGTGCACAGTCCCGCAGTTACCCACCTTTACTGCCTCACTTGCCACTGCCGCTACTGACGCGACTGCAGCTGCTGTTACGACTGCGTCGCGGTCCCGCGGTAGGAGTGGCAAGAAAGGCGGTTCTGGTGGTGGTAGTGGAGGTGGAGGCGGAGGTAGTGGAGGTGGCGTTGCGCCTGGCGGCGGTGGAGGTTCAGGGCCTGGAGAGGCGCCTCGTGCAGTGACTGGTGACTCCACTGCGCCTGCTGGTGGTGGCGACGCCCGAGTTCGTCAGTCGCCTCCTGTACTTCCTGCCCCGGTTGGTGGAGCAGCGGCGTGGTACCAGGCTCAGCGTCAGCAGCAGCTTCTGCAGCACCAGCAGCCCCTCTCCTCCCAGCAGCCTCAGCAGCAGCAGCGGCAGCAGCTGGCTCCAGGGTCGGGGCTGCGTCAGACCCAGCGCGGTGCTGCTTACACTCCCTGCACCTACCAGGTTCTGACAGGCACTCGTCGTGGCCACCCTTGTGGCCGGTTTCACCCCCCTGGTCAGTGCTTTGCTCAGCTCACTGACACGGTTCGTTTGGTCTACGGGGTTGGTGCTCCTGCCCCTGACTGGCTGCCTCTTGTTAAATTGTAATGTGTTATATGTTGGTAGGCTGTAGTGGGGTAGCCAATATGGGGTACAACCCCAACTAGGGTTTCATATTTGTACCCAAACTTCTGCTAGTTCATTCATTCTTGCCTAGTTCAGTTGACATGGTATTCAGAGCGGGAGGTCCCTAGGACCTACCGATCGTTTTTTTTTAGGGCCCACCACCGCTCGCATGCGGTTACCACGCTACCCCGTGCCCTAGCCTCATAGCGCCCTCGTGCGCCCTCGTTAGCGCCCTCGTGCGTCCTCGTTAGCGCCCTCGCGCGCCCTCGTTAGCGCCCTCGCGCGCCTCTCGTTAGCGCCCTCGCGCGCCCTCGCTAGCGCCCTCGCGCGCCCTCCTTCGCGCCCTCGTGCGCCTCTCGTTAGCGCCCTCGCGCGCCCCTCGCAGCGTCGCCCGCCCGCCGAGCCGCCCGCTCGCAGCGTCGCCCGCCTACCGCGCTGCCCGTTTCGCAGCCCGCCCGCAGCGTCGCCCGCCCGCCCGCTGCCCGCTTCGCAGCGTCGCCCGCTCGCTCGCTGCCCGCTTCGCGGCCCGCCCGCCTCGCAGCCCGCTCGCAGCGTCTCCCGCTCGCCCGCTGCCCGCTTCGCAGCGTCGCCCGCCCGCCCGCTGCCCGCTTCGCAGCGTCGCCCGCCCGCCCGCTGCCCGCTTCGCAGCGTCGCCCGCCCGCCGCGCTGCCCGCTCGCAGCGTCGCCCGCCCGCCCGCTGCCCACTCGCAGCGTTGCCCGCCCGCCTCGCTGCCCGCTCGCAGCGTCGCCCGCCCGCCTCGCTGCCCGCTTGCAGCGTCGCCCGCCCGCCCGCTGCCCGCTTCGCGGCCCGCCCGCCTCGCAGCCCGCTCGCACCGTCGCCCGCCCGCCCGCTGCCCGCTTCGCAGCGTCGCCCGCTCGCCGCGCTGCCCGCTCGCCGCGTCGCCCGCCCGCCCCGCTGCCCGCTTCGCAGCCCGCCCGCCGCACTTCCCGCCTGCAGCGCCGCCTGCCCACCGCGCTGCCCGCTTCGTAGCCCGACCCCTGCACTGCCCGCTCGCCGTGTCGCCCGCCCTCCGCGCTTCCCGCCGAGCTACCTACCTGCAGCGCTGTGGCAGCTTCCTTTGCTCTGTCGCTATGGCTTCCATCCGAGTGCTGTCGTTCGATGCTGAGGGCCGCCCTGTGAAGTTCGCCACTTGGCTGGATGACCTGCAGCTGTTCCTTCTGAGCGATAGCAAGGAGCATGTGTCGCTCTATGATTACGCGTCTGGTGCTGCACCTGCCCCTCCTGCCACAGCTGAGCTTAGTGTTCGTTCCCACTGGCAGACTCGTGACGCAGCTGCTCGCCTAGCCATTCGCAGTCACCTGCCGTTAGCTGAGCTCGAGCATTTTGGCGACTGCAAATCCGCTAAGGCCCTGTACGATGCTGTCGTTGCTCGCTACTCCTCGCCTGCCACAGCCGAGCTTAGCCGCCTCATGCTGCCGTACCTGTTCCCTGACCTGTCCACCTTTGCTACAGTCGCCGATCTTATCACCCACCTTCGCACTAGTGATGCCCGCCTTCGTGCCGCCCTTCCCACCGAGTTCTGCGCTAAGAACCCCCCTCCCCTGTACTGGACACTCCACTTCATAGTCACCCGTCTCCCTGACACCCTCAGCTCAGTTCGAGACCACTTCCTTGCTCGCTGTCCCACTGAGCTCACCGTTGCCCTCCTAGAGGAGCAGCTGCTAGCGGCCGAAAAGAGCATAGTAGCTGTCGGTGCTGCTCGTGGCGCTCCTCGCACCCCCATCTTTGAGGGGTGTTCTCCCTCTCCCCTCGCTCCCTCCTACGCTACTGCTGCTGCTGTTGACTTCCTTGGTGCTGAGTCTGCTGGCGCTGCTTCTGCTCCTAGTGGGAGGCGCCGCACCGGCAAGGGCAAGGGGGGCAAGGGTGGCGGGGGTGGCGCTGGGGGGGCGGCGGTGGGGGAGGTGGGGGGGGAGGCGGTGCTGGAGGGAGCGGTGGCGGGAGTGCTGGTGGGAGTGGGGTCGGCAGCGGAGGCGGGGGCGGCGGAGGGAGCGGTGGCGGTGGTGGCGGCGGCGGCGGTGGCGGCGGCGGCGGCGGTGGCGGCGGTGGCGGTGGCGGTCGGAGCGGAGGTAGTGGTGGTGGCGGAGGTCGGAGTGGAGGCACCGGCTCGGGCCAGAGCTCCCAGCAGCAGCAGCGTCCCCAGACGACCCAGCAGCTTCGTGAGTGGCTTGCTCAGCGTGGGACGTCGGGGGGCAGTGGCCGCTGTTCCTATGTCATTCGCACAGGTGACCGCAAGGGACAGACGTGTGGGAGGTTCCACACCCCGTACCGCTGCTTCTCCCGCCTTGACGACGCTTGGCGTGAGGAGATGGGCGAGGATGTTGAGCGCCCCCGCTGGGCTGAGCTCATGAGGGCTGGTGTTGATATCTTTGCTCTTGACTATGATGCTATTATTGCTGCCATGTATGCATTGACTGTTAGTGCCGAGGGAGACTGTTACTTGTGTGTGCCGCCTGACCCAGGTATAGAGCCCGCTGCCCTGGGTACTAGTGAGTCTGCTCTCTCTGGTATGGTGCCCCCGGTACTTGCTCCCTCCAGTGCTGTCCCGGCTGTTTGCGAGTCTGCTCTCTCAGGTACAGCACCCACAGAGACTGCTCTCTCAGGTACCGCACCGGCTGAGGCCTGTCACACCTTCACCCTTGACTCAGGTGCTTCCCGCTGTTTCTTTCGTGACAGTACTGAGCTCACACCGCTTCCTGCACCGGTTCCAGTCTCCTTGGCTGACCCCTCTGGGGGCCCAGTCCTTGCCCAGTCCACCACTGTGCTCCCTTGTCCGGCGGTTCCGTCTGGCTCGTTGTCGGGTTTCCACCTCCCCTCGTTCTCGACGAACCTGGTGAGCAACGCTGTTATCCAGGATCAGTGGGTTGACACCTTCACCCCAGGAGGACAGCGTGTGGCGATCTGCACGTGCTCCAGGACCGGCCGTCACCTGGCTACGTTTACCCGTCGGCCGGGGTCGAGTCTCTACACACTGACCACTGCGTCTCCTCAGGTCGCTGCTGTCGGTCAGGTGTCCGCGTCAGGTCTAGTGGCCCACGCCTGTGAGTGTCGTTCCCTGTCGCACCAGACCCTTCTCTGGCACCATCGCCTGGGTCACCCCTCCCTACCACGCCTCCGTGGCATGCACCGTCGCCACCTTGTGTCTGGTCTTCCCAGGTCCCTCCCTCCCCTCCCTGCCTCGCCTGCACCGCCTTGCCTTCCTTGCGTCGAGGGGCGGCAGCGCGCCGCTCCTCACTCCTCCTCGTTCCCCCCGACAGAGGCTCCTCTGCAGACCCTCCACCTGGACGTGTGGGGCCCAGCCCGCGTTCGTGGCCAGGGCGGTGAGCGGTACTTTTTGCTGGTTGTCGACGACTACTCGCGTTACACCACGGTCTTCCCCTTGCGCACCAAGGGTGAGGTCCCTGCTGTTCTGATCCCTTGGATCCGCGCAGTTCGTCTCCAGCTCCGCCGCCGTTTCCGGACGGATCTTCCTGTCCTGCGTCTGCACTCTGACAGAGGTGGTGAGTTTTCCTCCGACCTCTTGAGGGCCTTCTGTCAGGAGGAGGGCATCGAGCAGACCTTCACGCTTCCGGACTCCCCACAGCAGAATGGGGTTGCTGAGCGCCGCATTGGCCTGGTCATGGAGGTCGCTCGTACCTCCTTGGTCCACGCGGCGGCTCCCCATTTTCTGTGGCCGTTTGCTGTCCGGTACGCCGCGCATCAGCTCAACCTCTGGCCCCGTGTCTCCTTGCCGAAGACCTCGCCCACACTGCGTTGGACGGGGGAGGTTGGCGATGCGTCGCGCTTCCGGGTGTGGGGTGCTCGTGCCCTTGTCCGCGATACGTCCGCGGACAAGCTCTCCTCCCGCACTCTTCCCTGTGTCTTCCTTGGCTTTGTCCCTGACGCGCCGGGCTGGCAGTTTTACCACCCCACCTCGCGCCGGGTCTTCGCCTCTCAGGACGTCACCTTTGACGAGTCGGTCCCTTTTTACCGTCTCTTCCCCTACCGCACTGCCCCCCTCCCTCCCCCGCCGCTTTTCCTTGCTCCTGGTCCCCCTCCGGTAGACCCCCTTCCCCCTCAGGGTCCTGCTCCTTCAGGTGTCTCTCAGGTAGACCCTCCTCCCGTCACTGAGCCTGTCGAGGTCACAGGTGACTCAGGTGCTGCTGCAGGTGGTGCTGCTGGGAGTGCTGAGCCTGGGGGTGCTGAGCCTGCGGGTGCTGGGCCTGGGAGTGCTGGGACTGCGGGTGCTGGAGCTGAGGGTACTGTGCCTGGGGGTGCTACGACTGGGGGTGCTGAGCCTGCGTGTACGGAGTCTGGGGGTGCCGAGCCTGGGGGTGCTGCTGCTGAGCCTACGGAGCCTCGGGTTGCTGCGTCTGGGGGTGCTCCGGTTCGGGGTGCTGAGCAGTCTCTCACACCGCAGCAGCTTCGTGACTGGTACGTCCGGCGCTTTCGCCGTCCTAGTGGCTCGGCTGGAGCTGGGGGTACTGGAGCTGCCGGGACTGGTTGTTCTGGGCGCACTACGACTGGAGCTGCTGGAGCTGGGGACTCTGGAGCTGGCGGTGCTAGCGGAGTTGTAGCTGCCGACTCTGGGGGTGCTCTTCCTCGCGGTGCTGCGGACCCTGGGGGTGGCGCTGCTGCTGGTGCTGCGGACCCACCTGGTGGAGCTGCTGCTGGAGCTGAGGACCCGAGCGGTGGCGCTACTGCTGGTGCTGGGGACCCGGACGCTGGAGTCTCTTCTGCTTCTGGAGGCGCTGCGCGGCCGCGGCCGTACTTCGTACCGCTCCTTCAGCAGGTTCTTGGGCAGGCTCCTCCTCCTTGTCCTCCTCCCTCCGTAGATTGTCCTCCGCCTGTCCAGCCGCAGTCACAGTTACCGCCTGCCTCGCCTCTCCCTGCTCCCTCTCCTTACACTGGTCCCACAGGAGGTCTTACAGAGCGTCGTGAGCCTGAGTCTCGTCCTGCGTCGCCTGTCCGTACTGCTCGCACTGGTCGTCGTGTCCGTCGTGAGCGTCCTCCTGCTGTCCCAGGCACTCACTACATGACTCTGCGTCCGTCCACTGCTCCTCAGCGTGTCCCTCTGCCGTCTCCTCCTGCGTCCTCTTTGCCTGCTGTTCCGGACCCTGAGTCTGACCGGTATCGTACTGAGCACCCTACTGTCACGCGTCTCCTCGCTACTGTTGTCACTGACCCTACCTTTGAGTCCTCGGCTGCGTCTGCTCTGGTCGCTGAGTTGGTTGACTTTGCTGCTGCCTGTCGTCTAGACTACGCTGCTCGCCTTGTTGCTGAGTCTGAGTCTGCGTCTGTCTGTCCTCCGTCCGTCGGGGGTGAGTGTGCTCTTGGCACGGACGTCCTTGAGGACAGGCAGGAGGACTTTGACTCTCTCGCGGCTGCTGTACCTCATCTCGTGGCCTGGTTGCTTGCCCCTGAGGGAGACCCGGATGCACTAGACATCCCCACTCCGCGCACTTACGCAGAGGCGATCTCGGGTCCCTACTCCTCTCAGTGGCAGACAGCCATGGACGCAGAGATGGCATCCTGGAAGTCCACAGGCACCTACGTCGACGAGGTTCCCCCTCCTGGGGCGAACATCGTCGATGGCATGTGGATTTTCAGGGTGAAGCGGCCGCCAGGTTCTCCGCCTGTCTTCAAGGCTCGTTACGTTGCTAGAGGCTTCAGTCAGCGTCAGGGGGTCGACTTCTTCCAGACCTTCTCCCCCACCCCGAAGATGACCACTCTTCGGGTTCTGCTGCACGTTGCTGCTCAGCGTGACTACGAGCTTCACTCTCTTGACTTCAGCACAGCGTTCCTGCAGGGCAGCCTGCACGAGGAGATCTGGCTGCGCCGCCCACCTGGCTTTACTGGGTCGTTTCCTCCTGGTACCCAGTGGAGCCTCCGCCGGCCAGTCTACGGTCTTCGCCAGGCGCCACGCGAGTGGCACGACACACTGAGGACTACACTTGCGGCTCTTGGGTTCGCGCCGTCTACTGCTGACCCGTCACTGTTTCTGCGCACAGACACGTCGCTGCCGCCGTTCTACATTCTCGTGTACGTCGACGACTTGGTCTTTGCTACTACTGACACTGAGGCACTCGCTCGTGTGAAGTCGGAGCTGCAGAAGAGACACACCTGCACTGACCTGGGTGAACTGCGTAGCTACCTTGGCTTGCAGATCACCCGGGACAGAGCTCGCCGCACCATCACCCTGACTCAGTCACACATGGTGCAGCAGGTCCTTCAGCGCTTCGGCTTCCAGTTCTCCTCACCTCAGGCCACACCTCTGGCTACCAGCCACTCGCTCTCAGCTCCACCTTCGGACGAGTCCGTAGAGCCGAGTGGCCCGTACCCAGAGCTTGTAGGCTGCCTCATGTACCTGATGACTTGCACGCGACCTGACCTCGCGTACCCTCTTAGCATCCTTGCTCGTTACGTTGCGCCTGGGAGACACAGGCGAGAGCACTGGGAGGCTGCTAAGAGGGTGCTGCGTTACTTGTGCAGTACATCAGGCATGGGGCTGGTGCTTGGAGGACGCGACAGAGTTGTCCTCACTGGTCACTCGGACGCTTCTTGGGTGGACGACCTGGCTACGCAGCGGTCGTCACAGGGTTACACCTTCAGCCTTGGCTCTGGTTCTGTCTCGTGGCGGTCCACCCGCTCTTCCTCTGTTCTCGGCTCTAGTTGTGAGGCTGAGATCTACGCCACAGCCATGGCTGCACAGGAGTTACGCTGGCTCACCTACCTGCTGACTGACTTGGGAGAGCGGCCTAGTTCTCCTCCAGTTCTGTACGGTGACAACAAGGCGGCTCTTGCCTTGTGTCAGGAGCACAGACTGGAGCACAGGACGAAGCACATTGCTCTTCGCTACTTTCTTGCTCGAGAGCTTCAGCAGCGCGGTCAGCTTCGGCTTGTGTACGTGGACTCGAAGGCCAACACTGCTGATATCTTCACCAAGGCACTCCCGCCTAGTGATCATCAGCGGCACTGTACTTCTTTAGGCCTTGTGTCCACGTTTCCTCACTTGCTCACTGCTTGACATTCTTTGTACTGTACTTTATATATATCTTGTTGCTTGTCTTGTACTATATCTAGCACTGCATGTGAACTGGCCTTGTGGCCTTTGCTTGTGCTCAGAGTGTGGTGACGTTGTGATCCACCCTGGGCTTGCGTTGCTTTGCTGGACTGGTCTTGTGACCCTTTGTTCTCCCCACTTTGCCTATGGGGGTGTGTTAAATTGTAATGTGTTATATGTTGGTAGGCTGTAGTGGGGTAGCCAATATGGGGTACAACCCCAACTAGGGTTTCATATTTGTACCCAAACTTCTGCTAGTTCATTCATTCTTGCCTAGTTCAGTTGACAGCTGCCTCTTGTTCAGCGCTACGGCTCCGCTCTGTGGGGCATGTCTGCTGAGCAGTTAGTTGATCTGATTGGTACTCCCCATGCTATGTATGCTGTTGTTGACTCTAGTGTTTCTGACTCTGTTTACTCTGGTGTTGTTAGCTTAGGTGCTAGCCTTGCTCAGTTGCCTGTTGCTAGTGTAGGTTCATGTGTAGACTCTAGTCCAGCGGCTACCTCAGAGGACGGTTCGCTGTCGTTCACGCTGGACTCTGGAGCCTCTCACTGCTTCTTTCGTGACAGCACGACACTTACGCCTCTTCCTGCGCCTGTTTCTGTGGCGCTGGCTGATCCCACTTCGGGACCAGTCACCGCGCGTCACACTACCACCTTGCCGTGTCCGGCTGCTCCTTCTGGGTCTCTCACTGGGTTTCACGTCCCCTCGTTCTCCCGGAACTTGGTGGGCGTGCGACCCCTCGTGAGTCAGCACGTGGGTGTGTGGTTTGAGCCTTCTGGAGAGACTGCGGTGTGTGTTGACGGGGACTCTTACCAGCCCCTCGCCACTTTTGCTGCTGAGCCGGGCTCCGGTCTCTACACTCTTCACACTGGCCCGCGCGCTCAGCAGCGACTGCAGCAGCAGCAGCAGCCGCAGCAGCAGCAGCAGCAGCAGCCGCAGCCGCAGCCACAGCCGCCCCTCCTGCCCCCGGCCCCTGTTTTGCCCCCCGTTCGAGTCCTCGCGTCTCACCAGGTTGCTCCGTCCCCCCAGGTAGCTGTGTCTTGTCAGGTTCCTCCGTCTAGTCCGGTCGCTGCGTCGTGCTCCTGTCGGTCGCTTGCCCACCCCACCGTTTTGTGGCACCACCGGCTGGGGCACCCTTCTCCTCCTCGTCTTCGCGCTATGTCTCGTCAGCGTCTTGTCTTAGGTCTCCCGCGTGTCTTGCCGTCGCTGCCGCCGTCCCTTGCACCACCGTGCGGTCCTTGCGTCGAGGGTAGGCTGCGCGCCACCCCTCACTCCTCCTCCCTTCGTCCGGCCACCGAGCCTTTTGAGACGCTTCACTTGGACGTCTGGGGCCCCTCTCCTCGCCCTGGCCCTGAGCGTGAGCGTTTCTTTTTGGTGGTCGTTGACGACTACTCCCGCTACACCACAGTGTTCCCCCTGGCGAGGAAGTCTGAGGTGACTTCTACGCTGATCAGGTGGTTGCTTACCACCCAGGACACTCGTGGTCGTCGTGTCAGCTGTCTCCACTCCGACCGCGGGGGCGAGTTTCGCTCCGGCATTCTCGCTGGATTCTGTCGCGAACAGGGCATTCGTCAGTCCTGGACGCTTCCGGAGTCCCCACAGCAGAATGGGGTTGCTGAGCGTCGCATAGGCCTGGTCATGGAGATTGCCCGCACCTCCTTGACTCACGCCCGTGCCCCCCATTTCCTGTGGCCATACGCGGTCAGGTACGCCGCGCACCAGCTGAACCTCTGGCCACGCGTCTCTCGGCCGGAGGCTTCACCGACCAGTCTTTGGACAGGGTCCCCTGGTGTCGCGTCGAGGTTTCGTGTCTGGGGGTGCTTGGCTCTTGTCCGCGACACCTCCGCGGACAAGCTCTCGCCTCGCGCCGTTCCTTGTGTCTTCCTTGGTTTCCCTGAGGACTCCTCTGACTTCACCTTTTACCACCCTCCCTCTCACCGGTTCTTTGACTCCCGTGACGTCCGTTTCGAGGAGTCCACCCCCTACTACGTCAGGTACCCCAGTCGAGGTCTCCCGGTCCCTCCCCCCCCTCTCTTCCTGACCGCCGCTCCCCCGCCTGCTCCCCCGGTACAGCCTCCCCCCCCTGGTCCAGCCCCGTCTGGTGTGTCTCAGGCTAGCCCTCCCCCTTCGGTAGCCCCCCCTGTACAGCCTCCCTCCCCACAGTCTTCCTCGCCGCCTCCTGCAGGTGCTCCCTCTCGAGAGGTTGGTCCTGCGACTGTCCCTGTACAGGTCTCTGGTTCTGGGGGTGCTGGAGTTGGAGCTGAGCCGCGGGTTGCAGAGGACTCTTGTCTTCCGGGGGCTGGTACTGGTCGTGCGGAGTCTGGGGGTGCTGGTGCGGAGTCTGGGGGTGCTGCGTCTGGGGGTGAGGGTGTCCCTTCGGTTTCTGGAGAGCCTGGGTCTGGAGCTGGTGTTGGTGCTGCCTCTGGGGGTGGTGTGCTTGGTGCTTCGGAGGTCGACTCTGGGGCTGCCGCTGCCCCGGACACTACTCCTTCCCCCCACCCCTACCCGACCAGGTTCCAGGCTCGTGTTCGCCGTGCTCGTGAGGAGCAGCTGGAGTTGGAGAGAGAGGAGAGAGAGTTGCAGCGGCTCGAGGAGCAGGAGCGACAGCAGCAGGAGCAGCAGCAGGAGCAGCAGCAGGGGCAGCAGCCGCTGGAGCAGCAGCAGCCGCAGCAGCCGCAGCAGCAGCTGCTGCCGTCTCCTCCTCCTGTCTCGGGTCTTCGGACCCTTGGTCTCCCGTCTCCCTCTCCTTCCTCCTCCCCCTCTCCTCCCGTCTCTGGTCCTCCGCTTCCTCCTCCTGACCCCTCTCCCGCTGTTTTCCCTCGTTCTCAGTCTTCGTTGTCTCCTCCTCCTTCTCAGACTTGGGCCTCTCGTCGCTCCCCTCGTGCTCGTCCCTCGTCTCCTGTTCCCTTCACTGACCTTCGTACAGCCTTCCTTTGTTCTCGTCCACCTCGTCCGTCTCCGTCTGTGCTTCCGTCTCCTCCTGAGTCGGCCCTCACTGTGTCGCTTCCTTCTCCTGTCACTGACTACTACCGCACGTACCGTCCTCTTCTCTCTCGTGTTCTTGCCTCTCTTGTTACCCACCCTCGTGCCTCTGTGTCCTCTGTGTCCGCTCTTACTGCCGCAGTCACTGAGTTTGCCTCTACCCGCCGCCTTGACTTCGCCACCGCTCTTGTGGCTGCTCCTCCTTCCAGTCCTCTGGCCGTCGGGGGTGTGTCTGCCCTTGGCTGTGACGCCCTAGAGGACAGGCAGTTTGAGCTAGAGTTCCTGGCGGCCGCTTCCCCTCATCTCTGTGCCATGCTCCTCGCCCCTGAGGGTGACCCCAACGCCCTTGACATTCCGACTCCTCGCACTTACGCTGAGGCAGTGTCAGGGCCTTGGGCCTCTCAGTGGAGAGCTGCCATGGACGCAGAGATGGCCTCCTACAGATCCACAGGCACCTACGTCGATGAGGTTCCCCCTCCGGGGGCGAACGTAGTCGACGGCATGTGGATCTACAGGGTGAAGCGGCCACCGGGATCTCCTCCGGTCTTCAAGGCGCGCTACGTGGCTAGAGGTTTCAGTCAGCGCGAGGGAGTTGACTTCTTTCAGACCTTCGCGCCCACCCCGAAGATGACCACTCTTCGGGTGTTACTACACGTAGCAGCACAGAGAGACTACGAGTTACACTCTCTCGACTTTCTCTACTACTTTCCTTCAGGGCAGTCTTCACGAGGAGGTCTGGTTGCGTCGTCCCTCTGCCTTCACTGGCTCTTTCCCTCCTGGGACCCAGTGGAGGCTGAGGCGACCGGTTTACGGTCTTCGTCAGGCTCCTCGTGAGTGGCACGACACTCTACCCTGTCTGACCTTGGGTTCCAGCCGTCTTCTGCTGACCCGTCGCTGTTCGTTCGTCGTGGCCCCACACCTTTCTTTGTTCTGGTCTACGTTGACGACCTTGTTTTCGCCACCCCTGACAGGGTTGCTTTGGCACACGTGAAGTCCGAACTGCAGAAGAGACACACCTGCACTGATCTTGGTGAGCTGCGCCACTACCTTGGCCTGCAGATCACCAGGGACAGAGCTGCTCGCACCATTACACTTTCACAGTCGCACATGGTGCAGCAGGTCCTTCAGCGGTTCGGGCTTCAGCACTCCACAGTACAGCGCACACCTCTTGCTGTTGACCACAGACTCACTGGACCCTTTCCTGACGAGCCGTTCGAGCCTAGTGGTCCCTACGCAGAGCTTGTGGGTTGCCTCATGTACCTGATGACTTGTACTCGCCCGGACCTCGCCTTCCCTCTCAGCGTTCTTGCGCGCTTTGTTGCGCCAGGGAGACACCGTCCTGTTCACTGGACAGCAGCTGTGAGGGTGGCGAAGTACCTAGCGACGACATCAGGCGTGGGGCTAGTTCTTGGAGGGCAGCAGTCTGTCGTACTTACTGGTCACTGTGACTCCTCTTACGCTGACGACGCTGAGACTCACAGGTCTACTCAGGGGTACTGTTTCAGCCTGGGTTCTGGAGCTGTTTCCTGGCGGTCCACGCGCTCCTCTTCGGTCTCGACCTCTACAGCTGAGGCTGAGATCTACGCTGGTGCCATGGCGGCACAGGAGCTGCGTTGGTTGACCTTCTTGCTCACCGACCTTGGTGAGCGGCCGAGCTCTGCACCGACCTTGTTCACTGACAACAAGGCGTCTATTCTCCTTTGTCGAGAGCCACGACTGGAGAGCAGAGTGAAGCACATTCACGTCAGGTACTTTCTTCTGCGAGAGTTGCAGAGGCGTGGACAGGCTCGCTTTGAGTTTGTGGAGTCCGAGGCCAACACTGCAGACATCTTCACCAAGGCGCTTCCGCCTTGTGACCACCAGAGGTGCTGTGTGCAGTTAGGCCTTGTTGACACTGGTTCTCGTGTTGCTTAGACTTGAGTGTACTGTTTACTTTGCTTTCTATATATCTCTGTTACTTCTTGGACTGGCCTTGTGGCCACTGTTGTTTGTGCTCAGACTGTGTGGTGACGTTGTGATCCACCCTGAGCTTCGTTTCTTGGACTGGTCTTGTGACCGTACTCGTTTGGTTCTGTTAGACACCCCTCACTTAGGCTATGGGGGTGTGTCAAATGTTGTAGCCTATAGTGAGGCATGTCTTAGGGGGTACAAAACTTAGGGTTAGCTATATGTACCCCAACCAACATCAATGCATCATCCATTCTTCATTCTGACAGGCAGCTCTTTTTGAAGTGCTATTGGGAGCTCCCCTTGTGGAAAGGGTGATGCTTTAAGAACTGTAATATTATATGGTCAAGGAGGAGTTTATTGTAAGTATATTCTGTATATGTTTAGGTATAATATAAGAGAGCGTATGTATGCACAGCGGCTACCTATGTAGACTGCTCACGTGGCAGTGGCTTGTACTTTCTTGCTAACCACTGGAAATGGCATGTCATTTAGCATCCCCGAAGTAAGAGTCTACTTCTGATGAACGCCTTTCCACCTCTCTCAATCTGAATATATCAGCTGAAAACGTGGACTTGGGTGTACCAATAAAGTATTGCGCTCTTGCGCATATGTGCTTCTCCGCGAGGGCCCTGAGAATACCTTTGTCCTCCTCATCCAAGTCTTCAAAATCACGCACCCAGTCGTACTCGTTGTACTCCAACGAGCCCTTGGTGAATTCGGGAAGCCTCTCTACAACGAAGGGGGCTTTGGAGTCCAACTCTGCATGTACGGTAAACAAGCAGACAGGTGTCAGATCCGCGCAACATAACGACAGTGTTGGCGCAAATCAAGTTGGAAAACCGACGAAGTCCGAAGGAACCAACTGCAACATCAATTCCCCGTAGTCACTCACCCAGCAGCAGCTTCTCCAGGAATTGCACTTCCGTCAGGCTTGCGTCAGTGGCAAGATACAGAATACTTATGCCACGGCCGCTGAATCGCGATATAATGTAGCGTGCAATAGACGCGATCGGCAGAAATGCCGGGTCCCTGCTCTGCTCCTTTTCCTCATGTCTCAGATACGCATGCGAGAAATCCCCTCTCCTCATATGCACAGCTGCATAGTCATCTCCCAGGAAAGTATCAACAAACCCCGAGACGAACCTCCGAACCACTGGAGGCGGCTCCCAGAGGTCCAGGCACGAGGTTCGGAAAGGAGGCTTGAATTCGTGCAGCATCTTTCCAGACTTGCCGTACATTGAGAAGCCATAGACGTTCCCAAGGCTGAGCACGCGAGAGTTGGCGTAGGGAGCATAGGCAGAGAGGAAATCGGCGAGGCCCCCAGGGGGGAGGGACTCCAGAGGGTGCTCGAGCTTGGCAGGCAGTGTGACGTTGGGAAGTTGGGCGAGGGACTGAAAATGGGGTTCGGGAGGTGGCACATATGGAAAAGAGGCGATTGGTGCATTATGACTTCTGGGATATTGTATGGAGGAGTAGAAATTTTGCAAGTGGAAGAGCACTCACCATTTGAATCGAATCCATGCAGGACCTCCCGTTGGCACAAGCAATGTGGTCTACAGTCACATTCTGGTTCGTCCTCGATACAAGCTCCTCCACTGTAAGCACGGTGTTGTTCCCGTACGCGTCCGCCAGGCACGTCTGGATGTGCGGGATGTCGAATATCAGGCTCCATCGCCATCTGTACCACGTCTGGTGGTGATGCGCGAATCCCGGGTCTGGCACCAAAAGCGTGCGGTTCAGAAGCGCCGCGAAGACCAAGTAGCTTCGCATGCAGTCCTCCTGAAGGGAATATAAATCAGTGGAATATTAGACCGGTTCGAAACCGGAGGACATTCGGGGAGTGAGGAAGCAAGAAATTGACCTCAGGACTGTCTCCCACCTGATTGGACAGTCGGCCGTAGAAGCACAGAGCAAGCAAGTAGCGATCCGCTTGGGGTTCCCAAACTTCGATCACGTCGCTTGGAACTCCCGAACCGTTTCGCGTGGCGAAACTTGTAACATCCATCGCAATCGCAGACCGCGAGTCCTTGTCCAGGGACTGGAGAAGCCTCATTCTTCGTGAACTGCTGACCACAGTGCCCTGTTCTGCGGAAGGAGACGATCGGAGATTGTTGCGCGACCGTGGAAGGAAAGACCATTGACGAGGCTTGGTGACTAAGAGGTGGTTTGAAGACGGAGCAATGCCACTGGAGATGCCTCGGAGTCGCGACGAAAGAAATGTCGCAAGCGACTGCGACGAAAAGCTGGCGAACAGGGCGAAGAGCAGAAGCGTGAGGCTTGGTCGGGACATCTTGTCTGAGAAGACGAGCGTCGGCGAGGAGATTCGTGACGTTCTAAAACGTGGATGGAAGCTCGTGCGACTCATTTTGTGCGGTACTAAGTTTGGAACTAAAGTCACGAAGTCACTCTACAATGCTGCGCCGGAGGATCCGTAATAGTCACTCGCGTGTTCAATGCTAGTTCCGGCGAGATAATTTTTTTTTCGTCTCCTAATGCTTCTTATGAATGCATGCAAGAGGAATGAAGGGGGTAATAGGAGGAGAAACAAAGATACCATAACACCGACATGAGACACGACGGGTACTAGGCGATGACGGGTGGGATTTGACCCGCGTCGGCTATTTATAAAGTGCATCCTGCGGTTCCGTCTGACGCCTAGAAAATTATCCTAGCCACCGATTTTGCAAGCGGCCAAATTTGACAACACGGAGAGTGGAATTTCAGGCCTGTGCCTCCGTGTTGTTCACTGGAATTCCCAAGGCCCCCGTCTGCCTGTTGTCGAGTGGAATTCCCAAGGCCCGTGCCTGCCTGCGAATTTCCTGGCTGGCAGCATGAAGTGTGGCAAACAGGCTAATCCGACGGCCATAATGCGTTTTCGGATCGAATCTTACGGTCACGAGTGAATGTTCTTGTCTGTCAGGTAGCTGGTCTGGAGTGTGGCTGCAACTGGTGCGGCTCGGTTTCGTTAGTGGGAAACTGCATCTAAGTGTAAATGTTAAAAACATATTGAGTCCAAATAGTTTCACTATGTCCATAAGTGAATCTTTCAAAGCACCATGAAAAAAAAAAGTGCAGCAAGAACTAGAAATAGGCACAATAAATAGAGTATCCTACTGTTTAACTGATGTTACCACACCCACTGTACCAGGTCAACAATTACACAACAGATATGCAATCTGGAGCCACTGCAAGCAGCCCCCCCTGTTCAAGATAAACGAGAAGCAACCTTCTAAACCAGGCTGCTTCTCTGCATAACCTTGCAACCAGAACCCACCAAACGCTGCCAGTAACACACAGCTTGCACCATTTCCCAACAAGTAACCAATCACAACACCCAACAAAGCCCCCCTCCCCACCAGTCCACCCACACCCAACAACACAACCTCCCATACTCTTAACGCGGCCCAGACAGGTTGAAGGCATCGAGCGAGATACCAGTGGTGGTATTCTCCCAGATAGCAGGCGTGTTCACCACCGCCATAACATCCTCGCCTGACATTTTCGCTGCCTCCTCCTGCCACTTCTCCCACTTGTCCGCCAGGGCCTTTCCAGACAGCATCTTTGCCACCTCATCCATGGTTGGGCGGTCCACCGCGTCGTGCTTCATGCAGAGCAGCGCCACCTGGAGCATCTTTGCCACGTCAGCCTCATCGTAGCCCAATCGGGTGAGGTCGTTGTCCACGAATTCGGGGATCTTGCCGTCGCGGAGCATGTTGGCCACCTGGCGAAGGGGTTAGGAAAGAGACAATGGGGGGAAAGCCGAAATATAAGCCAAGTAGACACAACGTGGAGGTTGAGTGGATGTAGAAGCAGGCAAAAGAGGGTGGAGACATCAGGAAAGGGCACAGTGGGAGTGCAGGCTGGAGATAATCGAGAGAAAGAGAGACAAAAGTTGTTTCACCTCAATTACACAGACTGAGATGACATGCGTGCAACAAAGGTGCCTTTGAAGGAACTCACCCAGTCCCTGAGAAGCAGCTCCTCGGCTTCGGGCGGCAGAGTGAGCTCAAACACGTCCTTGCCCGACACGAGCTCCAGCAGGAACACTCCGAACGCATACACGTCCGTCTTCTCCGAGCACTGCCCGCTCACAAAGTACTCTGGCGCAATATGACCAATAGTTCCCTTCACAGCAGTGGACGCGTGGCTCTCATGCACGTCCATCTCCTTGGCCAGCCCGAAATCAGCGATCACTGCCTCGTCGTTCTCGTCGAGGAGCACGTTCGCGGCCTTGATGTCGCGGTGAATGAGCTTCGGGTTGCAGTCCGTGTGCATGTATGCGATGCCTTCTGCGGCGCCGCGGGCGACCTTCATGCGCGTGTGCCAGTCCATGGGGTTGCCCTCCTTGCCTGGCCGTGACAGGTGATTGAGGGTGGGAATAAAAGGGTGTGGACAAAGAGGGGAAGTGGGTGGATGAGGTGGGGGTTGTAATTTGTGTGCATAAATGTGATGCCCTCCCACTCCTCCACGCCACTGAGCCATTGGGATAGAAGGGCATTAGGCGCATGCGTTCACCCAGCTTCACCGAACTAGACCCAGCTGAACCGTATCTCACCCTAAGTGCGGGAGGCCACAGAGCCATTGGCATAGAAGGGCAGCACGAGCATGCACTCGCCCTTCTCCACACACACGGCCTGCAAGGGCACCCATCACCCTCCCACCCATCTCCACTGCGCGAAACCTAACCAAGCCACACTGAAGCCAACCAAACCGCATCTCACCTTGAGTGCGGGACGCCACAGAGCCATTAGCATAGAAGGGCAGCACGAGCATGCACTCGCCCTTCTCCACGCAGAAGCCCTCTGAGTGCATGACGTTGCGGTGCACGGCGCGGCTGATGAGCTCCACTTCCGACAGGAACATGAGCTCTCCACCTGACTTCTTCTCCTCCTGTGAAGGAGAGGACAAAGGCAAACAAGTGTAGAGGCAACAGAGAGAGGAAGACGGAGGTGAAGAGCAGGAGCAAATGGAAGGGGGGGTTGAGAAAGAAGCCCTCCGAGTGCATCACGTTTTGACGGCTCGGCTGATCAGCTCTACCTCCGACAGGAACATGAGCTCTCCACCCGACTTTAACCCCCAACACGGCTCCCCACCACCCGCTACTCCTCCGCACCTAGATTCTCTTGACGGCAACAAACTTGCCTTGCCCTTGTACACCTTGCTGAACCCGCCCTCGCCCAGCACATCAACCCCCAGATCCGCCACTTATCACCCTCGTCACCGCACATCACCGCTCCCCGCCTTCCCCCACTGTTTCATACCTTGATTCTCTTCACAGCCACGAACTTGCCGTCCTCCAGCTTGCCCTTGTACACCTTGCTGAACCCGCCCTCGTCCAGTCGACCCACTACATGCCACATCATCATCACCATGCATCACCACACATCACCGCATACCACCGTTCTCCACCTCCCCCCACTCCTCCTCACCTTGATTCTCTTGACAGCCACGAACTTGCCGTCCTCCAGCTTGCCCTTATACACCTTGCTGAAGCCGCCCTCGCCCAGCATGCCAAACCCACAGCTACCCCCTTCATCACCGCACACCACCCCACATCACCGCAATTCACCGCTGCCCACCTTGATCCTCTTGACGGCAACAAACTTGCCGTCCTCCAGCTTGCCCTTGTACACCTTGCTGAACCCGCCCTCGCCCAGCATGTTGTCGTCGTCAAACCCGTTGGTTGCCTTTGACAGCTCGTCCACTGAGAAGCGCCTCAGCGTGCCGAAGTGACGCGTTGAGATTTGGGCTGTAACAGGGGAAGAGTGGGGCAAGAGGGCGCGAGAAAAGGGGGAGGAGGGGCGGTAAGGGAAGACAAGGGGGGTGGAGCAGAAGTTGAGGAAAGGGTGCAAGTGTTGGCATGGAACCCGTTGGTGGCCTTGGACAGCTCGTCCACTGAGAACCCCCTCAGCGTGCCGAAGTGATGCGTGGAGATTTGGGCTGTATGGGATGGAGAGCCAGCAGAGCCACCATCAGAGCAACCAGACATTTGCGATTCCCAGTGACTTTCCACCCATAAGACAGACGAATGGAACCAGCTCTTGTATACCCCACCAACTCATTCTCAATGTCCTGTGCGAGCCTCTCTGCCTCCTCGCGCTTGCGCTTCTCCTCCTGCTTGAAGCGGATGTAGAAGAAGAGCGCCACGCCCAGCGCGAAGAGAGCGCCACCAGCAGAGCCACCAGCAGCGCTACCCGCCATGTGCCATTCCCCCACGTGCCCTCCCCCATGCTTTTGCATCATACAGCCAGCTCCCATCAACCCCAACTCACTCTCAATGTCCTGCGCAAGCCTCTCCGCCTACTCGCGCTTGCGCTTCTCCTCCTGCTTGAAGCGGAAGAGCGCCACGCCCAGCGCAACAAGCAGCGCCACCAGCAGAGCTACCAGTACAGCCACCAGCAAAGCCATATGCCACTCCCAGTGCCCCCGACTCACTCTCAATGTCCTGCGCGAGCCTTTCAGCCTCCTCGCGCTTGCGCTTCTCCTCCTGCTTGAAGCGGATGTAGAAGAAGAGCGCCACGCCCAGCGCAAAGAGAGGAACCATCAGCAGAGGCACTAGCAGAGCCATATGCCACTTCCAGTGCCCCCGACTCACTCTCAATGTCCTGCGCGAGCCTTTCAGCCTCCTCGCGCTTGCGCTTCTCCTCCTGCTTGAAGCGGATGTAGAAGAAGAGCGCCACGCCCAGCGCAAAGAGAGGAACCATCAGCAGAGGCACTAGCAGAGCCATATGCCACTTCCAGTGCCCCCGACTCACTCTCAATGTCCTGCGCGAGCCTTTCAGCCTCCTCGCGCTTGCGCTTCTCCTCCTGCTTGAAGCGGATGTAGAAGAAGAGCGCCACGCCCAGCGCGAAGAGCGCGAGCGAGCCAAAGACGATTCCAATGACCGCGCCCACGCCCAGCCCCGTCGCCCCCGCGGGTGGTGGGGCTGCGACCGCCGTGTAGTTGTTGGGACAGCTCTTGTAGGTCACTGGGGACGGGGAGAGGAGAGGGAGGGACGGGGAGAGAGTAGTGGGGGAGGGGAGGTGGGGAGGTGGGGGAGAGGGAGGGAGGGGAGGAAAAGGGGGTGTGGACAGGGAGAGCGTTTGATAGTCAGCCTTAAAAGTCGAAAGTGCGACGTGAGAATGAAGAGCGCGAGCGAGCCAAAGACGATTCCAATGACCGCGCCCACGCCCAGCCCCGAGGCCCCCGCGGGTGGCGGCGCGGCCACCGCCGTGTAGTTGTTGGGACAGCTCTTGTACGTCACTGGGGACGGGAGACGGGGGGGGGGGGGGGGGGGGGGGACGAGAGGGGAGCGCGGGAGAGGAGAGGGAGGAGAGGTGGGAAGGGAGGGGAGAGAGAGGGGAGGGGAAGAGGACGGGACGGAGAGAATAATGAGATGACGAGAGGACGGGATGTAGAAGAAGAGCGCCACGCCCAGCGCGAAGAGCGCGAGCGAGCCAAAGACGATTCCGATCACCGCGCCCACGCCCAGCCCCGAGGCCCCCGCGGGTGGCGGCGCTGCGACCGCCGTGTAGTTGTTGGGACAGCTCTTGTACGTCACTGGAGGCGGGACACGGCGGGGAGGAGGAGCGAACGGGAGAAAAGAGAACGGGAGGGGAGGGGAGGGGAGAAGGGAGGGAAGGAAGGGGAGGGGAGGGGATGGGGGGGAGAGAGGATAGTTGGATAATGAGTTAATGGATGATGGGGCCTGAGGATTTAAGGTAAGTGGTATACGGAGAACGAGTAAAGGAAACAACGAACGAGAGGGAGGTGAAAAGAAACGGGTGGCGAGGAGGGAGAGGGAGAGGGAGGCGGGGGGGGAAGAGTGGGGAAGGTTTTGGGGTGGGGGGGGGAAGGGGGGGGTGTGGGGGGAGAAAATTACATGCATGTGCATTGGCATGTGGATGTGCATGTGCATGTGCATGTGCATGTGCTTGTGCGTGCGGCGACTTACCATCCAAGCATCCGCTGGTGTTCAAATGTGGGTTGCCCGCGAAGCTGGATGAGGGAGGAGAGGGAGAAGCACGAGGAAGGGCAGACGGGGGAGAAGCACAGGAGGAGAGGGGGAGACGGGGGAAAGGGAGACGGGGAGAAGCACAGGGGGGGGGGAGAAGCACTTAGGGCACGGGGCCGTTGATAGCATAACGTGAGAGGCCGAAGGGCATCAGGCACGTGGCGGAGGAAAGTGAAACTCACGAGGAGCGCGGAAAGATTAAGCGGATGGGAAGGAGGGAAGAGTGGGAAGAGGTGGAGAGGTGGTGGGTGGGACAGGGGGGAATGGAGAGGAGGGAAAGAGGGGTGGGGTGGAAGAGGGAGGGGGGAGAGACGGGGAGAAAGGTGGGGAAGAGGGGAGGAACAGCAAAGAGGTCGCGGGAGCACGAATCGGGGGATGGGAGGGAGGAAGTGCGTGCATGGTACGGTGCGGTGAAGAGCGGTGCAGAACACTTACTCGGGGCAGGGGAAGCGCTTGAAGCACCAGGGCAGCGAGCCGGTGAAGTTGTTGTCGGCAAGATGGCTGCGAAGGAGGACGGCACGAGGGGGGGGACGGGAGGATAGCACGAGGGGGGGGACGGGAGGATAGCACGAGGGGGGGGACGGGAGGATAGGGAAGATGAAAGAGAGGTGAGGATGATTGTAGCATCGAAGCGAATCACGACGTGCTTGAAGCACCATGGCAGCGAGCCGGTGAAGTTGTTGTCGCCGAGATGGCTGCGACGGACGGAAAGACGGAAGGACGGGGCGACGTTACGAGGATGAGCACAAGAACGAGAGACGATGCGGAAAACAGGACGGTGGAGAGACGCAGAGAAGGCGAAACGTCAAGAGCTGAGACAGGGCGAACGGGTGAGGAAGAGGAGGAAGGGTGGGGTGGGTGGGTTGGGCTGGGAAAAGGGGGGAGTGGGGTGGAAGGGGCGAGCGAGAGTGGGGGGAGTGTGGAAATGGGAGCGGAGAGGGGGAGGAACGGGGCGAAGGGGGGAAGGAGGTTAAAGTCGCGCTTACAGGCACTCGAGTTTGTCGAGGTAGCAGAGCATGTCGTCGAGCGTGCCGTTGAGCTGATTGCGCTCTAGGTTGAGTGACTTGAGGCTTGGCGCCAGCCCCAGCTGCGGCGGCTGCACGAAACACACAAGTCGTGGGCGGGTGAAGAGAAGGATAAGAGGGTAGACATATTAAAAATTATACAAGGGCGAACGGAGGAGGGCGCTGCACAGGTGACACTTGGTCAACGCAATCACTTGGTTCAGGAATGGAACGGCGAGTCCGACATTTCATGGCCGACTAGATTGACGGTGACGGGGGGGCTGTTCGAAGCGGTCAAGCCGTGAGCGTCGAAGGGAGGGTGACGAGGCAGCGCCGCTCACTCACCAGAGGGCCTTCCAGAAGGTTGTAGGAGACATCGCGCGGACAGCAATAATCCAGACGGGTTCGAACGAGAGCCGGCAGAAATAAAAATTCGGGGATAGGGAGGTGGTGCTGCTCACCAGAGGGCCTTCCAGAAGGTTGTAGGAGACGTCGCTGAGCAATAATCACCAAAGGATAGCAATCATCCAGACGGGTTCGAACGAGAGCCGGCAGCACCCAAACGCATGCGAACGACGATTCGGACGCAATTCCGACGGGTTTGAACGAGGAGGCAGTGTCACCGCATGCAATGCAGAACACCAAACGCGACAAGGGGCAAAGAGGCACGGGGGAGACGAAAGGAAATATGATAAGATTGGCGATGCAGGGTTCACGAGCGAGGCGTTTCAAAACAATCTCGCAATCATTGAAAGGGGGGTAAAAGCGGAAACTGCAGCAATGGATTGAAATTTCTGGCGACAAAGAACTGGAAAGCAAAGAGCTGTAAGGCACAGAGGGCGAGGCACTCACAGGCGCTCGAGAAAGAGCACGCCCGAAATGTTCCAGTCCAAGCCACCCTGCAGCTTGGGCACGCCCGCCGGGAACGACGGGTAACTCAAATCCCTGCGGATAGGAGGGGCAGGCAGGGTGGGGAGTGCGGAGGTAGGGAGGGGTAGGGAGGATTGGGAGGAATAAGGAGGGCAAGGGACGGAAGAGGAGAGGAATGGAGGGGGGGGGGGGGGGGGGGGGGGGGGGGAATATGAGTTTCCGAGAAAGAGAGCGAGAGGTGAGGGGCCAGGGATACTGTCGACGTAAGGTGAAGAGCGGCAGTGGGGGGACAGAGAGACGGCGAGGCGGCGAGTCGACGAGACGCGACAGTGGTTGCGGGAAAAAGAGTGGGGAACAGTGAGAAGGTTACTGGAGAAAGAGAGCAGCCGCGAGCAGACTCGGGGATGAGAGAACGCAAGAGGCGTGGAAACAAGAGGGAGATGATGGGACGCGCGGTCAGAGACGTGTGCGCGGAACGACTAGGCAACGAGAAGACGAGGGAACGAAGTGATGAGAGGACGCGAGGACGAGACGGCGACGAGGCGAAGAGGCGACACGGAGGCGAGAAGGGAATGAGGAGGCGAGAAGGGAATGAGGATACGAGACGTCAAGACGCTACACGGTCGACGAGGAGACGAGATGGGCAACGAGGCGACGAGAAAACAAGACGGTCGACGAGGCAACCAGACGACTAGGCGGCGAGAGGCGACAAGACGACGTCGAGACGGGCGACGGCGCTTGAGGAAACAGCGCGACGACGAGTCGCCAAGAAGACGAGACGACGAAGAGGCACGTACACGGAAGTGACGTAGCCCTGGTCGTTGCAGGAGACGCCCGCGTACGGCAGGTCCGTGGTGTTGCCCGGACACGGCCGACCGACGGCGACGTTCCAGAAGGACGCGGGGAAGTTGGTGAAAGAGGACTCCTGCCATCCCAGCAGGAAGGGGTCTGGCGGATGGAGGGAGACGAAAGCAGGGAGATGGAGAAAGACGCAGGGAGGAACAGGAAAGGAGACGCTTGAGTTGCCCCGACCGACGGCGACGTTCCAGAAGGACGCGGGGAAGTTGGTGAAAGAGCTCTCCTGCCATCCCAGCAGGAAGGGGTCTGGCGGATGGAGGGAGACGAGGAGGGGGGAACGAGGGGGAGAGGCAGGCGGGGGTGGACGAGGGGTGGGAAAAGACGTAGGGATGAGTGGGATAGGAGATTTGTGAGTTCACTACAAAACAACATTTCCTGGCATAGCAGCATAAGGGGGCATGGCGGGTGCGATGCGGGGAGTGAGAGGAGGTAGTCAGGAAGGAGAGGGTGGAGGAATAGGGGTGAGACTGAGTGAGGTGGGGAGGATGGAAGGTGGGTCGTAAGAGGAAATGATAAGGGTAGAAGGGCGACAAGGCCGAGGCGACGGACTCGTGCAGTAAGCGCGACTCAGGGAGTGAGAGTGAGTAAAGGACGAGGACCAAGTGCAATAAGCGCCTGCCTGCGCTTCCGACCGCTTCCGCGATGAGAAACGGAGACGAGATGTAAAACGGACAGCTTCATGGGAGCGCCAACCATCTTCATCCACTGACTGCTACTCACGTCGGAATCTACCACTCGGGACAGAAGCTAAAAGCTACGCACTCGCCGGAAACGACGCTGCTCGTATCCTTCTTACAGGAGAAGAGTCGTATGTTTCCTACACGCATTTGCGGGTAATCCAACGGTGGTTCCTCCATAATCAACTACACTGCTGAGGGTACTGTTCGTAAAGAGTGTGAACTTCGACACGGTGAATGATGAAACAGCTACCCAACGCGCGTAGCCTCACATCCTGAATCGCGCAAAACAACGTTTACACGAAGTGAAAGGCGGGAATACGTCAGCCATGGAAACTTACTATCTCCTGCGTAAGCCGCTAGCATGTAGTCCATTCCTTGCACGCTCGAGCTTTGACCATCCACTCGAAGAAGCGTCAATGATACCACCAATGCACACACCAGCCACCGACACATTCGACTCTCTTGCGTGACCATCTTGGCTTGCTGGTGCGGTTGTAGGTCTAGAATATGATGACACCAACGCGTGGTGCTCTGAATGCCTGCCTGGAAACTGGGAAGCTAAACTATGGTAAACGAAGCACTGATCTACAAGAAACGGGCACTTCAATGTATTGTGCCTAGCGGAGCTAAGCCCACGGAGAATGGCGAATGCGTAAGCTTCTGCTCCACAAACCCTATTGTCACCGCCTCCTAACTTAGCTTGTCTTGCTGAACTGCGGTTTGGATCCTGAGTGCCTTCCTCCAAAATGTGGTTCTGTCTTCCCTCTAAATTGCAGCTCATGTACACAGTTCCGTGTTGTCAATTCAACCCGTCCACTTGTTCACCTGGCTTGAAGACAGCACTTTTGGCAGTTGAGGTTGGCTGAAAGGAGGGGAGAACGCAGGAGAAACCCAAGGTCGAGTGTTGGAGATGTCTAGGAACCGCCGGAGGGAGACACGGCAAGCAGGACAACGAGGGTTTCGTTTTGTTGTGCACAGCAAACTCCGAGGTTGAGGTTCGGAGTCTCGTGATTTGGGTTCCGTGGCTTGTCGTGTCAGGTTCGGTGCCGTGAACCTGTGATGATACTGTACAGGTATGAATTAGGTCAGGTACGTGAGGTCTTTTCATTTCACAGCTGAAAATGCTGTTACTGTGTCTGCCGAACCACGCCGATCTGGCCGCAGCTACGGTTTTGTCATGCCATGTGACAGAGCAGAAATCACCTGACCGAGCCCTGAAAGTTACAGTACAAGAGAGCCAGAAACATATTTGCTGCTGCTGGTCGCGAATGAGGGAGGGTGAGAATCAGATGAGTCGCCGGTTTTCGCATACAAATGACGGTGAGGTGAGGAGCAACCGCCGTTTGCGCGGAGTGATTTTCCCTCCGCTGAAGTTCGTTGGGGGCTGAAAAAGGATGGTGCGAGGTCAGGTTGAAGCTGGTGGGCCCCGTAGTTCTTGCTTCAGGTCGTGTCCGTAGGGATGACATGTCAAAGCGGGCAGTGTCAATTTGGCATTTTGACACTCAGCCAACATTGTTGGCAGGGTGTCAAGAAATTGCATGTTGCCATCCAATACAAATCGTCGGACACTTTCTAAATTGGCACAGTCAAACCTACAAACGAGAGAAGATGGTCGCAGGTGCCTATCTCACGACCAGATGCTGCCCAATCAGCACACAATCTGTCTTTTGAATTGTTCGCTACCTGGCAGATCCACCCATGACAAATTCTCAAACCAATGAAATTCCGTCGCTGATGTTCGTACATGCGCTTCGACTTGACACTTCAGCTACAATGTTTGACACGCTAATTTGAATGCGCTTCGGGTTGACACGCCCTCACTTGACATGTCAAGCCTACGGACGTGAACTCAGATTTCGCTTCGAACAGACGGTTCTCGGGCAGAAAACAAAAGCAGGCTGACTAGGGTGCCTGATTTATGAAAATGCTGCTTGTGGGGTCGTCTGTCGTTTTTGTTATCGCCGTTTCTGATATCTTCCGCCGACAGTCCTGCTGACAAATGCAAGCACGAAAAAAACTGCCAAAAACCGCTTCAACAACATCCTCGGACAGCGCCTCTTGTATACACCATACTGCAATTGCTTACTCGCAAACGTGACATTCAGAACTTAACATTTGCATTTCGAAATATTCTAACCAGTACATATACACATAATGAATGACAGATAGTGCATATAAGTCTTTGGTTTCGACAACATTTTGAATGTCGCGATAAATCTAGTTTGCGGACAGCCCGATCACACCTGCACAAGGAGACACCACCAACGAATTTGCTGTCACTAAGTTATCTTCGCATCTATGATACAAACAGCAGCTACCATAGCAACTCACCACATGCCACCCTGCCGCCAGCATTGCCCGTGGCCTTGCTCAGCTCAACACCACCTGCACGAATACGCACCAGCACACACAACACAAACACACAGGACATTGGTCACTACCAGGAAAGCTTGTAACATACATATTAAGTCCACACAAGACACATGTGGATGAGCGAGCCTGGATAAGCGTAACGTACATGAAGACAATTATAGGCACTTTTTGCATCATATGAAAATCACATCCACAGGGAGACTTTTCTCCCTCCCTTCCCACTCACCCCTGCCCAGGTCGTCCGCATCAGCGTGCACGACAACAGCGCGGCCAAGAACAGAGTTGGGGCCCGACAGAGGAATCTGGAGGTCAGTCAGAGACACAGTCGCCACACCTGAACCAGGGTATACAGTAGACATGGGGGAGAACAACGAAAGTCATGTCACCACACACCTTAAGTTGGACATGGTTACAAGTTAGAACGGAGAAGAATGGGTACGGGAGAAAACAGGGAGATTATGCTAATAAACACAACCCTTTGGATCAGTGGATCTGATTGCCATGCACCAACTCACCTGACTCATTCGCCACCAGGTTTCCAAGGTCGCCTGCATGCCGCTCTGCATCCCCTGGTGCTCCATGAGTCTTGCCCGCCGGATTGAAGTGCGGACCTGGAAGGGATTCAGGGATGAGTTCGAAGCAGGGAAAAGATTTCACTTATGTGTGAAAAAAAGGAAAACACAAACAAACAAACAAACAAACAAACAAACAAACAAACAGACAGACAGACAGACAGATTGCGAGGTTCTTGCCATAATAACCCCATCAGAGCAGCTACACACACAGGGCACGCACAAAGGCATTGAAGAATTTCACCACATGGCTCAAAATGCCTAAGTAAAAATAGAAGAAGCCCACACCTGGGCATGCAGTCACTGGACAAGTCCACATTGTGCACGTGGAAGCCAGGAAGGATTTCTGTCAGCCTGTTGCATGCGGACTCCTTATGGCACGACTCTATAGCGAGCACAATAGGTCCTCACCAATGGACATGCAGCCGTTGGCGAGGTCCCCCAGCTTGTGCACGTGGAAGCCGTGCAGGCTTTTAGCCATCCGGTCTCATGGCTCTATAACGAGTACAATTAAAGCGCTATAACGAATGCAACAGGCACTCACCAGTGGACATGCAGCCGTTGGACAGGTCCCCCAGCTTGTGCACGTGGAAGCCGTGCAAGCCTGGTGTCAGGCCTGCCACGGAGGCGCTCACTTCCGTGGGGCCTGGGGGAAATGAGATGGCGGAGATGGGAAGGGACGAGGATGGGGGATTAGTAGGAAGGATGGGATAGGAGCTATGAATGCTCCTGACGCTGGAATGACCATGCAGGCAAACTCGAGAGTCAGCCCTGCCAATGTACTCCCTTTTGTGCGGCCAGGAGGTATCGGGGATGGTGGGAGTGGAGGGGAAGGAACGAAAATGGGAGAGCAGGAAGGAGGGGAATATGCTTACAGAGTTGCTGTCAGCCCTGACGCAGATGCAAAGGAAGGGGAAGTGGCATTGCCATGCATAGCTCAAGAGTACTGCCATTGTCGATTGTTCATTGCCATGCATAGCCCATCCCATCTGCTGCTGGATCCAAGTCGCCTCAGCCACGTGAGAGTTAACTGGGATGGAAATAGAATCTGCCTGATACTTGCGCAATCCCTCCAAGCACATTGCTATTTCTTCTAAATCTTAAGAAATTGCAGGTTGCATCCACTCTGTAACCAAGTAATGTGAAAAAATCAAAACAATGAAGCATACCCAGCGCTGATTCACCTGATCCTTCCTGCGAGAATGTGACAGTCCCGGAAACCCCGGAGCTCCCCGTCAGTACGGCGACGGCGTTGATTCCCGCTGCCGACGCGGCCGCTGGGGAGAGAGGCATGGCGAGGAGAGCGGCAAGCACGGCGGAACACGCGGGGACCGCCATCTTGGCAACAACAGTCGAGGGACCCCTTGAAATATCAGAAGATTCCTCGTTCAGGCTATTGCGAACGCGGATCACGGACTTGCTCGCGCATACTGATTGGCTCTTGACAGGGGGTCGTGAAGCCGAGGAGAGACCAGTCGCGGGAGCAAGGGACGGAGCGACGCGAAGGGACGCGGAAATCAGGCCGCAGGAAGCCATTGCGTTGGGTGGCGAAGCGGGCAAACTTGTTCCTCACAGGCGGAGAAAACGGCAATGGCGGACCCGCAATTGACGCTGTGAAATCCTGCTGGTTGTGGTAGCTTTGGAATGGAAAATGCGATGGAGGGGGAAAATGTATGGGACCACGTCTGGAGGGGAATCTTCAGGTACCGAGCATAGTACTGTACCGTACGGTAACGCACTATATGCCGGGTTATCGCACTATAGCGGGCGACGTTTCGGGTGTGAGGTGCGGGGCAGGTGCCACAGTTGTGATTCGCTCACGAGCTGGCTTGCCGCAGAGATTCCTGAATTTGGTCTACTTTCTGACGCTTCCACGTCTGGAAACACGTCAGCAGTGCTTACGTGGCCTTCAACAGATTGAAGTGTAAATCTGGATCTTGGAGGCAAATGTTCCACTACTCGTTGCATCGTTACAAACACAAATCACTAATTCCAAATCATCATGCAGATGTTTCTCTGGGGTACGGAAGGCTGGTCCAAGTGATTATTCAAGCTGCTGCTTGGAAGCCAATGACGCCTGCCAGAGACAAAAAAACTCATGAGCCCAGTACATACATACTCAACAAGGATAGGCGCGGATTCATATGGAAACCACATGATCTTGGATGTGCTAAGGGTAAGCTTACCGCACGCAAGCCTGCCTCCAGCATTCCCAGTGGTTTTGCTGAGCTCGTGGCCACCTGGATGGAGCAAACGAAGCATGACGATGTTCATAAACTGAAAATTATTAGGTTTATTGGCCGACTACATCCTTTCAAAAATACCACCAGCAAAACTTACAATCCCCTGTTCACTCATCACCCTCACTACATGCTCACCCTTGCCGAGGTCGTCGACGTCAGCATGCACGACAACAGCACGACCAATGATAGAGTTAGGGCCAGACAGTGGGATCTGAAGGTTGGGGTGGAGGAGGGGGGAGAGTGAGTGCATCAACTGCAAAGTACGTGGGCAACAATTGCACTGAAGCTTGAAGAGAAATCACAATGTGGGGAAATAAGGAACTGAGAGCCAAATGCATACCTGAGAGTCTGTAATGGTGAACTCCGCAACCCCTGCAAAAACGATCACAGCACCAATTCCAAAAAATAGTATTGGAAGTTAGAAGCTTGCAAAATTCTCACTGCACCTGGCAGGAACATGCACCAACACATGGTCATGCAGAAAAACGAGGGAAACGCGAAACCATTCAGTCACGGTCTCCATCCTAACAAGGAACCCCTTACCAGTCTCATCAGCAACGACATTCCCAAGGTCTCCCGCGTGCCTCTCCTCGTCTTCCGGAGCTCCGTGAGTTTTGTTCGCCGGATTAAAGTGCGGGCCTGACGTAGACCAGCCAGTGGCGGAAACCGACAACGGACGCAAATCGGAATAATTGCAAAAAGATTTTAAGGTCGAGATGATGTCAGTGCATCTCGCTCTAACATGGATTCGGGGAAGGTCAACGAAGGCAAAGACCACGAGAGGCGGATATAGGACACGAGCAGACGTTCCGTCGCGGACAAACTTAACAGATCAAGAAAACAGAAGACGACGAGACATGCAGGGGTGCCTCAATTTCGAGAACGAACTTACGATAGACACGCAATAGACCATAGGAATTCATTTATAGGGGCAGAGATATGAGTGCGACCTGTGGACATGCAGCCGTTCGTGGTGTCACCCAGGGCGTGCACGTGAAATCCGTGAAGCCCGGGCTTGAGGCCAGTGATCTTGCCGTTCACCACAGTCGAGCCTGATAGCACGACGTTAACAGATAGCGAACTTTTTGTCAAAAAGGTTATTCATGTTGTCATTGACTTCAACACTGTCACTTCGAAGCTTAATATTTACCGTAAACGCGAAATTAGGAGGACATAGACTCACCAGATTCGAGCTGCTCAAAGGTGACAGTGCCATTGACACCCTCGGAGCCGGTAAGAACCACAACAGCCTTGATCGTCATGTTGGCTGGGGAACAGGAGCAGTTCTGAGCAAAAACTGCTGTTGGAGCGAAGAGAAGCACAAAACAGACACTCAAAACAACAGCTGCAGAAATGAAATTCTGCATCTCTAGTATCAGCTGTGTTGTGAGGGGTGCTCGAGCTGGAAGGTTCGAATTGCGCCGAGCAGCTGGAGGGACGAAAGCGAAACTCCGAATCTTGTCGCACATTTACGAATGCCCGGCAGAGCGAAAATGCAAATCGCGAGGAGGTATCGGTGGCGACGACCATGCACACAGGTTCTGCGAAGTGGCCGTCAGCTTCTTTTGCGACGTTCGTCAGCACTGACTGGATTCCCCTGCACGTCAACGACGATTTACTTTCTGGATGGTGCCGCCAGAGGAATCCGCGGTTCGGCGCGGTAGCGTTGGTGACGACGACCAGTGAGCGGCTGACGGACAGTTCGACGCATCCGGTCATGCACGACGGTCAATCGACGGCTCCCGTGGTATGGGAGCGCTCGATTGGGATGCGGAGATCCTCGCCACAGTGTACATCTTTGAAGCGAAGAGGAGAGCGTTTCACCACTTCGGTACTGAAGTCATCAATATGGGTACCACGCTCAATGTCCCAGATTGTGTTGCGTGCTTTGGTAGTGGGGATGAGTGTACCCCCCACTTACCTCCATCAAACACACTGCATGTGAATTTCATATCATATGGAGTGTACGTTAATGGGTGCTCCTAGCTTACCAAGATCATCCAAGGAATGGAACCCACCTCTTTTGGAAACCAAATGTTGTCAGAATCCCAGCCACTAACCACTTGGATAAAAGGGCTTGTTTGTATAGCGGGTGAGTGCGCCCATAACCCCCCAGGCCGACATGCCTGTAACCCTTCCCTAGGATCATCGGGGATCCCCAGTGGACCTCTGACACCCCCCCGCACTGGGATGCCCGAGGTGCACACACCGGGAATCGAACCCGAGACCTTCGCTCTGATACCATGTCAGAATCCCAACCACTAACCACTGGGATAAAAGGGCTTGTTTGTATAGCGGGTGAGTGCGCCCATAACCCCCCAGGCCGACATGCCTGTAACCCTTCCCTAGGATCATCGGGGATCCCCAGTGGACCTCTGACAAATGTATCCTCGACAGTGTCTTGCTTTGTTAGCATTGAGAAAGCTTTCTGTTATTGCAAAGGCAACTGGCTTCATTACAATTGCAGTAATACAACATTCTCGTCCAACTATGGATCATACAAATATTGGTATCATAACTGATTTTATCATACTATTTTAGTCTGATTGTCTGAAATTTCAGACTCTTTTTTTTCGCCTTTCCTGAAATTTCAGTATTCATGTATTTTGAACTCTGAAGGCCTCAGACCTGTTAGTTTTTCAACTCTGAAAAATTCAGAGTACTTCATTGTGCGATACTGAGACTCGAGACTACATGGAGTATGGCCCCTGAAATTGCCGAACTTCAGTCCTCCCCCCTCCCCCTCTCTCGAATTACATTCAATTTCCCCCCTGCCCCCCTCCCCCCTCCCCCTTCCCCCGCCCCCTCTTACTCCTGCTTCTCGCCAACTCCGCAACGTTTTCCCTAGGCCAAACTCGCTTGACAGATATTCGCTATTAACCAACTCGAATGCGGTTTTTCTAACTTAATACTTTTCAGACTATTGTTTTTTTCAAACCTGACATTTCAGAGTACTCAGAACTTGGGAAATGACCTTCAGACTAAACGAAATTTTTTTCTCCCCTGCCTCAGAGTGGTTTTTTTTTAAACATCAGCCCTGATTGGTACAACTAGGGTGGGTGGATGGGGAGTGAAACTGCAAAGTTCTGAAATGAAGTCGTGGGTGGAGGCCGAATGGCCTCCAACCCTCGTTATGTACTCGGCGAATTGTAATTCGCCGTTGCTTTGCTTCGTTACAGGCAGCTGCGCTTTCACAATACGCATTTTTAGAAAGTGTTACACACTTTCGAAAAATTTCATATTGAGAAAGCTTGCTTTCTGTTCTTGCAAAGGCAACTGGCTTCATTACAATTGGATCTTCTGAGACATGTGCAGCTGGAACGTTGAGGACGTGGTGAGTGTAGTTGCGGTTGATGACATAGACGAAATGCCGGGAGGGGCGGCGTTGGTGAGTTGTGGGCTCCATGTCGATGGCGTCCGAGGTGCTGTGCGCGAAGGTTGCTCGTGCTGTTGATGTGGATGTCCCTTGTTGTTGTTGCACCAGGATAGTGGTTGAAACTGGTGGTTCCCGTACTCTACACGCCCAATGTACGGTACAACTTTTATCTTGGGATTTAGCTTCCATGTGCTCTGCTTTACCTTGTAATTCCAGTCGTTTGATGTTCCCGGCCGGAATAACTACAACGTGGGTGGATGTAAGGGTTTGAAGTGGTAGTCGGGTGAGTGTGGTATTCGTCATGTTGGTTGGGTAGGCATGGTCACACAATTGCCGCCTTTTACTCCCAAACGCCCATTCAGGTGACAGCATGCAAGTCGTTTCAACGCGTGAGAACAACTCGGTCCCCTGCCCCCCTTGGGGGACGGCTCTCAGGCCACACGGGGACCCTCGGTCCCCTTCCCCCCCTGGGGGACGGCTCTCAGGCCACACGGGGACCCTCGGTCCCCTTCCCCCCCTGGGGGACGGCTCTCAGGCCACACGGGGACCCTCGGTCCCCTTCCCCCCCTGGGGGACGGCTCTCAGGCCACACGGGGACCCTCGGTCCCCTTCCCCCCCTGGGGGACGGCTCTCAGGCCACACGGGGACCCTCGGTCCCCTTCCCCCCCTGGGGGACGGCTCTCAGGCCACACGGGGACCCTCGGTCCCCTTTTCCCCCTAGGGGACGGCTCTCAGGCCACACGGGGACCCTCGGTCCCCTTCCCCCCCTGGGGGACGGCTCTCAGGCCACACGGGGACCCTCGGTCCCCTTCCCCCCCTGGGGGACGGCTCTCAGGCCATACGAAGACCCTCTGTCCCTTCTTTTTATTCGGAGACGTCCTTGGGTGCGCTTTGAGTTGATCCTGTCGTAAATGTAGTTCTCCCGCGCGACCAGTAGAGTCTTTAAAAATGTCTTTCCACACCCGTGGTGTTGAGCCTACTTTTCTGCCACCAAGTAACAATAGGAGCATAGAGATTAATGGAAAATAATCGAAGAGATCATAACGGAAGAAAATTTTACAACTTAAAAGACTTGCAGCACGTAGGCAACAAATGACGCCCAGTCAAACGACTTAGGCGCTGCAGTAGCAATTTCGTAACTGCCGCTCCAGCGTCCATTTCGTCCCTCGAGCGCTGGTGGCGATTTTGCCACTGGCGCACGTGGCACTTTCGCCACATGCGCGCGTGTGGCGATTTCGTCCTTGGCGCGCGGCACTTGCGCCAGTGGCGATTTCGTCCAGATCGCGCGCCACTGGCGCCAGTGGCGATTTCGTCCCTGGCGCGCGCCACTGGCGCCATTGGCGATTTCGTCCCTAGCGCGCGCCACTGGCGATTTCGTCTCTGGCGCGCCTGTTGGCGTTTTGTCCGACGCACTTCGATCTCAGTTGAGCGTCCGCCAGTTACAGTCGTACTCGTGAGAGTGTGCCCTTTATGGAAAATCAAGCGCCTGGGTTGAACGTGCAAGTGAATGTTAGCTTAGAATATAGTTTCTAGCGACAAAGGAAACGGTCGAGGTGGTTGGACGAGAATTGGAGTGAAACTGCAAAGTTATGAAATGAAGTCGTGGGTGGAGGCCGAATGGCCTCCAACCCTCGTTATGTACTCGGCGAATTGTAATTCGCCGTTGCTTTGCTTCGTTACAGGCAGCTGCGCTTTCACAATACGCATTTTTAGAAAGTGTTACACACTTTCGAAAAATTTCATTTTCTCGAATCTGCCTGCCTGCCTACCTCCTTGAGCTGCAGCAGGATCTACTTCCTCAAAAATGACAGCAAGCAAGGGCAACGCCGATTCCTTCCCAAGCATGGGTAAGAGGGATGGTGGTGGTGGGATGCATTGCACCAACCCATGCATACCCTATTTTTGGAGTAACCTCTTAAAATTCTCAAACTTGCATACCTATCCTTCAGCTGCGAAGGAATCAACTTCTCCAGCATCGGCAATGAGTGGGGGTAAAGACGCTATATCCCCCCCAGGTGGAGGGTAGAAGGTGGGGAAAGGTTGGATGAACCCCCACATTGCCTATCCTTCGGCTGCGAAGGGGTCTACTTCTCTGGCATCGGCGATGAGCGGGGGTAAAGACGCCAAGTCCTCCCCGGGAGGAGGGTAGAAGGTGGGGAAGGGCAACTGCAAACCGCCATACTCTTGAGCGTCTGGCCCCTGCACATCATGCTTCCTCACTGCGTCCTTCACAAACACAAAGTTGCCACTGTGGCCGGGAACCTGGCAATAAGGGATTGCAGAATGAGACACATGGGGCGATAAGAGAGGCTGCCTAAACTTTGCTCTCCTTCACTATTGAACACACAGTTGCCAGTGTGCCCGGAAACCTGCCAAAGAGGGGGTGAGAAACAGGAAGAAGGCAGGGGGTAGAAGGTGGGGAAGGGCAGGTGCAGGCCGCCATACTCTTTAGCGTTTGGTCCCTGCACATTATGCTTCCTCACTGCATCCTTCACAAACACAAAGTTGCCACTGTGCCTGGGAACATGCGTTCAAGTCAACTCCCACTCACCTGCCCCTTCACCCACAGCAGCCCCCGTGCTTGTACACCCACACGCTCTGCACCGTTCTCCACCCACCTCCTTCCAAGCCCGGAACAATGCCCTGTTAGGTCCCTTAAGAACTCACCTGCCCCTTCACCCACAGCAGCCCTCTGGCCGGTTCCACCTTGTACATCCACACGCTCTGCACCGTGCCCCATCCACCCAGTACACACGAATCAATGAGAATTCAGGTCGACTCAATACTCACCTACCTGCGAGCAACACGCACCTGCCCCTTGACCCAAAGCAGCCCTCTGGCCGGTTCCACCTTGTACACCCACACGCTCTGCACCGTGCGCTGCTTGTTGCCCATCTGCCCCGCCATCTTCTTGTTCTTGAACACCTGGGGGGCGGGAGAGGAGGCAGGGGTTGCGGAGCAGGGGGGAAGGAGCAAGGGTGGGGGGGATTAACAGGGTTGGGGGAGGAGATTGGACATATGCCGCACAATTTGCTGCCTGTGTTCCCATGCTGCGATTAACATGTGGACCCATGGCTTCGATGCGGGAGGACCACTTTGGGGATGGAAAGCAAACAGGCACTCCTCAGTGTTCTGCCTGGAATGCTACACTTCTAAGTCGACTCATAAGTCACTTCAATGCACGATGCATGTCTGCAACACATGCACTGCAAGTACTGCACACCGCACCATGCATGTCTGCAACCAGCCTCACCTTGCCAGGGTCCTGCCGGCCTCCTGTGGACCCGTGGCTTCGATGAGAGAGTGATGCTCCGTGGGATGCTGGCATGCCCTTAAAGCCCCACCGTTTCATGGGACCCTGTGGAACGAGGCGAAGGGAGGGAAGAGGACGACATATGGAGAGAGGGAGGGGATAAGGAAATGATAGGAGCGAAAGCGATAGGAGGGAAAGCGATGATCAGAATGACAAAAGGAACGATGGAGACAATGAACAAACCAAGACAAAAGCGAGAAAAAACGCTGCCCAGAAAAATAAACATTCCTGCTACAGCCATACCTGAAAGCCCTTTCCCACAGTGGTCCCTGTGACGTCTACAAACTGCCCGGGAACGAAATGCCGCACGTCTGCCCACAGGCAGAGTACAATCCTCCGACACTCGAAACTCCACCAGCCAGCAGGCATCAGTCCCATCCCATCCCATCCCATCCCATCCCATCCCATCCCATCCCATCCCATCCCATCCCATCCCATCCCATCCCATCCCATCCCCTCCCCATCCCCATCCCCATCCCCTCCCCTCCTCTCCCATCCCATCCCATCCCATCCCATCCCATCCCATCCCATCCCATCCCATCCCATCCCATCCCATCTGGAACCCTAGATTCCAGGCTCATACTACAAACACCACACCTGGAACCCTTTCTCTTCTTTCTCTTCTATGGGCCTCCTGTAAGCGCCATACCTGGAAGCCTTTTCCCACGGTGGTCCCTGTGACGTCCACAAACTGCCCGGGAACAAAATGCCGCACGTCTATGGGCGTGCCCACGGGCAGAATGCAATCCTCTGATACGCGGAACTCCACTAGTTTTCGCTTCAGGGGCACCCCTGCTGCCCGGCAATGCCCCAGCTCCGGTTTGGTCAGCTGCTTTGGTTTTTTCTGCCCGGACCCGATTTGGAGGGAGGTGTAACCTTCTTTTTCCTTTGTTTTCACCTGCGGGAGAATGGGGGAAAAGGAGGGTGGGGGGAGAGGGGGGAGAGGGGAGGGAGAAAAGTTACAAGAAGTAACAAGTCCATAAATATCTCCTCAATTGTACATTTGATACCGCTCACGACTAACCCTCCCAGTGACACCATTTCTTGTAACACAGTTACAGCCACGGAATCTGTGTTGTTGAACTGCCGAATCTGTCCTCAACACTATCCCTACTCGCACCTACCCTAGGTATACCTCCTCCACTCGCATTACCTAGGCATACCTACCCCTGTCGTACCTACCCCAGTCATACCTGCACGACTTGGTTGTCATCTACCCACAGCACAGTAAGAGGGATCATGGGTCATGACCCAACCACAGCACACCTACCTATCCCAGCCGTCCCTACCCCAGCCGTACCTGCGTTCATGACTTATACCTGCACGACTTGGTTGTCATCTATCCAGAGCACTGTTAGAGGGATCCTGACCCCCCATTTATCCCACGTGGCAGTCATCCCGCATTTCACGGCGATCGCGCCCGTGCGCACGGGTCTCCCCGCGTTCAGCCCCTCCTCGTCGTCATCCACCCCCCATGCGCGGACCACCTCCTCCGCTTCCTCCGCCGCCGCTGCAGGAGCGGCGGAAGCGGCGGACGCGGATTGGAAGCTCCGCGCTCGAAGATCCGCGGCGGAAGCGGAAGTGGCTGGAGCGAGATGCGTAGAAGCGGCAAGATGCGCGGGGAGGAGACTCCGCGTGCCGCTGGGTAACCCGCGGAGCAGATCGACTCTCAAGAGGGAACCGGTGGTGGTTACGCCGGAAAATTTCGACTCTGTCGCAGCCGTCGCAGCCGTCGCGTAGGTCGCAGGAGCTTGTTGAATGGAGCACTGATTGATGATAGGGTATTGGTAGTATGTATGGTGATGGTTCAGAGGGGGGAACCTAGCGGTTCGGCGGCTTCGCGACGCGCTCCTGACGCTCTGCTTTGCCACGGAGCCAAGCCGCCGGAACATGATGACGACAGCAGAGGGTAATGGTGACGACAGCAGAAGGCGGTGCTAGGAAGAGCGCGCAAGCGATGCGGAGGGAGGACCAGTAAGGGCGCGCAAGTATCGGTTACCAAGGAGCGAGAAGGACAGGCAAGGTCGTGCAAGGACTACGGGCGGCTCGTGTTCAGTTCCGATCCTATCCCTCGCCTCGTGCTGTAGCCGCCAAAACCACTTTCTGTGGAACCTGGGAATTACTGGTACAAAATTCGCGGTGTTGAGTGCTCCGACGCAGTAGCTTTGCTGTATTTGATTAGCTTATAAAGCTGACTCTCCCATTTCCTCGGGCGTTGGAGGCTGATGGGTCTTTATTGGCTCGCGTCCGTGGGTCTGGCGAATCCTGACGAATCAATGCGCTGTGCTGTTATTGCGAAATTCACTTTGAAGGGTAACGCTGTTCCTAGAGATTTCGTAAGCAAGATTCCCAAGGGTAAAATCATCGTTCTTGCATCGGTTTCTTCGCGAATTCTTCTAGATTCCGAGAAGCCCCACAAACCACAAGCGTGAGTTGCACGGACCAGAACGAGTCAGTTTAGTAGTCTCTTCCCAGTTACGTAGAACAGCATCTCGAATCTACCCCTCACGTAGTTCAACCTTGCTGCTGAGCGTTTCGAACCATTGTTACGAAGGAATGCTGATATGCCGGTTCGGCTATAGCTTCATTTGCTAACTTCTTTGTCAGCTCAAGGCGCGGCTTTGTTATTTCGCTCCGTCCACGTCTGATCAGTTTCATTCTCAGCAAGCTACGGTGGCACCGAGTTCGATCGTTGACGCACCTCGCGACCGCCTCCCATACCTCTCGATCTCGTTTCTGCAAAGTCCGTCCTCTCGCCCGTCAAGGCTTCTTTCTCCATGTTCCTCATATGGAGTACGCCTAGTGCTCTCTGGTCAAAGCTTCTTTCTCTGAGTTCCTGAAGCTTTCAGCAGTTCCCGTCGCCCGGTTTCATCGCCTGGTTCTATCGCTCTGCGGTTTCTTGGAGCGCTTCAACACTCGACCATCTGCGCTCGCGTCAAATCCGCTTTCTCCATGCTTCTCAATCTGACAGACATCCCCACCACCCCCCGCCATAGCTTCTCTCACCAGAAGGCAATGCATCCCCTCGTTCCTTCACGTCACAGTTGACTTCTACTTCGATTCAGAAGGCAACTCTTCCCAGCTGTCACTACCATCCCTTGCCATGGCGTCTCTTGCCAGGAGGCGATGTCTCGCCTCGCTCCTCCGTGCCACAGAAACCGCAGCTGTAGCTTCCAAGCTTCCCTTTGGACCTCCCCAACACCGGTCCCTACCCGTTATAAGCAGCTCCGTTAACCCTCATTTTTTTGAGGCGCCTCGAAATCTGCCCAGCGGCTGTGTTTCTTTAACGATTGAACGCCTCGCAGCGCCGCGATCAGGGAACTCTGCATGCTTAATCAACCTGTCGACTCCTGCCAACTATGATTCATCGAGCATTACCGGGCCTCCGCAGGTCAGGGTGCTTCATGCCTCTGCGTCAGCAGCAGTGGGTGCGAGCCCAACCAGTGACCCTGGCACTGGCATGGGGAAGGCGGGTTTGAGTGTGCTTCCTTCTGCCCAGCGTGTCAGGGTGCTTCATGCCTCTGCGTCAGCAGCAGTGGGTGCGAGCCCAATCACTGACCCTGCTACGGGCAAGGCGGCTGTGAGGGGGCTTCAGCCGTCCCCGCGTGCTTCCAGTGAGCATGCAGGCGAGGGGGGCCGGTCCAAGCTGGTGGAGGCGTTTCAAATCCAAGTGAGTGGTGGACAGACGTGCATGCGATTGTGCTAGAAATGAGTTAGTCCCGTTCTAGTCCCATTCTAAAGGGCTTTCCGTCCCCGCGTGGCTCCAGTGAGCATGCAGGCCAGGCGGGCCGGTCCAAGCTGGTGGAGGCGTTTCAAATCCAAGTGAGTGGCCGGCTGCTTCAGGCTCCATGCACGGCTTTATTGTGGTCTCAAGTGCCCAAGTCGGATATGCAGTTGGAGAATGGCATTCTCGCCCTCTCACCTCACCTCTCCCGCTTCTGGCTCCCCCCTCCCTCCAACCCCCCACCCAGGCAGCATCAGACCCCATGCGAGGCTTCATGGTTGCGCTGCCTAAGTCGGAGCTCCCGCGTTGAAGCTTCCCCTTCCTCACAACACCCCTCCCCTCCCCCCTCTCCCCCCTCCCCCCCGCAATCTCAGGCAGCATCAGATCCCATGCGTGGCTTCATGGTAGCTCTGCGCTAGTGGGAACGCAGCTTTGAGATCGCCCTTGCGTTTAGAGACGTCATAAACGCCACGCTTCCCCATTCCACCTATCTCCCTTGTTCGACCTCTCAGGCAGCATCAGATCCCATGCGTGGCTTCATGGTAGCTCTGCGCAAATCAGAACTTGGCTTCGAGACTGGCCTTGCACTAAGGGACTTGCGGGTGGTTATTTCTGCACTGCAGAACCAGGTGAGGTGACGTTGAGGTGCCAAATAAGAAGTAACGATGCAATTGCAGAGTCAGCTGAACTGCAGGACGAACAGATGGCCTTGCGGGTGGTTATTTCCGCCCTGCAGAACCAGGTGAGGCGATGCTGAACCAGGTGGGCTGCCGAACCAGGTGGGCTGCCGAACCAGGTGGGCTGCCGAACCAGGTGGGCTGCCGAACCAGGTGGGCTGCCGAACCAGGTGGGCTGCCGAACCAGGTGGGCTGCCGAACCAGGTGGGCTGCCGAACCAGGTGGGCTGCCGAACCAGGTGGGCTGCCGAACCAGGTGAGATGCCGAGCCAGGTGAGCTGCCGAGCCAGGTGAGCTGCCAAGCGAGGTGAGCTGCCGAGCCAGATGGGCTGCTGAACCAGATGGGCTGCTGAACCAGATGGGCTGCTGAACCAGATGGGCTGCCGAGCCAGGTGAGCTGCCGAGCCAGATGGGCTGCTGAACCAGATGGGCTGCCGAGCCGGGTGAGCTGCCGAGCCAGATGGGCTGCTGAACCAGGTAGAATAGCCATCTTGTCTTTTCTCTCCAGTGCTTGACCCACCTCAATGCTCCTCATCCCTGCAACCACAGTTTTTGACCATTCTCATTTGCCCGCGTTCCATAGTGGTGAGTCTGGCGCACGTGAGAGCAGTCATAACAGCCAACCGCGCCTACGTGCTCAACACCTCCTCGCCCCACACTCTCTTCCCTCTCCCCTCCATGATTCTCCCCCAACGCTACCCATTTCCCCCCCCCAGATCCCCACCATTCTCATCCGCCCGCGGGCCATAGTGGTGAGCCTAGCGCACGTGAGAGCAGTCATCACAGCCAACCGCGCCTACGTGCTCAACACCTCCTCCCCCCGCGTGAGGCAGCGCCTCATCCCCACCCTCCTGCGCCGCCTCTCCTCCTCCCACTCTGCCTCTGCCGCCGCTGCTGGTGGTGCTGGTGGTGGTGGTGCCGGTGGTGGGGGTGATGGGTGTGATGTTTGCTCTCCCCCGTCGCCCGCCTCCTCTGCTTCGTTTTCTGGGTCGGATTCGTTTTTCTCTGGAGCTGTGTCGGTATTTTCTGACTGCGGGGGTGAACCTCAACGGGGAGAGGTGCTTGGATCGGAGGGTGGTAAGGAGCAAGGAGGGAGTGAGCAGAAGCTGTTGGGGCGGCAGGAGCAGCAGCAGGTGAAGCAGCAGCGAGAGGAAGGGCAGCAGCAGGAGCAGGAGCAGGGGCAGGGGCGGGGAGAGGAGCAGGAGCAAGGACGAGAGCAGTGGGCTTCTGGTCTGTGGGGTGATGAGCAAAGCAGGTGTAGGGAGAGTGGTAGGGAGGTGAGGGGAGTGTGTGGGAGAGGAGAGGATGCTTATGAAGCGAGGGGGCTTGGAGAGGAAAGGGAGGAGAATTTCTTGAAAGAGGGGAGAGAGGATAGGAGAGGGGATAGGTGTGACGAGATGAGGAATGGTAGAAGGGATGATGGTAGGGATGATGGGAGGGATGGTGGGAGGGAGGAGGAGTGGGGGCAGGGATGGCAGGAGGAGGTATCTGAGAGGAGGAGAGAGGAGTGGAGGGCGAGGAGGCAGAGAGAGGAGGAGAGGAGGAGGAACAAAAGATGGCTGGAAGATTTAGAAAAGGAGAGCAAGGGAAGGTTCAGTGAAGCTTCAAATGGAGAAGAGGAGGAGGGGGAGGGGGGGCGGGAGCATGGAGATGGGCATTTGATAGGGAGTGACGGGCAGTGGGAGAGATACGGGGAGGTGTTGCTGCTGGAGTTGACTCTGAAAGATAGCAGGCTTTTAAAGCCCAGTCAGCCTGTTCAGTTAGGTCAACCGAGCCAGGCTGGTCAGCAGACTCAAGGGGGGGTGTTGGTAGGGGAGGGCGATGCGAGGTTGAGGCAAGGGGGGGGGGAAGAAGAAGAGGAGAGGAGGGGTATGGGCGGGGGGGTGAGGGGGAGGGAGGAGGGGAGAGGAGGGAGCAGGAGGAGGGGAGGGGAAGGACAGGAGGATTGGAGAGGGTGAGGGCTGGAGAGGGAGTTGGGAGTGGTGGAGAGGCGCGTGAAAGGGGTGCTGGAGATGGGAAGGTCGACATGAGGGATGCGAGTGGGAGGGACACTCAAGGCAGCAGCAGCACCACCACCAGCGACAACAACAGCCAACACCCGCCCCACAGCACAGCAGCCCTATCTATCCCCAGAGTCGCTCCCACTCCATTCGAATTCCAAGTCTTAGAAGCCCTCTTAGACGAGGTGGGGGTGACCTTGAAGCTCAAGTACGCGTCCATATTCCCGGGCGTGTACCAGGGACTGAGGGCGTTTGCCGGGGGGCGGGTGCCTTACGAGAGGGCCATGGCGGAGCAGGAGGCGTTTCTGCGGGCGAAGAATGAGCTGTTGCGGCTGGAGATGAGCGCGAACCAGATCTGCAATGCCGTTCGGGAAGTGCTTTCGAATGATGAGGTGAGGTGGGAGGTGGGAGGTGGGGATGACTCTGAAGGTCAAGTACGCGTCCATATTCCCGGGCGTGTATCAGGGGTTTAGGGCGTTTGCCGGGGGGCGATTGCCGTATGAGCGAGCCATGGCGGAGCAGGAGGCGTTCCTGCGGGCAAAGAACGAGCTTCTGAGATTGGAGATGAGCGCGAATCAGATCTGCAACGCTGTTCGGGAGAGGGGGGGTCGGAGTGACCTTGAACGTCAAGTACGCGTCCACATTCCCGGGCGTGTACCAGGGCCTGAGGGCGTTTGCCGGGGGGCGAGTGCCTTACGAGAGGGCCATGGCGGAGCAGGAGGCGTTTCTGCGGGCGAAGAATGAGCTGTTGCGGCTGGAGATGAGCGCGAACCAGATCTGCAATGCCGTTCGGGAAGTGCTTTCGAATGATGAGGTGAGGTGGGAGGTGGGAGGTGGGGATGACTCTGAAGGTCAAGTACGCGTCCATATTCCCGGGCGTGTATCAGGGGTTTAGGGCGTTTGCCGGGGGGCGATTGCCGTATGAGCGAGCCATGGCGGAGCAGGAGGCGTTCCTGCGGGCAAAGAACGAGCTTCTGAGATTGGAGGTGAGCGCGAATCAGATCTGCAACGCTGTTCGGGAGAGGGGGGGTCGGAGTGACCTTGAACGTCAAGTACGCGTCCACATTCCCGGGCGTGTACCATGGCCTGAGGGCGTTTGCCGGGGGGCGAGTGCCGTACGAGCGAGCCATGGCAGAGCAGGAGGCGTTTCTGAGAGCTAAGAATGAGCTGCTGCGTCTGGAGATGAGCGTAAATTAGATCAGCAACGCTGTCCGTGAAGTTCTCTCGAACGATGAGGTAAGCACAGGGGGTGAGGAAGGGATAGGCGCCTGTATAGGGGTTTCTGCAGGCTGAGAACGAGCTGCTGAGACTGGAGATAAGCGCGAATCAGATCTGCAACGCCGTGCGAGAAGTGCCGTCGAACGATGAGGTAAGCACAGGGGTGGGATCGTTTGGGGCGCCAATGAAGGCGTTTCTGCGTGCCAAGAACAAGCTGCTGCGGCTGGAGATGAGCGCAAACCAAATCTGCAACGCCGTTTGCAAGGTGTTGTCTAACAATGAGGTAGGTACGCACAAGTGGGAGGGGTTGGGCTGGGTTGGGGCGCCTATGAAGACGTTTCGGCGTGCCAAGAACAAGCTGCTCTCCTTTCTGCAATCCGTTTCTTCACTCCCCTTCCCTCGCTTCCCTGTCCCTCAGGACATGGCAGAGATGTACCTGTCTCGGAAAGCTGTGCTCCCTCCTGGTACCACAAACAGTGCGGAGCACAGCAAGGTGGAGGAGCTGTTGGACGACCACCTGAGGCTACATGCTCCTCCCATGACCCATTTCCTCCCTCACCTTCAGGACATGGCAGAGATGTACCTCTCTAGAAAAGCCGCGCTGCTTCCTGGGACTACAAACAGTGCGGAGCACAGCAAGGTGGAGGAGCTGTTGGACGACCACCTGAGGAGGAGGTGGTTGAGGGGGGAAGAGGAGGGGTGGCGTGGCTGACATGCGTGTGATGCCCTTCCGCTTCCCTACCGCAGGACATGGCAGAGATGTACCTCTCCCGCAAGGCATCGCTCCCCCCTGGGACTGTAAACAGTGCAGAACATAGTGAAGTGGAGGAGCTGCTGGAGGATCACCTGAGGCGCATGGAGGAGGTGGTGGGGGAGGCGGAGCAGCTGCTGTCCATGTCTGATGCCACATCGGAGTACCTCAGAACTGCACTGGATAGGTGGGTGGTACCATATGTGTTGGTATTTGTGAGTGGCAGCACGTGAGATAGGGTGGTGTGGGTAGGGGAAGAGGCGGAGCAGCTGCTGTCCATGTCTGATGCCACGTCTGAGTACCTCAGGACTGCACTTGATACGTGGGTGAGGGATGGAAGGGAATGAGAGTGGCTTGGGTGGCATAGGCAGAGGAAGAGGCGCAGCAGCTGCTGTCTATGTCTTATGCCACGTCAGAATACCTCAGAACTGCACTGGACAGGTGGGTGAGTGGCAGTAGGTGATTGAGAGTGGTGTGGGTGGGAAACAGAGAGGAAGAGCCGGAGCAGCTGCTGTCCTCGGAGTACCTCAGAACCGCACTGGACAGGTGGGTGAGGGATGGCAGGTGGGTGGGTGGTGATAGAAGAGTCAGTGATTATAGGAGAGTGAGAGTCACTCGGGGAGGTGGAGGGGGGGTAGAGGAACAGGCGGAGCAGCTGCTGTCCATGTCTGATGCCACGTCTGAGTACCTCAGGACTGCACTGGATAGGTGAGTGAGGGTTAGGTCAGTGAGTAGCGATAGAAGCGTGAGTGATGATAGGAGAGTGAGAGTGACTGAGGGGGGAGATATAAGAAGAGGCGGAGCAGCTGCTGTCCATGTCCGATGCCACCTCGGAGTACCTCAGAACTGCACTGGACAGGTGGGTGTGGGATGGCAGGTGATTGTATGAGCGGCTCTAGGGGAGTGAGAGTGCGATGGCTGGCACGGATAGGGGAAGAGGCGGAGCAGCTGCTGTCCATGCCCGATGCCACCTTGGAGTACCTCGGGACTGAGCTTGATAGGCAAGGGATGGTAGGTGAGTGAGTACAGTACGCTTGCTGTTCTTTTCCTAACTCACCTCCTTCCTTCTCTTGCATCATGCAGTGCGCGCAACCAGCTGATCGAGCTTGACGTGCTGGTCAACATGGCCACATGCTCACTGGCTGTAGGGGGTTCTATCGTCGTCTTATGAGTGTAATGTGTGCGTGCCTGCCTTCCCTCGTCTCATGCAGTGCGCGCAACCAGCTGATCGAGCTTGACGTACTTGTCAACATGGCGACATGCTCACTCGCTGTGGGGGGTTCTATCGCTGCTGTTTTTGGTAAGCCTTTTGGAGCTTGATAGGCATGTGGTGTGGTGTGGCGGGTGCCTTGGCTGCTGTCTTTTGAGTCAACTCAAGAGTCACCCCGTGGGTGGCTCCATTGCTGCTGTCTTCAGTGAGTCATTGGTGCCGGGTGGGTGTAGGTGGTGCGTGCTTTAGCTGCTGTCCTTTACCATGCGTGTGAGGTGTTCATGTGTGGGTGTGTGTAAATGTGGAATGAGAAAATATTAAATCTCAAGCTTACGTCTATTCTATATGCTCCGTGGTTGGAAGTTCTATTCCTGCCGTTGTTGCATGGCCAGGCCAGCACGGATGGTATGAATACGAATTTAGGGTGTGTTTTATTGCTCCCACCACCTTGTGATCCAATGCAGGCATGAATCTGGTATCATCATTTGAAGATACCGCTTTAGCATTTCCCATCGCAGCAGGTAGTGTTGTGTCGTTGTCTTCAGTCGTCTTTCTGGCGTTACGTACGTACGCCAGACGGCGAGGTATTATGTAATTAGCTGTTTAATTGTTTATCAATACCCTCTCGAGTGCAAGATGCGCTTCAAAGTGTAGTTTACCGTATGAGCAAGCTTGGATTGGCAAGTTCATCCCCAACAAACCTCATCGTCTCAGACCCCCCAGACCGCCGTGATGTCCACGTGAAGCGATGACGCCTCTTCGACCAGTCGTTGGGCAGCTGTCACAGACTGGGGAAAGCAGGTCTGGCTTGCTGGAGTGGAGTCATGGGTGTGAGGTATTAGTTTGAACTGGTCTGGAATACACCCGTGATGGACCACTGCCAACACAAGGAGGCAATACAAAAGCTGGGGACGTGCTTTAAAATTAGACACCCCCTACAACCGTGGTGCTTTTGCGTTGTATAATGCAGTTCCACCTCGAGGAAAAAGAATTTGACAGGATAAGTAACATGGTCTACGTGTAGGAGGTTTCAGGATTGAGATAAGGTGCAAAATAAATACGGAATCCAGATTCACTAGGTACATTCCGCTCTGGACACAGTCTCAAATAAAGTGTCCCGCCTCCCAATCGAGTGTACCGCTCCGAACCGAACTAAACCAGAGACGCGAAAATTTTGACAATGTTTAAAAGTAGGGTGCAATTTGGTGTAATACGATGCAGTGCGGTAGAATCGCTTGTTTCAGACACTTTCGTTTGGGATATGTCCAGAGCGGGATGTACAAAACACCCCTACAACATTGCCTCGGCAGCAGCGGGTCCGGCAGCGCATGCGCGGGCGGGAACCTCCAAACCGAGCCACAAGCCCTCGACATAATCGAGGAAATTGCAAGGGGAGCGAGAAAAATGGTGGACGGTGACGAGGGCAATTGGTCGCGTCGGCTGGTTTCGGTTTGGTGGTTTCTGAGGCGGTGTGTAACTGATCCATGCCGACCGAACCACTCGGCAATCCCGAGTCGATTCAGGGATGATCAGGGGGTCGGCCGTCCTGCTTCATGTACAGACCTGCGCGTTTGCCTTCACATTTCCAATCACAGAAGCAATTTGCCTTCAAAGTTCCCAGCAAGCCGAGCTAAGGCACCTAATAGCTTCATTGTAGGCTTTGACGACTCGTCGTGTTAGTAGAGATTACCCGTATGCGATATCTGTATTCCTATTTTCTTGTTCCCGATTTTCGAAGCATTCTGTGCATTCCCGTCTCGTTCCGTCGACCAGAGTTCCTCTCTTGCAAACTGGCTTAACTTCTTGCAGTCTAGAAATGTCTCTTCCTACGTCTCACGCGATTTCGCCATTCAGGCTTCACAGCTTGCCATCCCTTCAGCCACTTTGCGCATCTTCTAAAACGTCCTCTCCTGCCTGCTTCCAAAAATACATCGTCCAAAAATACATCGTCGCCGCGCCGTTACGCATCGGATGCGTCAAAAAGTTATCGTCAGCAGCGGGTAAATGCGATCATGGGTGCAGCAGCGTTAGCAGGCAGCGGCGTCGGGAGAGAGGGAGAGGTGTGGTCGCAGCGAGTCCTCCTACGGAACTTCCGTCGGAAGAAGTGGAGGTGCGGACTGAACCGTTGACCAAGGAAGACCTGGTCAACTACCTGCTGTCTGGCTGCAAGCCCAAGGACAAGTGGAGGTAAACGGCCATGGAATGAGCGAATGCGCGGGCCCTTTGAAAGTTTTAGGGTTCTTGTAGCTTCCCCATTTTTCATCGTGGAAGATCAGTCCAGGAGGAAATTGTATTTAATTCCACCCTAGAAACATGTTATCACTTCCATGCAAAATTAAGCGTAGGCATATAATTCTCCCCTCCTCTCTCACTGTTTCGCTCCCCATGTTTCCTTCTCACGTCAGGATCGGCACGGAGCACGAGAAGTTTGGGTTCGATCAGAGGACGCTGCAGCCAATGACGTACGAGCAGATCGCGACGCTGCTGGAGCACATCGCGGATCGGTTTTTATGGGACAAGATCATGGAAGGCGACAGGATCATCGGCCTGCGATCGGTACGCGTTGTAATAAACTGTAGTTTCGCTAAACGCTGAATCAGAGGCTCCTTACATAGTTACTCGTGGGACAAGATCATGGAAGGCGACAGGATCATCGGTCTGCGATCGGTACGCGTTGTGATACACTGTAGTTTCGTGAAGTGCTGAATTAGAGGCTCCTTACGTTACTCGTGGGACAGGATCATGGAAGGCGACAGGATCATCGGCTTGCAATCGGTACGCGTCCACTGCACGGTAGTATCGTTGATTGCTGAATTAGATGGCTGCATAACTTAAGTAGTTGCAATGCATTAACTTAAACCGAGGTTCCGCATTGCCGATGGAAGGAGGCCTTCTCTTCAGAGAGGTTTGTCTTGTATTTTCATCCCCCCTCTCCTTCTCTCTATGCCGCTCTCTTTTCCTGTGCCGCACTCCTGTTGCAGTGTGTTTTTCTGTACTCCAACCACCCCTATTCCCCAACCCTGCGCACCCATGCACACCCCCGGTGTGCACCCAAACTTACCAATGCACACCCATGCGCACCCAAACTCACCGATGCACACTCATGCGCTCCCTGAATCCGGCCACCCTTGGCAGAACGGGCAGAGCGTGACGCTGGAGCCTGGAGGTCAGATCGAGTTGAGTGGCGCGCCTGTGGAGACAGTGCACCAGACGTGCACTGAGATCAATGATCATCTGTACCAGGTATTCCCTCTATTGCATCGTACTTTATTGAGTACAGGGTGTTATTCCAATCATTTCCATAGAGAGACCCGTTCGAGCTAAGTGGGGCGCCCCTGGAGACAGTGCACCAGACGTCCATTGGGGTTTACAGTCACCTTTACCAAGTAGTAGGCCTAACTAGCCTAACTGCAAATACCAAGATGTCATCTCTGCGCCTCAGTGTAAGTGCCAGGAGTCAGAATGTCAACAATGTCTGGGTCACCCTCGGGGGCTAGCTGCATGACACGGGGGTGGGCAGCAGCGGCCACAAGAAAGACTAGCTCAAACTGCCTGTCTTCGAGAACCTCCAAGCCAAAGGCAGGAGCATCTCCGAGAACCTGAGAACGGGCAGCGTCACACACCAACTGAGTGGCGGAGTTAAGGCTGTAGGTGGAGGCAAAGTCAACGACATCAGTAACAAGAGCCGAGGCAGGCTGTGACGGAGCAATAGGGTCAGTGACCAAAGAAGAAAGGACTCGAGAGATTGTAGGACGAACGCCATGAAGAGTGTCAGAGAACAGAGGAGGAGAGACAGGAAGGGACGACTGAGGAGGGGACAGGACAACGGAAGGAGGGACACGAGGAGGAAGAGAACGGATGGTCACGGGTGAAATCCCGAGAGAGGAGACGAGTGAAAAACACGAGTGAGGCGCCTCAAAACTAGACATCTCTGACTACGTGTACCCGTATTGCAATCTCGCAAGACGTACCGGCTGAGGGCAATGTGTGATTCTTTTGTTGTTGACCTGAATTGTTTCGCTTGAATGTTTGGCTGGTGAGTGGTCAGCGATGGTGGGTGCTGGTGTGGTGGGTGATTGTGGGTGGTGCGTTTTTGTTGGTGTGTGGCAGGTAAAGTCGATCTGTGAGGAGGAGAACATGGGGTTCTTGGGTCTGGGCTTCGAACCCAAGCACACTCTTGAGGAGATTCCCATCATGCCCAAGGTGAGCGAAAACCCCCATCATGCCCAAGGGTCGATCTAATCCCCATGATCCCCACTTCTCTACCACTCCCAGAAGATGTTCCCGCTCTCGTATTTCCCCACCCTCCTGCCACTGTTATTCTCTGTTCCCTCGCCCTCCTCTATCCCTCTTGCCTCCCAACACCCCTCTCCCCCCCACCCCCTTCCTCCTCCCTCCTCCCCCCCCCGCCCCCTCCATTCTCTCCCCCAGGGTCGCTACACCATATTGCGCAACTACATGCCCAGGGTGGGCTCGCTGGGACTGGAGGTGATGTTTTGCACGTGCTCCGTGCAGGTCAACCTCGACTTTGACTCCGAGCAGGATATGGTCGACAAGTTCAGAGTCGGCCTCGCGCTACAGCCGGTGAGTGCTCTGCTACAGCCGGTGAGTGCTCTGCTACAGCCGGTGAGTGCTCTGCTACAGCCGGTGAGTGCTCTGCTACAGCCGGTGGGGCTGCACGTGCACGGTGCAGGTCAAATGTGACTTTGACTTCGAACAGGACATGGTTGACAAGTTCCGCGTTGGCTTGGCGCTACAGCCGGCGAGTGCTACAGCCGGTGAGTTCTACAGCCGGCGAGTGCTGTGCTACAGCCGGTCAGTGCTGTGCTACAGCCGGTGGGATGAGGCACAACTAGGCTTGCCCCGTGGTGGCGCTACAGCCGGTGGGAGTGGAGATGATGTTCCGCTCGTGCACTGTGCAGGTCAGTCACAGTTGGGATTGCCAACTCACTCTTCCACGCCACACTTGTCACAGAATATATTGTTAGGTGCAATACATTCAGTTACTTGCTAGAGTAGGTGTAGTTGGGTTGCCAACTAGGCTTGCCAACTCACTCACTCCTCCACGCCACAACTAGGCTTGCCAACTCACCTGGAGAGCAGAGTTTTGCCTAGTGTTTATCGTTGTTGAATCACCTGCCACCTGCTGAATCACCTGCCACCTGCTGAATCTCCTGCCACCTGCTGAATCTCCTGCCACCTGCTGAATCACCTGCCATCTGCTGAATCACCTGCCACCTGCTGAATCTCCTGCCCGAAATCTTGCCGATTCTCCAGCCTCCCTCCCATTTCCCAGTCCTCCCTCTGCCCTCCCCTCCATCCCCCTTTCTCGCCACTGCTCTCCCTCTCCACCCCACACCACACACCATACCCCACACCCCATACCCCACACCACATTCCCCTTCTGGTTCATCCCACCAGGTGGCCACGGCCTTATTCGCCAACTCGCCATTCCTGGAGGGCAAGCCGAGTGGGTACCTCAGCTACCGCAGGTGCGCCTGAGCTTTGGGTCTTTGGGTTGGGGCTCGAGTCATTGGGGTACTTATTCATTACACGCGCCCTGGCAGTTACCTTCTGAGACTCCTCAATATTCGCCCCTTTCTCTGTCTCTTTGTCGTGTCTCATCCGCTCGCTCGCAGTCGAGTGTGGGAGGACGCTTTTGAGTCGACTCAAAAGCAGACTCATTACACGCGCCCTTGCAGTTACCTTCTGAGACTCCTCAATATTCGCCCCTTTCTCTGTGTCTTTGTCGTGTCTCATCCCCTCGCAGTCGAGTGGGAGGACGCTTTTTGAGTCGACTCAAAAGCAGACTCATTACACGCGCCCTTGCAGTTACCTTCTGAGACTCCTCAATATTCGCCCCTTTCTCTGTGTCTTTGTCGTGTCTCATCCCCTCGCAGTCGAGTGGGAGGACGCTTTTGAGTCGACTCAAAAGCAGACTCATTACACGCGCCCTTGCAATTACCTTCTGAGACTCCTCAATATTCGCCCCTTTCTCTGTCTCTTTGTCATGTCTCATCGCTCGCAGTCGAGTGTGGGAGGACGCTTTTGAGTCGACTCAAAAGCAGACTCATTATACGCGTTCTGGCAGTTTACTTCTGAGACTCCTCAACATTCGCCCCTTTTTCTGTCTCTTTGTCGTGTTCCATCCCCTCGCAGTCGAGTGTGGGAGGAAGTTAACAAGGACCTCCCTTTTTCTTGGTTCCCTCGCCTCATTACCTCACAGTAGACTTTTAAGGCGACTTAATCGTCTTCCCTTCTGCTGTCCCCTTGTCTTGCATCGTCGTCGTCTGGCAGTCGAGTGTGGGAGGAAGCTGACAAGGACCGCACAGGGGACCTCCCATTTGTCTTTAGAACGCCTTAGTAATTTCTTCTTCTGCTGTTCCCTTGTCTTTCCTCCTCGCCTGGCAGTCGAGTGTGGGAGGACACTGACAAAGACCGCACAGGGGACCTTCTGCCCCTCATTGCTCTGCCCTCCCTTTTTCTTGGTTCCCTCGCCTCATTACCTCACAGTAGACTTTTAAGGCGACTTAATCGTCTTCCCTTCTGCTGTCCCCTTGTCTTGCATCGTCGTCGTCTGGCAGTCGAGTGTGGGAGGAAGCTGACAAGGGCCACACAGGAGACCTCCCATTTGTCTTTAGAACGCCTTAGTAATTTCTTCTTTTGCTGATCCCTTGCCTTGCCTCCTCGCCTGGCAGTCGAGTGTGGGAGGACACTGACAAAGACCGCACAGGGGACCTTCTGCCCCTCATTGCTCTGCCCTCCCTTTTCTTGGATCCATCGCCTCATTTCCTCACAGTCGAGTTGTAAGGCGACTTAATCGTCTTCCCTTCCGCTGTCCCCTTGTCTTGCGTCATCGCCTGGCAGTCGAGTGTGGGAGGAAGCTGGCAAGGACCTCCCTTTCTCTTTGTGATTTGAGGCGCCTCAATGTTCATCCTTTTCTTTGTCTGTCTCCTTGTCTTGTTATTTGTTTGGCAGTCGAGTGTGGGAGGAAGCTGACAAGGACCGCACAGGGGACCTCCCGTTTGTCTTTGAGGACGGATTTGGGTGCGTGCCCCTTCCCCTGTCATTTCCCTGTTTGCGAGGAATTGAGGAATTGAGGTCACTTGGAGGGTCGGTTAGCAGACCAGACCGCACAGGGGACAGGAGACAAGAGTGTATAGGGAGGGGGCCTCCCGTTTGTCTTTGAGGGCGGCTTGGGGTGCGTTCCCCTTTTCCCTTCACTCCCCTCTTGTGAGGTACTGAGGTCAGTCTGAGGTTTGCCTAGCAGTCTAGACCTTGTAGGGAACCTCCCTTTTGACTTTTGAGTGTCGACTCAGAATGAGATTGTATTGTAGCGAGCTGACTTTTGAGTCGACTCAAAAGGCAGTCAAGGCGTCATAGAGGGCTTCCGTTTGTCTTTGAAGATGGCTTTGGGTGCGTTTCACCCTTTTTCACTTCACTCTGTGCTGCTTTGCATGAGATTTGTTCTTGTACCTCTGTGGATGTTTGCAGTTAATGCTGATTTTACACTTGTAGGATTTCTTGGGGGGTAGATTCTCGACAGCTGCTCAATGTTTGTTCTGAAGCACTGGACTTCTCATGTGCCGTGTGTGTCTTTGTGTGTGTGCATGTGCATTTGCATGCGTGCGTGTATTGGTGTGTGTGTTTCTGCGTGTGTGCGTGCGTGCGTGCGTGCGTGTTTCCTGTGCATGCATGTGTGCGTGTCTCCTGTGCATGCATGTGTGCGTGTTTCCTGTGCATGCATGTGTGCGTGTTTCCTGTGCATGCATGTGTGCGTGTTTCCTGTGCATGCATGTGTGCGTGTTTCCTGTGCATGCATGTGTGCGTGTTTCCTGTGCATGCATGTGTGCATGGCTGTGTATGTTCATTGCAACTGTATGTAATGGTGGAAACAGCTTCGAGCGCTATGTGGAGTATGCATTGGATGTGCCCATGTACTATGCATACCGCGACCAGCGCTACATTGATGCCTCAGGGCTCTCCTTCCGAGTAAGCATGGGTCATGATGGGGAGCATGGTGCCTACCTACCCCACCATCAGTCAGTGCATGTCATGTAACGTCCACAGAGCCTCAAAGCTCAGTGCATCTAAAACATGGATGCCACAGAGCTTTGACGCGTCTCAAAAGAGTTTAGAGGCGCCTCAAAAAAGCTAGTGAGTTGATTGAAACAACATCCATGCCACGTGCTTTCTGTGGTCGTGTGTTGTTTTGTGGTCAACTTATCAGGTGCATATGTCAAAACTCCTTTTTCATATCATGTGTGCCTAAAAGAATGTATCAGCTACCTCATTATCATCTCCTTGTTCGTCCCTTCCCCTGTTTGCCTCCTCGACTCGCCCCTTCCTTCGCCTATGTATTCAGGACTTCTTGAATGGCAACCTGCCAGTGCTTCCAGGTGCCTACCCCAGTCTTAACGACTGGGAAAACCACCTCGCCACCATATTACCAGAGGTATGGTGGTTTGGGATTTGCGTCGCAGGAAAAGCCAATGCTTCCAGTGCTGTCAGGTGCCTACCCCAGTCTGAACTACTGGGAAAACCACCTCGCGACCATCTTACCTGAGGTATCATGTTTCCTTGAATTGAAAGCATTTGGAATTATGCGAGGTTTCATCATGCGCGGTAATCACATCTCAGAGTTTGCGTGTACAAAGCTTTCCTGTATAATATGTTGGTATTTTATTTCGAAACATGTGAATTCGCCTTTTGTGTAATCCGCTTGTGTAAAATTCGTAAGCGTAAATTCCTCTTGTGTGAATTTCCCTCGCATCATCACATGCACACGCTCTCTGTGTTGCCCTGCCAACAATCCCTTGCCAGCCATCAACCCTGCCAACCCCCGCACCCATCAGGTGCGGCTAAAGCGTTATTTGGAGATGAGGGGCGCGGATGGCGGGTCGTGGAGGAGAATATGTGCCCTGCCCGCCTTCTGGGTGAGTTCTACGTGCGAGCCACGTGCAAGCCTGGTGTATTTCGAGGCAATTCAAATCAAAGTACACCTAGATGAGGGGCGCGGATGGCGGGTCGTGGAGGAGAATATGCGCCCTGCCCGCCTTCTGGGTTAGTGTTTCTTTTTTATGGCCGTTTCTGAAAATTCTCTCATGCCTTGTGGGTGAGAGCATGCCTTGTCGGTGAGTGCATGCCTTGTCGGTGAGTGCATGCCTTGTAGGTGAGTGCATGCCTTGTCGGTGAGTGCATGCCTTGTCGGTGAGTGCATGCCTTGTCGGTGAGTGCATGCCTTGTCGGTGAGTGCATGCCTTGTCGGTGAGTGCATGCCTTGTCGGTGAGTGCATGCCTTGTCGGTGAGTGCATGCCTTGTCGGTGAGTGCATGCCTTGTCGGTGAGTGCATGCCTTGTCGGTGAGTGCATGCCTTGTCGGTGAGTGCATGCCTTGTCGGTGAGTGCATGCCTTGTCGGTGAGTGCATGTCTTGATGTGTTCCAGAGTTGGCCGAGACTTCAGGATAAGTCGATGATTATTCAGTCGATTTAAAAATCAACTTAGTGCTTATTCAACTCAAATTTCGACTTTTTTTAGTCGTCTTAAAATTTGACTTTTTTTTTAGTCGATTTTTTTAGTCGACTCAAAGATTCTTGCCCGGGGTTGCAGTATGACTGACAAGCGGTGGATGTGTTCAAGAGTTGACTCAGACTTCACGATCTCTCCTCCCTCTGTTGAAATCACTTATGAGAATTCTCAAAAGTGGTTGCAGCATGACTGACAGACTCACAGGCAGTGGATGTGTTCAAGAGTTGACTCAGACTTCACGATCTCTCCTCCCTCTGTTGAAATCACTTATGAGAATTCTCAAAAGTGGTTGCAGCATGACTGACAGACTCACAGGCAGTGGATGTGTTCAAGAGTTGACTCAGACTTGAAAATCTCTCTCCCCCCCGCCCCTCACCCCATGTTCCGTGCTCCTCCTCCCCTCAGGTGGGGTTGCTGTACAACCGACAGGCCCTGGGCGAGTGTCTGAAGGTACCCCTCCAAGCATGATTTCTTTCCCCCTCCCTCCTTACCTCCTCCCCTTACCCTCCCCTGTTTCTCCCCTCGGTTCTCCCCTCAGGTGGGGTTGCTGTACGACCGTCAGGCCCTGGACGAGTGTAAGGCAATCATCTCTGATTGGACGGAGCTAGAGCGCTGTGCTCTGCGCACACATGTGAGTCTGATTTTCATTCCATCCATGTGAGTATGGGACTCATGCCCACGCATGTGAGTATGGGATTCGTGCCACGCATGTTAAGTACGGGATTCGTGCCTCACATGTGAGTCTGGGACTCATGTGCACACATGTGAGTATGATTTTTGTGCCATGCATGTGAGTCTGGGATTCGTGCCACTCATGTGATTATGGGATTCGTGTGCTGTGCACAGAAGAGAGTCGTGTTTGAGTCTTGACCCGCACATTGCCTCCACGTGTGAGTGGTTGACCGGCATACTGCATGCAAATACATTAAGGGCCAAGTTTCTGATCCTCGAGTTTTGAGACATCTGACTTGGTTGACCGGCATGCTGTGTGCAAATACACCAAGGGACCAAGTTTCTGATCCTCGAGTTTTGAGACGCCTCAAGACTTGGTTGACCGGCATGCTGCGTGCAAATACATCAAGGGGCCAAGTTTCTTATCCTCAAGTTTCGAGACGTCTTAGAACTTGGTTGACTGGCATGCTGCGTGCAAATACATCAAGGAACCAAGTTTTTTATCCGTGCTTCCCACCTTTCCGAATTTGCTCCTTGCAGGTTCCCCGTTTGGCTCTCAAGACGCCCTTCAGGGAGGGACTGTTGCAGCACCTGGCACAGGATTTGGTCAGAATCAGCAAGGTGAGTTGAATTCAGCAGGATTGGCTTTTGACTCGACTTAAAAGCCGGCCTTCAGGGAGGGACTGTTACAGCACATGGCACAGGACTTGGTCAGAATCAGCAAGGTGAGTTGAAATCAGCAAGGTATGAATTGGGATGCCCGTTTCACGTTTCATTGTGTTGAAATGCGGGATGCCCTTTCCACGTTTCATTGTGTTGAATTGCATTGTGTTCCTTTTTTTCCAGGAAGGATTGCAAAGACGAGGATACAGGGAAGCCAGCTTCCTCAAAGAACTGGAAAACATTGCTGCTACAGGTACCGATCTCCTCTTTTTTTTTTTTCTTCTTCTTCTTCTTTCTTTCTTTCTTTTGGAGGTTGGGGAGGGTGGGGTGGTTGCGTTTCTCTTCTTTTGTTTCTTCAATCAAGCTGGTACGAACGCGTGCTGATTCCTTCTGGTGAATTCAAGATTCTTTCCTTCTGGTGAAATCAAGATTGAACCACGTCTGCAAAAACAATACTGCAAAAAGTCGGGTTATATTTCAACTGACACATTTGGTTTCATCCTGTCCATAAGCCACCACTTCGACCACCAATGCCTTTCGTGCACTTTATATACCCACGAATTCTTTCCCTGCGGCATGTGCTGTGTGTGCACCGCATTTCTCCCTGCAGGTGTGACCCCTGCAGAGCGCATGCTGGAGGCGTACCATGGCAGGTGGGGGGAGAGCGTGGATCCCATTTACAAGGAGCTTATTTATTAGGTTAGATGATAGCTAGAAAAATGTACAGGATGAAATGCAATTCGACCTTTCTCCACTTCTTGGTGTATTTATTACCAGTGCATGGCAAGCCTTTTCAGTGTACACATCCTACAAGCGTAACCAAGACCAAGGGGGGGACTAGTGGCATACCAAGCCCCTCATTGTCTCTTGAAGCTTCGGAATACATTTGGAAGTGGCTGATTTATAATCCGTTGGAACTTGGTGAAGAGATACTATGAAATGCATAGACATTATCAGTCTTTACTGTGGTCAGTGTCTTGTGTTTTGAACTGGGCTGGAGAAGACAAACCGTGCACTACACCTAGTCCGCGGTATTTTAACCAAGTGAACTTTGTTCTTTCAAACCCCCTTATTTCGTTTTCGGGTAATGAGATGGGCGCCCAGAGGCTTCGAGGCTATGATTCTGCAGCCGAAAGCATGTCGGACTAAAGAAAATCATACTTAGTGCTCCGAGATTGCGGGCGGATCGGCATGACTGAGCTTTTACTGCCGTCATTTCGCGAAGGGAATGCTAGATTCTACCCTCGTAAAGTTTCAAACAGCCCGAATAAATCAGTTTGACAAAGGAGAAGTACCCTCGTGTGGTTAAGATAGCGGCGGTTAAAATACCGCGGACTAGGTGTACCTCTGACGCAGAGTGGTATCAACATAGACGGAGTCGTATTTTAGAAGTGGGAAATTTCATGAACATTTTTCGAAACAGGCTGATACATTGGGATTGAAATGAGGTGTAGGAAAATCAGTAAATTCCCGAGGCGGAGTTTGGGCAGCGGCGGAGCCAGCAGCGCATGGGGTGTGGACGGGAAGCCACCAACCCCAGCCACAAGCCCTCGGCATTATCGAGGAATTTGCCAGGCGAGCGAAGAAGAAAATGCGTGGACAGCAACGAGAGCAATTGGTCGTTTCGGTTGGCTTCGGTTGAATAAGTTCAAAATAGGTGTGGCTGGTATTCAACGTCTCATTCTGATCCACTCGGCGGTAATTCATGCATGATCAGAGTCCGACGTAAGGCCACTTCATGCACACAGTCACGCATTTCAGCAACCACAAATCGCCAGCAACCACATTTGCGATTCGCCTTCAGAGTCTTCAGCAAGCCGAGCTCTTAGGGTAGCCATCCAGCAAGGCACCTAATAGCTCCGTCTTCGGCTTCGACGCCTCATTCGGTTTAGGCGGGAGTACTCGTAGGCGATAGCTGTCTTTCCACCATTCTAGTTCCAAGGGTTTATTGTCATCGCGAAACGTTCTGCGCGTTCCATCAGTATCGCGTCTCCCTCCCTCAACTAGTCTCTGTCCCTTGCAATCCCAGTTCCCCGTACAATCTAAAGATGCCTCTTTCCACGTCTCACGCAGTTTCGTCGTCCAGGCTTCACAGCTTGCCGTCCCTCCAGCCATTTTGCGCATCTGCTAAGTCCTCTCCCGCCTGCTTCCAAAAAAACTCCGTCACCCCGCCATCACGCATCGGATGCATTCAGAAGCCTTCATCAGCACCGGGTAGATGCAATCCTGCGAGCAGCAGCGTTAGCAGGCAGCGGCGACGGGTGGGAGGAAGAGGCGTGGTCGCAGCGAGTCCTCCTACGGAGGAGGTGGAGGTGCGGACTGAACCGTTGACCAAGGAAGACCTGGTCAACTATCTGCGATCCGGCTGCAAGCCCAAGGACAAGTGGAGGTAAACGGCTATGGAGGGAGCGAACCAATGCACGGGTTGATTGTTTTTTGCGACGTTTCCGAGGGTTCTAGGTTTTCTAGATTCTTCGTTTTTTACCGGGGAAGACCAGTCAATGGGGAACTATCTGATTCGACGCAAAATGTGAAATCGTAAACTTAAAACTCATAAATTCCTCCCCTTGTCTCACTATTTCGTCTGCCTCGTTTTCTGCTCGTGCCAGGATCGGCACGGAGCACGAGAAGTTCGGATTCGATCAGAAGACGCTTCAGCCAATGACGTACGAGCAGATCGCGACGCTGCTGGAGCACATCGCGGATCGGTTCTCGTGGGACAAGATCATGGAGGGCGACAGGATCATCGGCCTGCGATCGGTACGCGTTGTAGTACACTCTAGTGTCGTTGAATGCTAGACTAGAAGTACCATGACTAGCTGTTTCCGGAATCAAAATTATGAAGGGCGACAGGATCGTGGGCCTGCGACCGGTACGCGGTAACGCAGTGTGGTGTCATCAAATGCTGGCTTGAGATGGTTCTGAAAAGCCCACAGGGCACAAGGTAAGGGCATGGAGGGCGACAGGATCGTCGGCTTTCGAGCGGTGCGCGTGGATAATGTCAATGCTGGTCTACAGAAAGTTACGAAATTTGAACGAATTACCAAAATCACGAACTGGACCTGAGGTTTATTATGAGACGTGTCAACAGCAGCATTCGGGTGCGCACTAGATATGTACACGCACTGAATCTGGTCAGTGTTCAAGATAGGTGTTCCCATTCGCTGCATTGCTGAGTCCAATACTGAAATGCGTCAGCTCAAACCGAGGTCCTGCATTGCGGATGGAAGGAGGCCTTTTCTTCAGAGGTTTGTCTTGTATTTCCCCCCCCCCCCCCCCCCCCCTCCCTGCCCTCTCTGTTCCTACGCCGCACGATTCTTGACGAAATGTGTTGTTTCTGTGTTCCAATCTCCCCTACTTCCCAACCACTCATGCACACGCATGCGCACCCATTCGCGCCAACGTACACCCACCCATGCACACCCACGCACACCCACGCACGCCCACGCATACCCAAGAGCACCCATGCGCACCCAAGCTCATCCATGCACACCCATGCGATCCCTGAACCCCGCTGCCCTTGGCAGAACGGGCAGAGCGTGACGTTGGAGCCCGGAGGTCAGTTCGAGCTGAGTGGCGCACCCCTGGAGACAGTGCACCAGACGTGCGCTGAGGTCAACGGTCACCTGTACCAGGTGCATCCCTAGTTCCTCTATTGCAGCCTACTTCAACGGTCACCTGTACCAGTTATACCCTTTATAGCACCCTCCGTCACTGGGTAAAGGTTCTTACTCCCAGTCACTTCCACAGAGTGGTCAGTTCGAGGCGCGCCCCTGGAGACAGTGCACCAGACGTGCGCTGAGGTCAACGGTCATCTGTACCAGGTACCCACGGGCCTTACTGCAGTGAGTTGAACGTGTATAGCCTCGACAGGATCCTATCACTTTTATCGGGAACTTTCAGCCAAGAGGCACAGTCTTGACGAAACTGCAGAGCCGTGCGCCATGTAAACGGGCCTCTCTGCCACGCGTACCTGTTCTTGCAATCAACCTTACAAGGCACAAGGGCACATCCGTGTACTGGCTGAGGGCAATGTGAGATTTTGTTGTTGCTGACTTGAATTGTTTGTTTCCTCTTGAATGTCTGGCTGGTGGGTGGTGGTGGTTGGTGGGTGGCGGTGGGTGGTGGTGGTTGGTGGTGGTGGGTGGTGGGTGGTGGTGGGTGGTGGGTGGTGGTGGGTGGTGGGTGGTGGGTGGTGGGTGGTGGGTGGTGGGTGGTGGGTGGTGGGTGGTGGGTGGTGGGTGGTGGGTGGTGGGTGGTGGGTGGTGCGTGATTGTTGGTGCATGGCAGGTGAAGTCGATCTGCGAGGAGGAGCACGTGGGGTTTCTGGGCCTGGGATTCGACCCAAAGCACACTCTTGAGGAGATTCCCATCATGCCCAAGGTAAGATGAGATCCCTCCCACTCCTCTATCTCTAAATGCCCAAGGTGGGCTCTCTGTGGTTTGGAAAAAAAAAAAAAAAAATCTTTCATCTTTTTCTCTTTCTTTTTTCTTCCGTGGCCCCTCCCTGCCTGTTCTCCCCATCTGTCGCACATCTCTCCTCCTCCCTCCTTCCCCAGGGCCGCTACACCATAATGCGCAACTACATGCCCAAGGTGGGCTCGCTGGGGCTGGAGATGATATTTTCCCCGCTTCCCTTGCCTGTTCTGCTTCTCATCTGCCACACCCCTTTCCCCTCCCCCCATTCTCCCTGTCCGCATTTCCCTCCCTGAACCAGGGCCGCTACACGATAATGCGAAACTACATGCCCAAGGTGGGCTCACTGGGGCTGGAGATGATGTTCCGCACGTGCAGCTCCCCACCCTCCTTCTACCCCCTCTTCACTGTTCCCTCCCTCTCCTCTATCTATCTCTCCCGTCCTCTCACCCCCCCAGGGCCGCTACACAATAATGCGCAACTACATGCCCAAGGTGGGCTCGCTGGGGCTGGAGATGATGTTCCGCACGTGCACGGTGCAGGTCAACCTCGACTTTGACTCCGAGCAGGACATGGTTGACAAGTTCCGTGTTGGCCTCGCATTACAGCCCGTGAGTGCCCCACTTAGCGCTACCTCCTGGTGGTGGTGCTACAGCCTGTGGGGCTGGAGATGATGTTCCGCACGTGCACGGTGCAGGTCAACCTCGACTTTGACTCCGAACAGGACATGGTTGACAAGTTCCGCGTCGGCCTCGCACTACAGCCGGTGAGTCTCAGCATCTGCCGCTGCGGTCGCTGCTTCCGCACGTGCACGGTGCAGGTCAACCTTGACTTTGACTCCGAACAGGACATGGTTGACAGCCGGTGAGTTACCGCCCTGCTGCTACAGCCAGTGGGGCTGCACGTGCACGGTGCAGGTCAACCTCGACTTTGACTCCGAGCAGGACATGGTTCACAAGTCCCGCGCGGGGCTTGCGCTACAGCCGGTGAGGTGGGTGCTACAGCCAGTGAGTGCTACAGCCCTTTGGCGCAACAGCCGGTGAGTGCTCTGCTCCAGCTGGTGAGTTCTACAGTCACTAAGGCTGGAGATGATGTTCCTCACTTGCACCATGTTCACCCCCTTATTGCTCCATCCCTACTCCACTTCCAACTTCGCCTCCCCCCTCTCCCCCCCTCCCCCCTTTCCCTTCTCTCCACCCCACTGTTCATTCTGTCAGGTGGCCACAGCCTTATTCGCCAACTCGCCATTTCTGGAGGGCAAGCCGAATGGGTACCTCAGCTACCGCAGGTGCGTGAGAGGAGGGGGTGGGTGGCTACCTCAGCTCATAAACAACTCAGGACTCAGGTTCAATGGATCTGGAGGTTTACCAAGGTTGTCACAGACCATCTGTGTTTGAGGTGCTGATTGGAAGGGCACATGGAGGGCACATGTGACACCTTCCCAAGTGTTTTATTCTCGTTGCCGTCACAGCTGAATCCGGCCAATCTTCTCTAAGCATGCCCGTGCAGCCATGCTTCCGTCTTTGTGCACGTGGACTGTAAAAAAAAATATATCCTTTCGTCTTCTGCCCATCGTTTCCGTGACCTCCCTCTCCGCTCGGTCCCCTTGCCTCGTCGACTCAGTCGAGTTAATGCTCATTGACACTAACAAGAACCGCCTTGATGCTCATTTCTTTCTCTGTCCCCTTGTCTTGCCCTGTCGCTTGGCAGTCGAGTGTGGGAGGACACTGACAAGGACCGCACAGGGGACCTGCCGTTTGTCTTCGAGGACGGCTTTGGGTGAGTGCCACCCTCATTTCATTCACTGTCTGCTGTTGTTTATGAGGCGGACTCTTATAACTCTTTGCGTGCTCGCAGTTGATGCTGATTCTGTGCTTGGGAGGATTTCCTAAAGAGCAGATTTTCCACAGCTGACCAATGTTCTCGTTGAATCTCTGGACTGTTCATGTGCCATCTGTGTTTTTGAGTGTGTATGCATGCGATGTGCATGTGCTTGTGCGTGCATGAGTTTCTTTGTGTGCGTGCATGTTTGCATGTGCCTGGTTCCTGCGTGTATGCATGCATTTGTGCATGGCTGTGTGCGTTGGTGACACCAGCTTTGAGCGCTATGTGGAGTATGCATTGGATGTGCCCATGTACTTTGCATACCGTGACCAGCGCTACATCGACGCCACAGGGCTCTCCTTCCGGGTAAGCGTGGGTCATGTAATGTTGTGAGCAGGGGAGTGATGTGCGTGTTTGTAGCTTTGAGCGCTATGTGGAGTATGCATTGGATGTGCCCATGTACTTTCCATACCGTGACCAGCGCTACATTGATGCCACAGGGCTCTCCTTCCGGGTAAGCATGGGGCATGGTGGTGAGCAGCATGGGGCATGGTGGTGAGCAGCATGGGGCATGGTGGTGAGCAGCATGGGTCACATGAGTGTGCGTGTGTCTCTGCAAGGTTGTGCTTGCGCATGGCACCCACCAGGTTTGATCTGCATGTGGATTTTTAAGGCTCTTAAGAAATCGTGGAATTAATTATGAGCGCCATGGGGAGTATGTACTTTGCAATAGGATGCTGAATGCAAAGTACTTTGCATGCTGCAACCAGCGTCACATCGCTGCAGCACAGCAGGGCTGTCCTTTCGAATGAGCTGAAGCAACATCCACGTCACATGCTGAATGGCAATGTGCCAATATATCTGATGCATATACAACGGCCCCTTGTTCGTCCTCCCCCCCTTCTCCCCTCCTCGGCCCCTCTACATCCGTGTTCTTCAGGACTTCTTGCACGGCAAGCTGTTGGTGCGGCATGGTGCCTATTTTGCATTGATTGCCCCTCACGTGCCCCACTTGTGCCCCTCTCTTGCCCCTCTCGTGCCCCTCTCGTGCCCCTCTCGTGCCCCTCTCTTCCCTCACCTACTCGCCCCCTTCTCTGCTCGTGTCTTCAGGACTTTCTAAACGGCAAGCTCCCAGTGCTGCCAGGTGCATACCCCAGTCTAAACGACTGGGAGAACCACCTCACCACCATCTTCCCTGAGGTATGGTGCTTCCTTGACAGCTTTTGGGAAGCTAACTTGTGTGAAACGTTTGTGCGCGATATTTGCATGTGAAAAATCCCATGGGCGAGTCTCTTGATGTGGTATTTTTGTTTGTAGGATCTTCACAAGTGAAACTGTCTTGCGTTATTGTGCGGATTTCTCATTTGTGGATTCCTCATGTTATCACAAATGCACAAACACCCCCCACCCTATCAGGTGCGCCTGAAGAGGTATTTGGAGATGAGGGGCGCGGATGGCGGGTCATGGAGGAGAATATGCGCCCTGCCCGCCTTCTGGGTGAGTGTTTCCTTTCTGTGAGTCGTTTCTGAAGATTCTCTGAAGCGACCACGTGCAAGCCTGATGTATTTCGAGTCGATTCAAGGTAGACGTACCTGAGGGGAGCGATGGCAAGTCGCGCAGGAGAATATGCTATGCGCCCTGCGTGCCTTGTGGGTTAGTGCATGCCTTGTAAGGGAATTAAAATATTACCTATGGGGTTGCTGTATGACCGACAGGCCCTGGACGAGTGTCTGAGGGTACTCCAAGCACATGTCTCTTCCTCCTTTCACTCACCCCATGCTCCATGCTCCTCCTCCCCGCAGGTGAGGTTGCTGTACGACTGACAGGCATTGGATGAGAGTGTGGGGTGGCTCCAGGTGGATTCAAACACATCACCCCCCTACTCACCTCCCCCGCAACCCCCCCTCCCCCCTGCCCCTCCGACACCCTCTTTCTGGTGCGTCTCCTCCCCGCAGGTGGGGTTGCTGTACGACAGACATGCCCTGAACGAGTGTCTGAGGGTATTCCTCCAAGCATACCCCCCTCCTCCCCTTGCCCCATTCTCCTTGTTTCTCCTCGCAGGTGGGTCTGCTGTACGACCGACAGGCCCTGGACGAGTGTAAGGCAATCATTGCTGACTGGACGGAGCTTGAGCGCTCTGCTCTGCGCACACATGTGAGTCCAGCCAGCACACATGCCAGCACACATGCCAGCACACATGCCAGCACACATGCCAGCACACATGCCAGCACACATGCCAGCACACATGCCAGCACACATGCCAGCACACATGCCAGCACACATGCCAGCACACATGCCAGCACACATGCCAGCACACATGCCAGCACACATGCCAGCACACATGCCAGCACACATGCCAGCACACATGCCAGCACACATGCCAGCACACATGCCAGCACACATGCCAGCACACATGCCAGCACACATGCCAGCACACATGCCAGCACACATGCCAGCACACATGCCAGCACACATGCCAGCACACATGCCAGCACACATGCCAGCACACATGCCAGCACACATGCCAGCACACATGCCAGCACACATGCCAGCACACATGCCAGCACACATGCCAGCACACATGCCAGCACACATGCCAGCACACATGCCAGCACACATGCCAGCACACATGCCAGCACACATGCCAGCACACATGCCAGCACACATGCCAGCACACATGCCAGCACACATGCCAGCACACATGCCAGCACACATGCCAGCACACATGCCAGCACACATGCCAGCACACATGCCAGCACACATGCCAGCACACATGCCAGCACACATGCCAGCACACATGCCAGCACACATGCCAGCGCACATGCCAGCGCACATGCCAGCACACATGCCAGCACACATGCCAGCGCACATGCCAGCGCACATGCCAGCGCACATGCCAGCGCACATGCCGGCACACATGCCGGCACACATGCCAGCACTAAGCCCGCTTGTTCAGTTGCCTCCACCACGGTGTGACTTCTGCAGTCAGTTTAAAGGTCATTTCCCCCCTCAATCCCCCTATCCCTCTCTGCTCCCCCTTCCTCCTATTCTCTTCCCCGCCTCTCCCTTCATCGGGCTTTAGTCCATTCGATTCTCTGATGGCCACAAGTCAATGCAACCTGCCTGTTCCCTATTCCCCCCCATCCCCTTCTTCTCCCCCCTCTTCCTGAAGCCCTCAAGATGTTTTCTGGTAATTGACTCACAGGCCCCTTGGTAAATGACTCACAGGCCCCACCCTCTAAAAGTCCTAACCCCCCCTCCTTGCTCTCTGCCCCCAAAGTATCCCTCGCGGGTGCCTCTTGTGGCCCTCTCAAGTTTCCCTTTAAGCGAGAGGAGTAAAACGGCCCTCTCAAGTTTCCCATTCGCCCTTTCACCCTCCGTCTCCCCGTGCCCCGTTTGGCCCTCAAGACGCCCAAGCAGCTACCCCTCCGCCCTGCTTCCTTCCCCCCCTCTTCCTGTTTGCCCCCAATCCGTCCCTCACGGCCCTCAAGCTGCCCTTCAGATATGAGCAGCTACCCAACCCTTCCTCCCCTCTTTCTTCCTTCTCCCCTCTGCCCGAAACCCTCCCCATGCTTTGCAGGTGCCTCGCTTGGCTCTCAAGACACCCTTCAGGGAGGGGCTGCTGCAGCATCTGGCTCAGGACTTGGTCAGAATCAGCAAGGTGGGTTGAGTGGTACAGGTTTGGCTGGAATGCGCAAGACTTTTTGGAAAATCAGCCAAGATATGAAACTTTATGCGATCCCAATCGCTGGTTTTGTTGGGTAAATGCAGCCTATCTGCATGTTTATGGCTTTTCTGCTGATTTTCTTTCGTTGTTTCCTTTTTCAGGAGGGCTTGCAAAGACGAGGGTATAGGGAAGCCAACTTTCTTAAGGAGCTGGAGAACATCGCTGCTACAGGTACAGTATTATTTAAAGGGGCACAGGATAGGTTGGTGCTTATCCTGTCCATGCCTCACCACTTTTACCACCCATGCTCTCCTTTCGTAAGCCATTGGCCCAGTCATGACCCATGTCCTCCTCCAATGGAACTCGAACCATTATTTTGGGGCGTTCCAAGAATTTGCCCTCATTATGATTCCCATTCACTATGCCGGCCCATGCTGTCCCATCGAATTTGTCTGCCGTGTGCCATCCCATATTGCTGGTAAATGCCATTTCTCGCATTGCATGTGCATCGCATCTCTCCCTGCAGGTGTGACCCCTGCGGAGCGCATGTTGGAGGCGTACCATGGCAGGTGGGGGGAGAGCGTGGACCCCATTTACAAGGAGCTTATTTACTAGTTTAGAGTGCTATTCAGTTTACAGGATAAAATGCAGCTCGACTTCCCATGTACCTTTCTCAAGGTGAAAGGAGACCCTAGTGGTTCAGTGATAAGGAGAGCTAGCCAGCGGGTCCAAGAGTAATGGATGGGATGGTGGATTTTGAAATATAACTGCGGGAATAGCATAAATGCAGGGAAATGCACCTGCTTGGAAAACACTATTATTCCCATACATGACGTAGCTTGGCACCAATTTCCTTGCATGTAGTCCCGGGCATAACTGCCTGTACTACTAAAGCACCAAAGCCGCAGAGTTCCCCTAAAGCTGGTAAGTGTACCAATTTTTAAAAGTATAATCTATGATCTGTTTGTGTTTATAATCCATATGCTTTAAAACGGCGTGATATATCGGGTCGGATGGCCGCTGTGATTGGCTTTCGCACCAGGTTCTGGCTTCATGTGGACGGTTCATTTCAGTGGAATTCCCAAGGTTTGAACGACGAGGCGAACCGACCACTTCAGCAAGCAAACGAACAGCCAGTTCACCTTGCTGATATTCCAGAATTGGAGCACAATAACCCCAGCACTGCACCGCAACGTACTGTACCGATTATTGAATTCCCCCCTCCCACCACTTGCTGTAATTGTCGCCCATATTTCTCAGCTCAAGAGCTTTAGTCTCCATATGGCTGCAGGCTCTTGGACCCAGCATTTAGCAGCGCATGTGAAGGCGTAAGAACGATAACTATCCCACCGTCCCTGTCCGTCGTGCAGTTTCGTGCTCTGGTTATTGCTGGATTTTATGCATCTCCTTTTTTCGCCTGTCTTATATTCCTCGACAGCTCCTCAGCCTCCTCAGGCGTTCTCCTTACCTCAGAATCCCCGCTTAGCTAAGTTAACTTACCTCTAGTGCTCCTTCATTCCGGCATTCTCAGATTCCTCGGCGTTCCGCGTGCAATTTCAACCTGCCTTGCACCTTACGGTTCGTCTTCCCTCGGCTTGCGGTTTTCAGCTCTGCTTGGCGTTTACGCCTTACAACTCGGATTACACCTGGCATTGCCCGTCTTTCGCCTACCCAACCAACCAATTTCCACCTTTCCCGTGAAGCGAGTCCGCAATGTCGTGGATTCGGTCGAATCTGGCCAAGGTGGGGACGTTTGCGGGGTCCGTGGTGCAGAAGGCCGGAGATGCCGTGGAGCGAGGCGCCAAGATGGTGTACGAGCAGGCGGAGAGCGCTGTGGTGAGTGACCATTATCTTTTTAATAATGTTCTGATATTTTCGTTCTACTGCCAGAGATGGGAATTCTTTATATTTTGGGTCGGGGTGCAGAAAGAAAGGGAGGCCGTGAAGCGATGAGGTAGGATGGCCTACGTAAAGGCTGAGAACGTAACGGTAAGTTACCCAGTTTATCACCTAGATTAGGGGTGCAGAAGGCGAAGGGGTCTGTGGTGAGCTACGACCCTTTTTTTTTGTTGTCAGGTGAAAATTCGCGCTGGATTGGGTTGTCGTGCAGAAGACTCGGGGGGGATTGGAGCAAGGCACCTAAATGGAGTACGAGCAGGCAGCAACGACGCGCAAGGAGCCTCGTTCTCCCTTGCATTTCCTCCCACCCCTCTCTCATCCCTCTCCCTTACCCTCTCTCGCTCCTCCAGGTGGGTCGCCCACACAACAGCTTCCGACACGCGGTGCGGCGGATAGAGGAGGTGGCGTCGTATGCACGCGGCAGCGAGCGCAAGGAGGCTCTGGCGCGCTGGCTGGCCGCACTCTCAGACATCCAGCAGGAGAACGACCGCCTGCAGGCACACTTCCAGAGGCGCAGGAAGAAGCAGGAGAAGGGGGAGAAAGGGGAGAAGGGGGAGCGGAAGTCGCAGGAAGCGAACCAGCAGGAGGAGGGCCCTGCTGCTAGTGCTGATGCTGCTGTTGGGGTTGCCGGTGCTGCTGCTGTGGACTCAGAACGAACCGAAGCAGTAGGAGCGGAGGGAGCTGTTGCTGAGAGTGCTGTTAAGGAAAGGAAGGACAGTGACAGTGTTGCAGCCGGTAACCTGATGAACGAGAGTGGAGAAGAAGAGGGTGTGAAGGCAGGACAATCACAGGAGAAGGCACAGAAAGATGACGCAGAGTCAGGCACAGCAGAACCAGAAGCGGCTTTAAAGGACAGGGTTGTTGCTGGAGATGCTGTAGAAGCAGAAGCAGAAGCACAAGCAGGCGCTGAATCTGGAAAAGCAAGTGCAGTGGGAGAAGAGGAGGAGGTGGCGTCGGTAGGGGATGGATCGTCGCAAGATGAGCCGGCGCCGTCGCTGAAAAAGTCAGCATCAACTGGACGGGCTTCCATGGTGAGTGAAGCAGTTGCTCAGGTGGAGTGCAGTGCTGTGCGGTTTGAGGTGCAGGGTAGTAAGTCCAAAGTCAGCATCAACTGGACGGGCTTCCATGGTGAGTGAAGCAGTTGCTGGAGTGCAGTGCTGTGCGGTTTGAGGTGCAGGGTAGTAAGTCCAAAGTCAGCATCAACTGGACGGGCTTCCATGGTGAGTGAAGCAACGGGTTGGGGTGCAGTGCAGTGCAGTGCAGTGCAGTGCAATTCAGTTCTTCCTGAGAGATCTGTATGACGTGGACAACAAAGTGCTCACTTTTGAGAATTCTCAAAAGTCGCACCAATATACGTGGACACTAAGTGCTCACTTTTGAGAATTCTCAAAAGTCGCACCAATATACGTGGACACTAAGTGCTCACTTTTGAGAATTCTCAAAAGTCGCACCAATATACGTGGACACTAAGTGCTCACTTTTGAGAATTCTCAAAAGTCGCACCAATATACGTGGACACTAAGTGCTCACTTTTGAGAATTCTCAAAAGTCGCACCAATATACATGGACACTAAGTGCTCACTTTTGAGAATTCTCAAAAGTCGCACCAATATACGTGGACACTAAGTGCTCAACTTCAGAAAACGTTGTTTCTTCGACCTTTGCCCCCCCTTCCTCCACTCCCCTTCCCCCCTCCTCTCCTCACGCTCAAAGGTGCTCTTTTACTACCCAGCCAGGGCTAACGAAGCCCTCAACTTCAGGGACGTCTTTCTGCGCTGCGTTACAGTGCTCTCGAGCTCATAGTGGCCACCACTCCACCCATTATCCACCCACTTTCTCTCCCTCGCTCCTCTCCTAGGTTCTCTTCTATGACCCAGACGCGGGCAACGAGGCGCTCAACTCCAGAGACGTCTTCCTGCGCTCCAGCGCTCTCGAGCTCACTATAGCATCCAATCCAACCGTTATGCACCCCTTTTCTCTCCCCTCACTACCGGCCCAGGTGCTTTCTATGATCCTGACGCGAGCAACGAGGCCCTCAACTTCAGGGATGTCTTTCTGCACTCGAGCGCTTTGGAGCTCATAGTGGCCCTCGTCCATCCCCTTCCCCCTCCCCTCCTTGTTTATTTCTTCCAACCCACGCGCCCTCCCAGGTGCTTTTCTATGACCCAGATGCGGGCAACGAAGCCTTGAACTTCAGGGATGTGTTTCTGCGCTCCAGTGCTCTGCAGCTCATAGTGGTCCCCACTCCACCCATTAAGCTCCCGCCTTTCCTCCCACACTCCTCTCCCAGGTGCTTTTCTATGATCCTGATGCAGGCAACGATGCCTTGAACTTCAGAGACGTGTTTCTGCGCTCCAGCGCTCTCGAGCTCATAGTGGCATCTGTGGTGGTGGCGCCGGGGGATGAGGACGAGATGGCGCTGCTGAGAGGGCTGTTCGGGTGAGTACCTGGGGAAGAGGGGAGGAGGGGGGGAGGGAGGGGGAAGTAGAGGAAGGGGGTGTATGGGAAGGGATTGGCTTGTTTCAGGTGAGAATGGAACTCTCGAGCTCATAGTGGCATCCGTGGTGGTGGCGCCGGGGAATGCGGACGAGATGACGCTGCTGAGAGGGTTGTTTGGGTGAGAGCTCGTGTGGGGAAGGGGGGAATGAGGGAGGTGTTTCAATTCAACCTGCTCTCTGCATGGAAATGGGGAATGGGGAAGCCAGTCATTGACTTGTCACTGCTCACTGCATGCTCCACGTGCCCCTCTCTTTGCAAGTCAGTTCCATGAGCCACCCGTCCCTTTCTCTGCTGCCAACTTTGTAACCGTGACCCTTTCATTATCATTCAAACCTCTCCGAATTTCTCCGAACCGCTCTGAACCTCTCTGAAGCCCTATACATCTTCCCAGACTCCTGCTGTCGTTCTCTTCCACCCAATGCAATAAGCCGCTCACTGCCCCCTTGCTCGTCTCTGCTGCCAATCTGCCTCTCTCCATACCATACCCCCTTCATTACCTCTGCACCCTTCTGTATCCCTCTGCACCCCTCTCTACACCCTTCTGAACCTCTCTGTACACCTCCCAGCCTCTGTCTGAACCTCTCCTCAACCCAGTGCGATGATCTGCTAGCAGCCCTGCAGTCACTTGGCTCCTCCCTCTCTGCTTACTCCGAACTCAAGGTGTGTAGAATTTCACAGCGAAACGTTGCAGGGTGGGAAGGGGTGAGAGAGGGTGGGGAAGGGTGTGGGGCCAGGAAACCAAATGGAAACCTGTATATTGATTTCTGCTGTTCTGCATCACTCCCACATTCTCCCGTCAGCTTTTTGGCCATCTGTCATCACTTCCTTTCTCCTACCTTCCCTCTTCTTCCCCTTTTACCACTTTTTCCCACTGTCATTACTTCCTCCACTCCCTTTTCCTCCCCACTCCCTACACCCCCCTCGTTCTCCCCACTCTCCAGTCCTTTGCGCGTCCTCCCTACACTCTCCAAGCCCTCATTCGTCCTCCCACTCGCACCACACCATCAGCTGTCTGTACAGTGATGTGACGTGTGCCGATTCGGCAACAGTTGGTATCAAGTCTTTTCAAAACTCTTCCTCCCTTCGTCCTTCCCTCCCCTCCCCTCCCCTCCCCACCACTCCCACTGCCAGCTTCCAAGTGATGATTTGGCCACGACAGTTGCAGAGGCATTCACAGGGCTGAAGATCAACCCCGAGATTACTTTGAGGCATCTCAAAAGTCCTTCCCTGCCTCCCCCTCCCCTTCCCTCCCCTCCCTCCCCTCCCCTCCCCTCCCCTCCCCTCCCCTCCCCTCCCCTCCCCTCCCCTCCCCTCCCCTCCCCTCCCCTCCCCTCCCCTCCCCTCCCCTCCCCTCCCCTCCCGTCCCCACCACTCCCACTCCCACTGCCAGCTGCCGAGTGATGATTTGGCCACGATGGTTGCAGAAGCAATCACAGGGCTGAAGGTCAACCCCGAGATTGAAAGGTGTGCAATACGGTGTTGGGGGATACGGTGCGTTAAGTTGATGGCCCCCCTTCCCTTTCGCTGCCACTGCCAGCTGCCAAGTGATAATTCAGGTAATTTGCCTAGATGGTGACAGAAGCAATCACAGGGCTGAAAAACAACCCCGCGCTGGAAAGGTGTGCAGTGCGGTGTGAGGCAGGGCTAGTGTGGTGTCAGCTTTAGGAGGGATGGTGGCTGCAAAGAGCAAGGCACAAGGCTCGCAACCTGTTGAACATAGAGCCGTGCTGCTTTCAGCAGACTTTGAGGCGCCTCAAAAGCCATGCTGCTTTCAGCAGCGTGCTATGCTATGCAGTTGCATTAGACAACCACACCATTTGCCGTCTCTGTGCCTGCAGCACACTGCTGCTACTCCATTGCTTGTCAATCAACCTGCACTCTTTCTCGTCTCTCACCATCCACCTCCCACAGGGTTGACCTGGAATCGTGTCGACTGCAACAGCTGATTGCTGAGGCTGCCTCGGTTGCTGCCTCTGTGCCTGCAGCATACCAGCGCTCCGCCTCCTTCTCTGCTGCTCTTGACATTGACGACCTTGCTGCTGATGCCACTGCTGGTGCTGCTGATGCCGATGCTGCTGCTTCTGCTGATGCGGGTGCTGCTTCTGATGTTGCTGATGGTGCTGCTGCCGGTGCTGTTGTGTCTGATGCTGCTGATGCAGCTGCTACCAGTGGTGCTGCTGCTACTGGCAGTGGTGATGGTGATGGTGGTGGTGCTGCTGATGGTGGTGACACAGATAGTGGTAGTCAGGCCTCAACTGATGCTTCTGCGTCTGGTAGTATTGCCTCCTCTTCCGAACCTGTCGCACCTGCCGAAGCTGATGGAACTGCGACAACCGCCGAAGGTACCGACGCTCAAGAAGAAGCAGCAGCAAATGCAACAGCCAGCCCAAAACGAAATACAATAGCCAGCCCAACACAACACACACGGGACGCCGTGACGCACGTGAACGAGGTGGTAACCGCACGGTCGCGCGACGCCCTCCGCCTAGGACTCCGACTGCTAGCCTTAGAAAAGAAAAAGGAGGCCCTGTTACAGCTGGGGGACACGCCGGGGGACAGGGCGCTGAAGGTGGAGCGGGTGAGCTGTCTGGCGGCTGAATTGAGTGAGGGCATGGAGGGCCTCAGGAGGAAGGCTGAGGAGTGCCGCCAGCAGCGCCAGGAGGCCCTGGCGTACCGCAGCAGCAAGGCGCAGGAGGCCCGGGAGGCAGAAAAGGTGAGTGAGGAAGGGGTGTGGAGGTGAGGAGGTTCAGCAGCGCCAGGAGGCCCTGGCGTACCGCAGCAGCAAGGCACAGGAGACCCGCGAGGCAGAAAAGGTAAGGAGCAGGCCCCACCTACCCACACACACACCAACACCACCTCCTCCTAGCTGAGGCCCGGCAAGGGGCAGAAGCGAAAGGAGGAGCTGAGGTTGGTGCAGGCAGCTCTGTTTCCTTACCTATTCCTACCTTCCTCCCTACTCACACACACCAACACCAGCTGAGTGTAGGCATCTCTGTTTCCCTAATTTCTCTCGTTGCCATGCTTACTCCCCTTGCTCATCCCACCACGCACTCCCCAGGTATTCCTGGCAGAGGCCCAGCAGGTGCAGAAGCTAAACGGAGGAGCTGAGGCAGGTTCCGGCGGCCCTTATTCCTTCCCTATTCTCATTGCCCTTATACTCCCCCGCCTTCACCTCTCCGCACGCCAAATACTCCTGGCGGAGGGAGAGCAGGTGCAGAAGCTGGGACGGGTGTAGGCAACTCTGCTGCTTTCCCTGCTCTCATTGTCCTGCTTACTCCACACTCACACCCCCACACCAACACCAACTCCAGGTTCTCCTGGCGGAGGCACAGCAGGTGCAGAAGCGCAAGGAGGAGCTGGAGGAGGAGCTGAGGCGGGTGCAGGCAGCTCTGGACGGCGTGAATCGGCGGCTAGTGAAGCTGGAGGAGGAGAAGGAGCTCTTCTCACAGGCCAGCAGCGGAATAGAAGCGCACCTGTCTTTGGAGGTGAGCCTGGACATTTTAACTTGGAGCCCCTCAAGTGGTCAGTTACGTGTGGGCGGCTGTTGAAGCTGGACGAGGGGAAGGAGCTCTTCTCACAGGCCAGCAGTGGGATCCGGGCTCACCTATCCTCCGACGTGGGCCTGGAGTGACTTCAGAATACATCAGTGACTAATCGGCAGCTAGTGAAGCTGGGGGAGGAGAAGGAGCTCTTCTCACAGGCCAGCAGCGGGATCAAGGCTCACCTCTCTTCAGAGGTGGAGAAGGTGGAGAAGGTGGAGAAGGTGGTGATCAGTACTTAGGAGAATTCTCAAAAGTGACTCCCAAATAACAGATTTGGTACTGAATCCAAGACTTCCTTTGCAATAGGAGGAGGAGGAGGTCGTCAAGGCCCTGTCTGAATCTGAACGCTCGGTACTCTCCCATCCCCAACAGGAGGAATTGCTCACGCACTCACTCTCCGAACACGAGGAGGATGCCAAGGCCCTGTCGGAATGGAAGCAGTTCCTGCAGCAGTCGTGCACATCCCTCACCCAGCATCCGCTATTTCCACACGCCCCTGTATAAAGAACAGGAGGAATCCCTCACGCACTCCCTATCGGAGCATGAAAAGGACGCCAAGGCACTAGCAGGGTGGAAGGAGTTTCTGCAGCAGTCGTGGCAGCTGCAGCAGGCGAGCATGGAAGGCAAGGAGCGGCAGATGAGGGAGGAGATGAGTGAGCGCAAGAGCCGGTTCTGGGAGATGGCTCAGGGGCACGTGCGGCTGTGCAAGGTGAGTGCATTGCTAGTGCCTTTATTATTTAATTCCGTTTATGCCTTCTTGAGAATTCTTTCGACATTTGACTTCCCTCCCTCCCTCCCTCCCTCCCTCCCTCCCTCCCTCCCTCCCTCCCTCCCTCCCTCCCTCCCTCCCTCCCTCCCTCCCTCCCTCCCTCCCTCCCTCCCTCCCTCCCTCCCTCCCTCCCTCCCTCCCTCCCTCCTCCCTCCCTCCCTCCGTCCCTCCGTCCCTCCGTCCCTCCGTCCCTCCGTCCGTCCGTCCCTCCCTCCCTCCTTCCCTCCCTCCTCACCACCTCGTGCCTCATTGCACACCCGTGGTTGAGCAGTCGGAGCTGGAAGCCTTTGGGCAGTCGGCCAAGTCGATAGTGGAGAGACTCGATGGTATCAGAGCCAAGAGGTGAGTCTGGTTTAGAAATTTGCAGTCATGCTAACATAGTGAGAACGGATTATTCAAAATAAGGCGTAGCATTCACGTGCTTTGGGTTGAGCTGGAAGCCTTTGGGCAGTCGGCCAAGTCGATAGTGGAGCGGCTCAATGGTATCAGAGCCAAGAGGTGAGCGCACATGGAAGCACACTGGCATGATAGAAAATATGACGATTTACAGAAGGAATATAGCACAACCACAGGTGGTCTTCTTTGCTTGCTGCTGACCCTCGTCTCGCTTCACTCTCTCCCCCTACCGTCCCTCCTCCTCCTCCCTCCCTCCCTCCCTCCCTCTCTTTCCCTCTTAATACACCGGTCCTCTCAACACCAGGGAACAAGCAGAGAAGGAGGGGAAGGACGGGGCAGTGTCAGACAGCAAGCACAGAAGGCTGCAATGGGAGGAACGATACATGGCAGCTGAGATACAGGTGGGTGCTGTGCGGTGAGTGTGCTGCTGCTCAGTACGTTTCAGACAGGGTTGGAAGTACGTGTGTACTAGCCCTAGCTACCACCGTCCATCAACCATCCACGTGACATCCAGAGATCAGGGCCCTCATCATTCACCTGGCCATGTCCCTTATGCCCACTCATCACTGGTTCATCACCGCTTATGACCGCTCGTGGCCGCTCATCTCTATGTGCCCCCATGTGTCTCCCCACAGGTGAAACGGTGCATTGGGGAGGCAGAAATAGCCATGCGGGAGATCAGGGCCTGGCTGGACACTCTCCCCCCCAGGTAATGCCTTTCCTGATCAAATGCCCTGTCTCTCCCTTCCAGGTAGCACCTTCATTTTTATGTTCAAAAATCCTATCTTCACGTCACAAGATTCATCCTTATCACATGTAAGTTGCACCATAATCGCGAACCTGTTTTCTGTGACTTTCATGACATCATCAACTCCCTCCCACCACGTGTTCCCTCCAGTGAGGATGCTCCCAAGCAAGCTCAAATGCGCTCTCTTCTCGCCGAACTCGAGTCCCTCGTAGCTTCGGTCCGAGCCTCCGACCGCCCGAGCCTGTCTCTGGACCACCCGACCGTGCTCCGCGTGCAGAGGCTCGGCAAGTCTCCTGACTCGTGGGCTTCTGCCGAAGCTGCTGCTGGAGGCAGAGGTTCGGCATTTCCAGGTACGGTGGTGGTGGCCCCACTGTCTAGCTTTTCTGGTGGAAGCTCAACTGCCACAGCTGCTGCTGCTGCTGTTGCTTCTGCTGCTGCCGGTACAGCAGCAGCAGCAGGAGGAGCAGCAGAACGGCCAGAAGCGGCTGCTGCGGGTACAGCACAGGCGGCTACATTGTCCGAGTCTGGTAAACTGTTGAAGAAACCGGCACTTGTGATTGGAGGATCAGCAGCGGCAGGGGCAGGTGGGGCGGCGCCATCAGGAACAGAGGAGAATGTCCCCCCTACGCCTTTTGTCATTTCGGGCGGGGTCCGTCGTCCTGTAGCTCCTGGTTTCAAGGATAAGCAAGGCAAGTCAAAGCTGCCGCCTGCTGGTGAGAGCGGTTCAGCGCAGAGCAAGCACGGGAAGGAGAGCGGCGAAGGGAAGGAGAGCACGGGCGAAGATAAGGGGGAGGAAGGAGGGTCCGATGCTGCAGCTGAAGCAGGTTCTGCAGGGGGACAATAACCAAATGCCTGGAATTAAGTCCAGTTCGAACCAGTAACACAGAGGCCAGGTGGTTGTAAGCACACAAAGGTAGTGAATCATGTAACGGTTTATGTAGCTATAGGTGCACGTCATGGGCTTGTGCTGTAGAGTATTTTCCTAAATAAAACTATAGTAAGCTACGGACAAGGCATGTGCACGCCAGTGCGGCTGTTCACAAAGTTCCCCAAACCACCAGAGACATGAAAATATTCACATTGAAAGAGATCACGCCCTGACATCTAGGTATGAAGAGCAACAGCTACACGAGCAAGACAAGGCCACAAGGAGAAGCCTCTTTCCAGCTGCACGGTTCAAACCAAAACGCAACTAGGAAGTTGCGACCAACTGAAGACCAATTTTGGAACAACAAAATGAAGCCTGAATGTTTGAAACTATGGCGTGCACTTATCCTGCTCCCCATCGGCCTCCCTAAACGGCACCCAGATTTCGTTCACTCGTCCAATCAGCTCAAAGGGAGAGTTATACTCCGCAATGCTGTACGCCTCCCCTCCCAAAGCTGCAGTAACATTCGCCCACGCCGTATTCGCCAGGCTGTCCCCAAGATTCGCTGCCTCCTGCGCGACGTTAAAATCCGTTGCGAATCCGGAGAAGGTTCGCACGGCGACGCAGAGCGACGGCGAGCGACGGATGTGCAGGTTGAGCGCGGAGGACGGCTTGGGGGGACTCTCGGCGAAGTTCTTCGGAACGAGGAAGCGGACGAGGAAGGTGGACGCGCAGAAAGGACCGCCGGAGGGTTTGATGGTGGTAAGCACGGGAGCAGTCATCGGAATGGTGACGCCATCCTTGTTGCGACCCTGAATGTACTGGAACAGCCTGAAGAGGAGGTAGAGGGAGTGATTCGAGAAAGAAAGATAAAAAGGAAACGGAAACGGAGAATTTGTAGAAATTTGTGCTTAGCCGAATTTGGACAAAAAGCGAGGAAAAAAACTCCAGAGTCGGCAGGGTAAGCTGGAAACGGCTGGAAACTGCTGGAAATGTATAGACGGCTGTTGTAACGGATGGTGATTATGACGTTTAAAGATAACCGATTTCAGGTTGTTTTGAAGTACCTGTGGAAGCCGGCGTAAACGGCTTTTTTAAAAGACACCTCGTTAATAGGGTTCGTCTCGGCCCACACGGAGCTCCTGTAGCGGCGAATCTGAAAGTCCGACTCTTCGTGCACTAACTCGTAAGGCGGACACTCGATGTTCTTGCATGTAGACGAAGGTAAAGGACCATCCGGCGCCCTGTGAGGAAGGAAGATTTTGGAAAGACCGAGACGAAGCGACCCAGCAGCGTTGAACGCTGAAGCAGTAGGGACGAGAGTGACGGCCACGGCTAGGACTAAGGCCAAGAGCACGAAGAGCGAGACGCGTGCCATGAAACTGAACGTTACCAGAAGCTCCAAACAAGAAAACTGGCAGCCTCACACTACACTCTGCAATTTAGAAAGACGCAGCGAGAGAGTTTCAGGCTCCTGAATTCTATGCGCCTCGAATTCCAAAGGATGCTGCTGCTAAGACATCCCTATGACTGCTCCTTGAAGAATCCGCACTGGTGTATCTGCTATGGGAAAGTACATGCCACAGTTCACACATGTCCATGTAGGACCGTGCTTTCTAGACACGCTACTGTCATGAGCCGCCGCTCGCATTGGCGTGGCGTGGATACACGAAGCATCTGGAAGGATCAAATTTGTGAGGCTCGGAGAGGCGATGATGTGGGCGACTTCAAGCGACGATTTCGAGGCGTATGCGAAAAGATGGACTGGGCATCGCATGTGGAATTGGTGTCTGGTTGGGATTGTCGCTGCGATGAATGCATCGCCATCCATGTGTGGCGACGCGGCGCAGGGGTTTGAGGGTGTGCGTTGGCTGCGGACGAGTTTCGGCTATTGGTGTGTGTTTTGTTGACAGGGTCGAGATTCGGGAGTCAAGGAGCCAGCTGTACTGTACGAGACCGATTGAACCCACGTGGCAACGGCATGTCGGCGATATTTTTGGGAGTGCTTTTGCCCATTGGATAGCGCTTTATTTGAGCCTGCAACATCGCCTAAAATTGAATTACAGTCGAAGCGCGTTACAGTCACACCTGGTAGGTGGGCGGGATGTTCTTGAAACGAGCAGACTATTTCGCCTAGCATTCGCGCACGTCGCCACTGGTATAAGGTGATTGTAAGGACGCAAGGTTGTAACATGTTTAACTTTTCCCAGGTACTGTGGACCAGCGTCCGTTGTTGTTTGTGCATGTTCCTAGTTACCGTGCAAGCCATCAGTGGCTTCGCGCTGCATTTCGGGACCCTGTGTGAAGAGACGAACACCACTAATGAACTCAGCGAAGAATTCGCTGCAAATCGGTAAGAAGCTCGCAGCATTTGCTGTAGTGTTTGTCTTGTGTGCCAAGGTCGAAGCGCCCTGAAATCTGCCCGACAAAAACCACATGCCACCAAAAGTTTGAGTGACTGTACCCCTTGTGACATCACCCGGTAGAACAAGCAGTTGTGAGTAAATTTCTAAATATGACGAGCAAATTTTCTCTGATAAGGTGAGCATCGACTGTACCTTAATTTTCACTCTAGTGAAAGCACCATTAGAACGAATCTGTCCTTGAGTCTACACCATGTGCTTATTCACAAAACGTACGTTCACATAAAGTCGTGAACACCGAGTAACAGAGTGTTCCTTGGTTATCTCACCTAAGTGGGGTTTGTCTCTGTAACGAGGATGGCTATCCCAATTTCCTCAAAAGGGGGTGTCAGATGAGTACGTTCTAACGCGGTTGAAGAAGGTTTTGTTTTGATTCTGAGCGGTGCTTTGGAAATTAAAATGGTTAGGTAGGGTTTTATGCGAAAACGTACATTCTTGGACCCGCTCTAACCAACGGTTTCGATGCTGTCCATCGATCCATCAATGGGCCCTGGCATTCCCCCAACCAAACTCCCCCGTACGCCTGAGCTCACGAACTGCTACCAACTTCTCGTCATGCTCCAAGCCCTCCATCACAACACACCACCACCAAACCGCCCCACGGCGCTTCGCGCTTGGCCGAACCTCTTGCCTTAGTATACCTACACATGACCACGTTCGGTTGCCAAAGCTGCTAGCTTCGGCATCCACGCACAACAGCGCTGAGTACCTCGGCATTCTCCAGGTTTGGCTCTACTTGTTCCCCTTTTGCTCGGCTCGGCACGGCAGCGCTGGCTGCTCGTCCTCCCCGCAACCGCGAACTCTGAGCTTTCGTGTGCCTTCCTGTACAGTGTGCTTTAGGGCGCGTGTCTTTTGGATTTTATTGCAAAGTTCATGTTTTCTAGTCGATTTTTTACGTTTGAACCTAGGTCGACCTGTACTCGAGTATCTCAAGTTTTGGGTCCCGAGTCGCGATTTTTTCTCCCAAAAATCACATGGCACATCAAAGTTCGACTTCAGAAGTTCGACTTTATACAGTAAAACCCGAGTCGCGCCCCAGTTTCGTAGGTTACCCGATTTGAAAACGTAGCTCGTAAACTAATCCGGATGAAGTAACGAGGTACGATGTCGTTCGTTACTATCGCGAATGTCGCAGATTCACTGTGCATGAAAAGAAGAACACACGTTTGGCTAAACGGGCACGTGAAAATTCGACCCCAGTTCATTGTCCCTCTGTTTCATCAATCTTTATATTTGGAAACACGATTATCGCAAACAGCTTCCAACGAAATTAACGAAGCCGGTTACCACGAAAAGGTCGACCTTAATTTTGAACCTCTACACCAAAAGACACGCGCCCTTACGGTTCTTCCCCCTTTCTTCTCACATCCCGTCCCCGCCAATCCAGGCTCCTATTCCCCCTGCACTTCTTCTCAGGTCACATATCAACCCAGCGTTTAGGCATTTCTGTAATTTTATATACAACTCCGTACTCCTGCATAATTCTAGGCGCTTACTTTGCTGCTACTGCTGCTGTCTCCTTCGTTACTTAGCGTACGCCTCTTAGCGTCGTTTCAGCTCGAACGCACTCAGCACCAACCCAACCCTCAGACCCATTCACAACGGCGCTACTTCTACACTAATATAATAGCCATTTACCACGAGTGCTTTGGAAAAGAGAAATTTTAAGTTAGAGCTGATTGCCAAATCGCAATGGCAGAGCCAAGTGGCCCCGGTCTTCTCGCTCCACCTAAGTCCCTTCCCGGTGGCTCCAGCGCACCTCCCATTAGAAAACCAGTCATTGCGGAGGAACGACAGGCGAAGGTTAGCAAACCCTAATTTCGCGAATGTTTGTCCTTTCTCGATGTGGCTGCTCCTCGTCTCGGTTCTTCAACGCTTCTGGGCTGTCACAAAACGGACATAATCAACTTATATCTTCTTTCTCTTGTTTGGAGCTTTGCTCGTCATGCTTGTCTGCACATTTCACCGCTGCTTATTCAACGATTTTTCAACTGCCTTCTGCTCCCCCTCTCGCCTCTTCAGGGTACTATCCCGCAGTTCGGGCAGTTCGGAGACAACAATGTCGGGTACACGGGTGTGTTCGCGGTGAAAAAGCAACAACGAAGACAAGGCGACGACGACTTGTTTCCGGAACCTCAGCCCATGGGAACTTTCGATCAGAAGCCAGAAGCGACAACGGCCGCTCCAGTAAGTTGTTTTGTGTTTTTTTGGGCTGTTCCCGTCATCTCTATTAGCGATATTTCACCAAACCGTTTTACGATGGCACTCGAAGGTGTGAATGAGGTATCGTACTTTCCCGCCATTTGCTCGTATGCTTTGGAAACAAAGGAGATTTGCGAATTTGCTAAGGTTCATTTCAGCGTGTCATACCTGACATGGGCGTGTTCGATGGAGGCGTGATTAGTCAAGGTTGATGTTGTACGTCTTGAGTAGTCCTGGTTGTACGAAGGTCTCGATCTTTACGAGAAACTCACGGATCAGCTCAAGTCAGAGAACGATGCATGGACATCTTTTCTACGCTAACCATTTGTAATGGTGCTGAGCTATCTCGAGTATGGTCCCTGCAGTTACCCCAGAGAGCATTGCATAACGTTTTGGTTAACAAATCAATTTATTTTCTTGTGATTTTTATGATACCATATTCTGCGTATGCCCAGCTGATGGTAGAGTCGGTGTGGGGAGTAGTCAATGAGGGATCTCCGTGAGTGAGAAAGAAGATGTGTCATGTTTGATGCTAAGAGGTTTGCTGTGGTCGGCAAGTAATGGTGGTGTCATAATGGTCTCTGTATTGCTGTCCTTGAAGTCATCAGAGTCAAGTGAGTGATGTTCCAGACTTCAGAGTGTCGAAGCAACAGAGTGTTCTTCAGAGTATCCTGGTGTAGTGCCAGGGTGGCTGTTGAAATTAATCTTTTTAAAATAAATAAATAAATAAATAAATAAATGTGTTGAGTACGGCTGAGATTGTGGTTTCTTCAACTTCCAGTTATGAACCGACGCCTGACAGTGTCTGCATTACTGAAAGTGCTGTGTTGTCACTGTCCCCTCGTCCTCTTTATATGTCCCTCTCTAAAGCCTTTGTTTTCCTCTTAACGTCCACCTGATTTCTTCCCATTGCTCGTTTCCGTCTGCAGGCTGAGTCGGCTCAACAAGGCTGCTGCCTCATTCTATAAGAGAAACGAGACTCTGCTGCACCCAGTGCCTCCCTGCACTCAAACCATCGGCCCTTTTGGCTGATTCACTGCTGCTTCAGACATCTCTCGTTTGGGTGTTCTCTCCCTCTTGTTCAGCACTTGGCTCTTTGTCGAGGCACTGCTGGATGGGACTTCGAACCTTTTGGTGGCAAAAGGTGGTGGTACAGTAATGCTTGTGCCTTGACTCACTGTACTGATGGCAACCAACTGGCATGGTATGTGACCTGGTACTAGAAGCCAGTTGGAGTGTCAGTACCCTCTGCTAACTGTAGATTTCTGGAGGAGTTTCTGGCAGTGCCGTATTCAGTAGGATGGCATTTTCTTTTTGTTTATTGCAAGTGTACACAGTAATATACCGGTAGTGTAGTTATTGCAGTTGTGCCAGCCCAGATGTATTCGCTCTACATGCACTCAAATTTATTTCTGCAAATGCAACTGAGGCACTAGCAAATATCACATTTTGCAATCACAAAGCAATCAGTTGTACAGGTACATTGCAATGCAGCTCCATCAGTCAATTGTCAGGAAGCTGGCACAAAAATAAAGTACACATCACACGAGTCAGTCAGGCACACGGATTAACTTCTTGGTCACGTGCTATGTGGTAACTCAGCACTTCGTTGCATGCGAGCTAAAAAACACGCCTCATCTCTCTGGCTCACATCCCATCCCATCCCATCACACAGCACCGCACTGCATCACTTGCGCATCTCCACCAGCTTCATCACCAGGTCCTCCAGGTCTTTCGGCCGAATGGGCTTCGTCAGAAAGTGGTTCATGCCCGCAGCAAAGCACGCCTCGCGCTCGAAGTCAAACGCGCTGGCTGTGAGCGCTGCAATGAACTTGGGCGGCCGGCTCGGCAGCAGCTGCTCCGCCTGCCGGATCTGCCTGGTCGCTTCTAGCCCATCCATCTCAGGCATATGGCAGTCCTGCAGAGGGAGAGGGAGAGGGGGAGAGGGGGAAGGGCGGGTGGGGAGGGGAGGAGTAGAATTAGCTGATGTGTGAGTAAGGCAAAGCACGCCTCGCGCTGAAAGCACGCCTCGCGCTGAAAGCACGCCTCGCGCTCGAAGTCAGACGCGCTGGCGGTGAGCGCAGCGATGAACTTGGGCGGCCGGCTCGGCAGCAGCTGCTCCGCCTGCCTGATCTGCCGAGTGGCCTCCAGCCCGTCCATCTCCGGCATGTGACAGTCCTGGGAAGAGGAACAGGGAAGGGGGAGAGGTTGGGATGGGATTTTGAGCCCATTCTCCGCTACCTCGGTGGCAATCCCAAGTTCCTCCGCATACGGATTTGGAGCCAACTAGAAAAACAGCAACACTCACCATGAGAATGAAGTCGTAGTGGTTGCTCTCGCACGCGTGCAGCGCCTTGAGCCCATTCTCGGCCACCTCCGTGGAAATCCCAAGGTTCTTCAGCATTCTGGTTACCACCATCTGGTTCACTGTATTGTCCTCCGCAACCAAAACTTTCCACGACTTCACACACTCGGGCAGCTGCGTGGGCGGCTCGTCCGTGAAAACTTTTTTGTGCCCGTGCCCGCCATGCCCATGCCCCCCTCCTCCTCCTGCTTTCCCAGCATTTTCAAGAGACTGGGCACTGCCGGTTCGTTTCACGGAGGCCAGGGGGGAAGTGAGAGGGATGGCTGGGGAAGATTTGGAGCAAGGGGAGCGAGGAGGTCTCTCCTGCGTCTTGCATCGCCGGGGGGGAGGGCCGGAGGGGTCTTGCAGTGAGTGAGCTTTGAAGGACGAGGAGGGTTTGGTTATGGCAATAGACACTCGCCGGCCATTGCTGCCGTTTCTGCTTGTGCCGCTGCTGCTGCCGCTGCTGATGGCGCTGCTGCTGCTGCTGCTGCTGGTGTTGCTGCTGCTGGCCATTTCTTTGAGGTTGGTTGTGCTGCTGCTCCTGCGAACAATGCTGCTGCTGCTGCTGCTGTTAGAGCCGCCAGTGCCACTAATCCTCTCTGTGAAGCTGTTTGTGCTCCTGGCCCTTTGGATGCTCCTGCTGCTGCTGCCACCGCTGCTGTTGCTATTGATGTTGCTGTTGCTGTCTGCACTCCTGTCGGCACTCCCTCCGGTGCTGCCTGCGGTTTTTAGGTTCCTGGGTTTACTCTTGCTGCGGGTGAGGAATTTCCCCTCCGTTGCACTCGGTTTCAGCAAGTAATTATCGCTCTTAGACTTGCTGAAAAGGCTTCTGACAGCAGAGATTGCAGCAGGACTGGGAGGAGGCGGATAAGACGGAACAGCAGGGGGAGCAGGGGCAGCAGCGGCGGCAGAGGCAGGAGCAGGAGAAGAAGAGACGTCCTCAGCAGGAGCAGCGGCAGAGGTGGTGGGAGGCCAGGTGAGGGTGGGTGAAGCAGGGATAGCTGGAGCAGCAGGAGATGCTGCTGGGGGGTTAGCATTGCTGGTACAGTTGCTGCTGCTGCTGCTGGTGCTGGTGCTGCTGCTGGCATTAGCAGGTACAGCAATGGGCAGAAAGATTTCTTTTGAATCTGCCCGGCGCAGAGCCTTCTTGTGCCGAGGGGTGGGGCTGCGGTTGAGTCGCCGGCTCCCAGCAGACCAGATAGACCGAGAAGAAGAGGAAGAGGTAGGAGTTGTCATTTGCGACCGAGAAGTCTCATAAGTTGCATCACTGTCGCAATCCATGGAATGTTGCTTAGGAACAAGGCTTCTGTGCGTTGTTGCTGCTGCTGCTTCCTTGTGTGCTGTTGTTGCTTCCTTGTGGTTTACTGCTTCTTTGTTCCCTCCTCCCTTGCGATAGCGGGACTTTCGCGACCGACCAATGGCGATCTCCGTCGCCGCACGGACCAAGTGCCTAGCCCAATGCTCCTCCTCGTCGTCTGTTTCGCTCCCCGACACGCACTCCTCTCCTTCCTCTCCTTCCATGTGCATATCACCCTCTATCCCTTCTTCGTCCTCCTCTTCCCCCAGCTCATCCCACTCCTCTACCTCGACCTCCTCGTACTCGTCTTCCTCTCCCTCCTCCTCTTCCTCCTCGCTCTCATCACCAATGCTCTCTTCCCCGTCACTCTCTGCATCACTTGGAGCAGGCTCTGTGACCCCGAGGCACACAGTGAAGGTGAAGGTGGACCCCTGCGAAAGAAAAAAATGAAATATATTTGTTATTGAAAGAGGAACGGCACAATGTGAAGCTCTAAAACAATGACAAAGCAGCGAATAGATGAGGCGCCGAAAGTCTGAAAATGTTTCAGAGCTGGAAAAGAAAAATAAGCTCACCTTTCCTTCTTCGCTTGAGAGGGTGATTTCGCCGCCCATCAAGTTGACAAGTGCCTTGCAAATGGCTAGGCCAAGGCCCGTCCCTCCAAATCGGCGACATGTGGAGTTGTCAGCCTGGACATAAGAAAGTGAGGACATTGTTAGCAAACAAGCTACACGCGTGCAATACTCAAGAGTCTCAGATTGACACAAGTTTATTAGATGTAGTTAAGAATGCATAAGATGCATAAGAATGGCAAAAAGATAGGGTGTAGTTATGTTGAGACGAACCTGATTGAAGGCTTGGAACAGGTTCTTCTGCGCGTGGGGCGGAATTCCTATCCCCGTGTCTTTCACTTCGAACTGCACCACCACCTTATCCATTTCCGCGTTTTCTCTTAGCGGCTCCAAACTCGAGAACGATTCCCGCCGCTTTCCGCGGCCCGGAGCGTGAGGATCCACGAGGCTGACGCGCACCGACACGTGCCCGCCGGCCGACGTGAACTTAATCGCGTTGCTGAGTAGGTTCGTGACCACCTGACGCACGCGCATGCAGTCTCCGAAGACCTCGATCGGGACGTCCTTATCGACTCGCGCTTTAATGCGGATGTTTTTCCCGGTCGCGGATCCGCGGAACAGCGCGACGCAGTTGCTCACGTTCTCCCGCAACCGCCAGTTGCTAAAATCGAGGACCATCTTCTCGTTCTCGATCTTGCTTAAATCGAGGATGTCCGAGAGGATGTGCAGCAGACCCTCGGAGGACGATCTTAGGGTTTCGAGCAGCGCGCATTGCTCCGGCGAAAGCGGCGTCGCGAGCATCAGATCGGCGACGCCGATGATTCCTGATCGGGGGAGGAAAGGAAGGGAGGGGTGGGTAAAGAAGGGGTGGGGAAGAGGAAACGGAGGGTGAGTAGCCTGCTCAGTCCGCATGCTCCGGCGAGAGCGGCGTCGCGAGCATCAGATCCGCGACGCCGATGATTCCTGATCGGGGGAAGAAAGGAAGGGTTGGGGGAGGAAAAGGGGGATGAGTAGCCTACTCAGCATGATCCGGCGAGAGCGGCGTCGCGAGCAGTAGATCGGCGACGCCGATGATTCCTGGTCGGGGAAAAAACGGGAAGGCCGGAAAGGGAAAAAAGAGGAAGCGGGGAATGAGTCGTATGCTAGCATGCCAGAAATCGTGGCGCAACGAGGGAAAAGGAACGGGATGGAAAATGACAAATTTAGCCCTGCACGAGCTTGCGCGCGGGAAATTAAATCTCACCGTTCATGGGCGTGCGGATCTCGTGGCTCATATTCGCCAGGAACTGCGTTTTCGCCTTGCTCGCCTTCTCCGCCTCCGCCTTGGCCCTCCGCAGCTCCGCCTCCTGCTTGCGCGCCTCCGCCATGTCGTGCCACACCATCAGATACACCGGTTCGCCAAAGAAATTCACCATCTTACATAACACCTCCACCGGTACGTCCTGCCCCTCCTCGTCCTCGAACACCCAGTCGAATCGGTACCGCTTCTCCCCGCCCACCGCGGACGCGCCGCTGAGAACCGTCGCGCCCGGGATCCCCCCCCCCGCGCCTCCCCCCGCGGAGCCTGCGCCTGAGCCGGTCGCGGGCGCGGGGACGTTGTTGCTGGCGGCGAGGTCGTCTAGGACGGCCTTGAGGAACGCGGAGCGCTGGCCTGAGGGCTGCTGCGGGCGGCAGAGCTCCCAGGGGGTTTTTCCGAGGAGGGACTCCTTGGTTCCGCACTTGAGAATGCGGATGGCCGACTGGTTGCAGTCGAACACGCGCCCGTCCTGGTTGAGTAGAAGCTTGGGATCCTGAGGTGGAGAGGGTGGTGATGAGAGACAGAGTAGGAAAGAGAGAGAGAGAGAGTAGGAAAGAGAGAGAGAGAGTAGGAAAGAGAGAGACAGAGTAGGAAAGAGAGAGACAGAGTAGGAAAGAGAGAGAGAGAGTAGGAAAGAGAGAGACAGAGTAGGAAAGAGAGAGAGAGAGTAGGAAAGAGAGAGACAGAGTAGGAAAGAGAGAGAGAGAGTAGGAAAGAGAGAGACAGAGTAGGAAAGAGAGAGACAGAGTAGGAAAGAGAGAGAGAGAGTAGGAAAGAGAGAGACAGAGTAGGAAAGAGAGAGAGAGAGTAGGAAAGAGAGAGACAGAGTAGGAAAGAGAGAGACAGAGTAGGAAAGAGAGAGAGAGAGTAGGAAAGAGAGAGACAGAGTAGGAAAGAGAGAGAGAGAGTAGGAAAGAGAGAGACAGAGTAGGAAAGAGAGAGAGAGAGTAGGAAAGAGAGAGACAGAGTAGGAAAGAGAGAGACAGAGTAGGAAAGAGAGAGAGAGAGTAGGAAAGAGAGAGAGAGAGTAGGAAAGAGAGAGACAGAGTAGGAAAGAGAGAGAGAGAGTAGGAAAGAGAGAGACAGAGTAGGAAAGAGAGAGACAGAGTAGGAAAGAGAGAGAGAGAGTAGGAAAGAGAGAGACAGAGTAGGAAAGAGAGAGAGAGAGTAGGAAAGAGAGAGACAGAGTAGGAAAGAGAGAGACAGAGTAGGAAAGAGAGAGAGAGAGTAGGAAAGAGAGAGACAGAGTAGGAAAGAGAGAGACAGAGTAGGAAAGAGAGAGACAGAGTAGGAAAGAGAGAGAGAGAGTAGGAAAGAGAGAGACAGAGTAGGAAAGAGAGAGACAGAGTAGGAAAGAGAGAGAGAGAGTAGGAAAGAGAGACAGAGTAGGAAAGAGAGAGACAGAGTAGGAAAGAGAGAGAGAGAGTAGGAAAGAGAGAGACAGAGTAGGAAAGAGAGAGACAGAGTAGGAAAGAGAGAGAGAGAGTAGGAAAGAGAGAGACAGAGTAGGAAAGAGAGAGAGAGAGTAGGAAAGAGAGAGACAGAGTAGGAAAGAGAGAGAGAGAGTAGGAAAGAGAGAGACAGAGTAGGAAAGAGAGAGACAGAGTAGGAAAGAGAGAGACAGAGTAGGAAAGAGAGAGACAGAGTAGGAAAGAGAGAGAGAGAGATCGAGTCAGGGAAGGTGAGGAGGCGAAGTGCATGCAAGTGGAACGATGCTAAGGATTGCCTGCAAGGGTTGGGACTTGGAACGTAAGGGTTGGTGGTTACAACCGAAGCTACACGCACTGAGACTGACTGGGGCAGCACGTACCGAGGAGAGCATGCGGAACTTGAACTGGTTTGGTTCTTGCGGCTCTCGGAGATGTCATTCACGAGCCACATGCAAACCACACACTCACCTACCAAGACGTGCTCTGAGGGAAATTGCAATTATCTTGCACACACAGAGACGCTGACAGCGGCAGCAGCGCGTACCGAGGAGAGTTCGAAGAGCATGCGGAACTTGAACTGGTTCTTGCGGCTCTCAGTGATGTCATTCACGAGCCACATCTCCCCGAGGTCAAACTGGTACGTCGTCACATCCACCACCAGCTTCGACCCGTCCTTCTTCTTGATCTGCTGCACCGTGTTCGTCACGTCCTTGCTGCTCCCGGACACCCGTCTCGCCTCGTGCAGTTGTCGCGCGCGCCGGGCCTTTTCCGCGTAGAGTGTGGTGAACCATTTGTCGACGCTGTTGATGGAGCCCTTCTCGCACCCTAGCATGGCTTCGAGCGTGCTATTAACGAGGATGGTTTCCCCCTCCTCGCCCGCATGGGAGATGAGCACCGCGCCGGCTGGGAAATGTTCCACCATCATGCGGTAGTTCTCCATGTGTTGCTCCTGAGAGGAGTGAAGTGGGATGAGGAACGGTGGGGCGTGGTGAGAGGGAGCAGAGCCAACGTCCGTCAACCTGCAGGGAGGTGCAGGAGAAGGAGGCTCTCTGACTGCTAATTGACTATTGAGTCTACTCAGAGTACGTTGAAAAGAGAAACAATGCTTACCAGAGCCTTCTGAGCGCTGATGTCTTGGAAACATGCAGAGCGCTGCTGTGTGCTCTCTGACTGCTAGTCAACAATGAAGTCAACTCCAACTACATTATAAAAGAATCACAATGCTCACCAGGGCCTTTTGCGCACTGATGTCCTGGAACATGCAGAGCACTGCCGTGTGCTCTCTGCCTAGAACCTTGACTGTTGACTCAAACGTCACGCAAGAGCAGGGTAGACATACCAGGGCCTTTTGCGCACTGATGTCCTGGAACATGCAGAGCACTGCCGTGTGCTCTCTGCCTAGAACCTTGACTGTTGACTCAAACGTCACGCAAGAGCAGGGTAGACATACCAGGGCCTTTTGCGCACTGATGTCCTGGAACATGCAGAGCACTGCCGTGTGCTCTCTGCCTAGAACCTTGACTGTTGACTCAAACGTCACGCAAGAGCAGGGTAGACATACCAGGGCCTTTTGCGCACTGATGTCCTGGAACATGCAGAGCACTGCCGTGTGTTCTCTGCCTGCTGTCCGCCCCGCCTCGCCCCCACTCGACCCGCTCTCGTGGCTGCTGGTGCGGCTCATATTGCTCGTGTCCGTGTCCCCAGCAGCTGCAGCAGGAACAACAGCGGCTGAAGCAACGACAGGCGCATCAGCAGCACCAGTAACACCAGCAGCAGCAGCAGCAGCAGCCGCAGCGGCAGCAGCGGCAGCAGCAGCAGCGGCAGCGGTAGCAGGCGGGGTGGCAGCAGGTGGAGCAGCAGCAGCAGGGGGGCCAGAGGTGGAGAGGCCAGTCATGGTGATCCGAACCGCCACTGTGCTGCGGTCAATCTTTCTCAACCGAATCTCCTGCTGCGTCCACTCCTGCACACCCTGCTGCACCTTGCTGTACTCCTCCTGAACCATTTGAGAATGCGGGGAAAGGGGAGACGGGGACAGAGCGGGTAGGCGAAGGGAGAATGTCAGCTGTGGAAGAGGGGGAGTGAACGCGTGAAGAATGCAACAATTGGTTATTTGAGACAGGAGGGAGAAAGAGGGAGAAGAGAAAGAGAGACGGGACAAAGGAGGAGGTGCCCTAGTCTGAGGGTAAATAGGGCGGTGATTTCGCGACTTACCCCAAAAGTAGCCTTGTCGGACTCCATTACAAAGTGCTGTAGCGTCTGCCCCATAATGTACGGTTCTGGAAATCCCAGGATATTCGTTGCGCTGGTGTTACAGCTGGTTACCACACCGTCTACACCCTCGAGAACAACAGTTCCCAGCCCAGCGTAGTTCTGTAGCTGCAGCACCGCCTGTGCCTGCTGCACCTCCCGTTGCTGCTGGGCGTGAGAGGGGAGAAATTGCACTGCAGCATTTGGGGGAAGAGAAGGGTAAAACAGCAAGTCAGGAGTGGGAAGATGGAAATGAGAATTAGGGATAACAAAGAGATTGAGAAAGTGTTCTTCTGCAGCTGCAGCAGAGCCTGTCTGTGTCGCACATATGCTGGGCATGAAGTGGAAAGACGAGACTATTGAAGTGAAAGTGAAAAAGTTATTATTACCTGTTGCAACAAGATCCTTGGTGGAGTTAACTTGAAAGAACTGTAGCTCCACTGTAACTCGCCGAAAGTCGCCCGACTCATCAATCTCCGCTGTGCTCATCCCCGTTACAAAATCGCCTCCGCCAGACAATTCCCCCTCTTCCCCCCGTAAGCAAGCCTCCCCCATGCGCGTATCTGCCACGTCCGCTTCCCCTGTCATCACAGTGTCGACTCCGCCAGCTGTGTTTCCCCCGCCTCGGACACTGCCCCCCTCCTCCGCTTCCCCCCTCCGCTTGACCGAATTTGACCCGAACAAACTCTTCAGACCCTTCCGCCATTCCCTTCCCCGCGTCGCTGGCCTCTGCTGGGGGGGCTTGGCGGCGCGCGTAGAAACGCTTTCTGCCGACCCTTCCGCCAGGGCTGGCTCTCCGCGCTGTTCCCCGTCGATTTGCATCCGCTCCTGCTGCGAATGCTGCGGCGAACCCTGCAAGCTCAATTCGCCGGATTCGCTCCCCGTAGCACCTTTCCCCCCACGTTTCTCCGTCTTCCGTCCGCGAATCGACATCATCCTTGCAGCCCCGCGCCGTCCCGCGCTTGCGCTGCCTCCTTCGCTGGGCACCGGCGAAACCGCGCTGTTGGCCGTCGTTCCTTCCGCTTCCGGCGGCGAGGGGAGCGCTGGAGTGGGCGCGCGCGCAACCATCAGATTTGCGCCCAGTCGACCGGAGCCAACTGCGTTGGGAGTTCCGCTTATGGCGGGAAGGCAGTTCCCGATGATGCTGTTCGGGGAGGGGGTGGGCGGGGAGGTAAGGCCGCCGTCCCACGGGCTCGAGCCGCTGTGCAGGCCGCCGTGCCGGCCGCTGCTGCTGCTGCTTCGTCCGCTGCTGCTGCTGTCGGTCGAATCCGTCGCCGGAAGGAGCGGCGGGAGGGACGACGACGACGGAAGCTTCTGCGACGCTTTCGGAGACGCACGCAGTATTGAAGGGGTCCGGTCACCAGGCGAAGCGCCCTCTCTCGAGGCTCCTTCATTGTACGCACTCGCCGCGGGTTCCGCGTCCCAGACGGGGGTGGGAGCGTCAGATGCGGCACTGTTCCCGGTGACGTTCGCGCTGCCGCCATTCTCGGGAATTGCTTCATTGCAGGAGCCCGCTCGACCAAACGACGCAGTCCGTATTCTGCGGGGATACGACCCGCGACCCGCACCAGAGGAGTCGCGTCGCACTGCAGTCCCATCAGCGGAACTCGAGCCACCAGTGGCACTAGACGGTAATGATGGCGGTGTCGGGATGGTCTTAGGAATGTCGATTTCTGGTAAGTCGACTTTAAAGACATCGCTGGGTCGAGTGGAGTTTCTACCACTATTGGTGACCGGACCAGCATTGGCTTGGCTTGCGGGGGCTAACCAATCGCTGGAGGCGCGGCTCGCGGCCGGGTCAATCGCGGCTGTTGAAGTTTGCTGAAATGAACGGTCGGCTGTCGACGGCCTGGATCCTCTCGGAGTAACAGCCGTTGATCTCCTCGGAGTTGCCATCGAAGCTGCCGCTGCCGCTGATGACGTGGACAATCGCATGGACATTCGCGGCTGCTTGGCCCGAATAATCCCGGGCAGGTGAACCTTTTCCACCTTCCCGCGGCTGAGCTGGCGAATCAAATGCCGCCATTTGTTTTGCGAGAGGAAGGTAATATCCAGGAGCGACGTCTGGTCAGTAATAGCCGGACCCAGCGTTCGCGACGCGCCTTTACTCGCGCCGAGAATCGCGGCGGTGGACGGGTCGACGAGGAACTGAACCGCCATGGATTGCTGCACGATTGCCGCCATCCCCGTTGGCTTGGGTGCGGCAAACAAGGCGGGACCTGCGGCGCCATTTGCGCCGACAGAGCCGCCTCCACCAGCCATTGTTCTGTGCGGTATGCCTACTTCTAGATTTTCCTGTGCGCTTGAAACGGTCCTTCCTAGCGGCCTTTCCCCTCACTGTGTTGCGACGAAGGCGTAGAAGAGAGTAAGATATCAGTATGACATTGATTAGATTACATACACTTCGGTATCGCCTGTTGCTACATGTCCGATCCTTGTAAAATCTGAAGCGAATCGACGCAAGGTAACTAATGGGGTCGGTCGGAACGTCAGAGGTCAGCGTGTTAGGAGCTGGACTAATTCCTTAGATCTCGAAAAAATAGGAATCTTGAAGTGATTTGCCGTGTCTAGTCCCTTCTAGAATGCTCGTCGAGAAATCTCGTACAACAGTAAGAGACTATGGATTGTCCCTCAGGTTATTGTCAGAGCGACAATCCCTAGGAGATGGATGTGGATTCAAAACGCGAGGACCTGAGCTGAATGCCCTGACTGAAACTCCCTAGGCTCCACCGTGACCCTTCGTGAACGTGGAGCGCCAAATTGCGGCCACAGATTTTGAGTCACTGTGGGCCGTGTGTAGTGCTGCCTTGTGTTGGGCTGGGAATCACAGGCATCAGTTACCTGAGCCCAGCAGACTCGCAAGCCAAATGAGCTTCAGGCGCGAGCAGGAGCGAGCGAGAGGAAGCAAGAGAGGGAGAGCGAGAAGAGATGATAAGCTGGAGTGGATAGAGGGTGTGTGTATATTCTGAGGGTGTACAGCGCACGACAGGACAGCAGAGACTGTGTAGACGTATCTAAGCTTTAAAAAGGAGGTAAGGTACATGCGGGCCTAATAGGCTCCTCTAGAGACTCACTGGCAGCATGTGGGTTCACCAATCGCCGCTAAAATTGCTTCGTTCCATGGCGGTTGCGATGATTCCGTCCGCTTGTTTTGTGGATGATGTATGGATGAGGTTGAAGATGCCACGACAGCCACAGCCTAGAAACAGCATTTTTGAATGCAGATATGATGCTAACGACATTAGATTTCCTGGCGATTACAGCGTCACAACAAAGCCTATGGAACAGAGATGAGGGGACGAGAGACCAGAGACAAATCGATCTCTGCAAGGAGACGGGCATGAGAGGCAACGTAGCGAATGCCGACAAAAGCAGCAGCAATTCGAAAATCGATGGTGTATGCGGCGCGTGCCACACGGGATGTCTCAAATGTCTCCTGTCCCCTCGTCTCAGCTGTCTTATTTTGTGCTGCTTTCTATGGCGCAGTGTACAGAAGAGCGATAAAGTAATAAGGAACAATAATTACCACGTCAGGGTTGCTGAAAGCACACAACGGTGTTCATTTCAACCGAGCACCATGCCCATAGCCCGAAGGAAATTTGCGAGGGGCAGTTTCACGAGGCGCGCGCGCTTTGGCCACGTAAGCTGAAGATTTGTTGCAAAATGCCAGCCCATGCACGAGGACTTCCCGCGAGAGAGATGCAGGGAGAGCGACCCTGAGCCAGATAAAACACGTGTTAGAGACCCTTGCTGATTGGTTCAGGTGCAGGTTTGGGATCCGCCAGCCCACTTGTGGAGGTGATTACGCAACCAGGTGCCCTTTCTGATGGTGGAGAAGCAACGACGCAGCTCATGCCGCGGGATGCACAGTTCCCATATCCGAGAGATTTTTGCGTCAGATTCATCCTGCGTGGATTTTCTCCGTCACCAGTTCTCCTACATGGGCTGTCCACAGAAACCCAACGACTAAAATGCCCGCCTGTGAACGACCTTCAGAAAGCGAGCCAAATTCATCATGCTTCCACCTAATGAAGCGTTTCGTTATAGCAAAACATGATGTACAGATACGACTGCAAATGTGTTTGCATTTGTTATACAAAAACAAAAATCACGATGTGGTTCGATATGCAAAGATTCAGTACAGAGCAGATTAAAACCGAGATATAAAATAATGAACCCCGTGCCAACTTGAAATGGTGCTGCAAAGGTCGGGCCGATAGGGCACTGTTCCAAACAAAGTGAAACCAAGCTCCAAGTACACCGATTTCGTAGTACTTAGGAAAAGCATGGTCAAATGATTGCGAATAAAAAAACAAAATACCCAATGTACCCTAATATGATACAGCCCCCCCACAGCTTATCAGAGGAACTCCACTAGTTCAATTGAAGTCAATATGGGGAGCTAACTAAGGCTCCATACGCATTCCATTAGGTTCATTGCCGTCTAGTGGGCGCTCCTCACTCCTGCGGTACAGGGTCAAACCAAAAGCATGAAAGACATGTTAAAGGGCAAGATCTGGATCCCCAAGTAAAAATCAAAGAGCTTTGAAAAAGGCAGCCGATTGGAGGCTCGGAAAGTCTGTCAAACTCCAAGCACCAAGCACGTGCAGGAGAGGACACCCCAGTTTGCTTCCTAGCTTTAGGATTCAGGCTTTGCGCTTCGAATTCCACTACAAGGATTCAGGTTTTGCGCTTCGAATTCCAATACAAAATGGGCAACGTTGGAACACGAAACCTTTCGCATGCGTTTCTGTCGAGTGCTCTCTCGGGCACCACTTTCAAAAAAAAGAAAAAGAAAAAGAAACAGGAATAAATGAAAGAGAAAGAGTGCATGGACTCACAGCATCTTGGAGAGCCGGTTGGTGAGGCGGCCCTCTCCGGGGTAGAAGCACTGCGCGCTCTGCAGCCAGCGCATGGAGCTCTTGCGCGTCTTGGCCGCCTGCCTCACCGCCTTCACCAGCTCCGCAAACAGCCGCTGGTCGTCCACCGTGCTGGTGAGGGGGGAAGGAGAGAGGGGATAGGGGCGAGAAGGGGAGGGAGGGGGGTGGAATCAGGGGGTGTGGGTGGGGACGGGAGTGAGGCAGACGGCCGGGATGGGCTGAATCCCGTGTGCTCTTGGGGAGCTGATTGGCTGCCCTCTCCGGGGTAGAAGCACTGCGCGCTCTGCAGCCAGCGCATGGAGCTCTTGCGAGTCTTGGCCGCCTGCCTCACCGCCTTCACCAGCTCCGCAAACAGCCGCTGGTCGTCCACCGTGCTGGTGAGGAAGAATGGATTGGGGGTGGCAGATTACAAGGGAACCCAGCAGGGAAGGGAAGCGGGAGAAGGGAAGGAGGGGGAGGGTGAGAGAGACGGCAGGGTCGTGTTAGGAATTCCTTGCTGCTTGCCTCATCGCCCTCACCAGCCTCGGATTTTGCCTCTTGCCCACTGCCCTTAGACTAGACCTAACCCTAAAACCACATCACAGACAGCACCCACCTCTCTTCACTCGTGAACCAGCTGAGAATGTGGTAAGTCGCCTTGGAGTGGATAATCTGCCTTAGCGCCTCCTTCTGCACCTTCCTCTTCTTCTCAGCCTTCACCAGCAGAGCCAGGTTCGACTGGAACGCAAACGTCAGCTCAGCCATGTCCAGATTCGCCTGCACCACCTCCATGCCCCCCCCGCCTGCCCCTCCAATCGCCGCCTCTCCCGCACTCCCCGGTCGGCCTATCGCCCCTCGCATGCCCCCTCCTCCCGCTCCTCCCGCTCCTCCCGCTCCTCCCGCTCCTCCCGCTCCTGCTGTCCCCGGCCTGCTCCCTCCTCCTCCCGCTCCTCCCGCTCCTCCTGATCCTGCCGTTCCTGCAGTTCCAGGCCTGCTCCCTCCTCCGCCCGCTCCTGCTCCTGCCGCCGGCCCTTCTGTGTCACTATCGTCGTTATCCGACAATTGCCTGAGCAGCCGCTTCTTCGGCTTCGATTCAGCATCACCATTAGCAGCAGCAGCAGCAGCGGAAGCAGCAGGGGAGACAGGAGTTTCAGCCATGCCAGTCGGGGTTTCCGGGGCAACAGGGTATCTAGCCTCCTCTCCTCCTCCCCATCCTCCTCCACCCGTAGGAGTCCCAGCCATCCCTCCCGCACCCATCCTCCCGCTCCCGAACCTCTTCGTCGCGGCAAGAGGGTCGAATCCCGAGGCTGGGCACCAATGCACCTTCCTTCCCAGCTGCGGAGGCCAACTCTTCTCAGCTATCTTGAGACTCTTCGCCGGTTTCTCCCTCATACTGGCCCCTCCAGGCGTGTTAGACCCCCAACTCACCATCCTCCGCAGCCCACTTCCCGGCGTCTCCGGCCCTCCCTCTCCCAACCCCCCGAACGAAACCCGGCTGCTCCGCGACTTGGTCCGGCGGTTGGTTCGGCGCCGAGCCGCCGCCGCAGCCTGGGCAGCCGTGCAGGCCCCGTCCGCATGCCACACCCCATGCAGCAGACAGTACACTCCCTGAGGCGGTAACCGCGCGATGGGGATGTAACCCTTTTTGTTCCCGAGGAGAATCTGCGACAGGCCTGCATACTGCTGGGGTTTTTTCAGCTGCTCGATCCACTCGACCTCCCCGAGGCCAGCCAGAGAGCAGGCTTGCACACGGTCCCGCACCCTCAGCAGCAGGTCAATGCCCTGACGGTTATGCAGGAACTGGAAGAGAGCGCGCGGACGGAACCAGGCTCCGATCTGCATAACGGGGGGGAAATGCACAAGATTAGATGCAAGGGGGGAGAGGCAAGGGCGGTTTTGCCTTCAGCAGCAGGTCAATGCCCTGGCGATTGTGCAGGAAAATGGAAGAGGGCCCGCAGGCGGAACCACTCTCCAATCTGGGAGGGAAGAAAAATGCACGGGATTAGATGCAAGGGGGGAGAGGCAAGGGCGGTTATGCACGAAATTGAAGAGGGCTCGTGGACGGAACCACTCTCCAATATGGGAGGGAAGAGAGAAGAGGAGGGGAAGGGGGGGCACAGGGAGGAACGCCTCCATTCTCTTGCTCGTCACCTCGTAGCTGATGGCCACGAGAGCAGGGAGCAGCACGAACGCCCGTACACACTCTCTCACTCCCTCCCTCACTCACTTCCTCTCTTTCTCACACCTACCCAACAACACCCACCTGTGTCAGCTACACGATCTAGTACGGGTCGAGTCCCCTCAGCTGGTCCTCCCGCTTTCTCACTCTCACAATCAGGCATGCACATATACACACACACACACACCCACCCGCCCACCCACACTTCCAACACCCACCTGCGTCAGCTGCAAAATCTGGTACGGGTCGAGCCCTCTCAGCTGGTCCTCCTTACTCCAACACACAGGCACGGACATGCACACACCAACACAGACACACCCATAGCCACCCACCCACCTGCGTAAGCTGCACGATTTGATAAGGGTCGAGTCCCCTCAGCTGGTCCTCTCTCTCCTTACTCCAACACACAGGCGCACAGGCAGACAGAGGCAGAAACATGTATAGCAAATTCCCGAACGCCTGTTCGGTTCGCCTCGAACATGTTCGAGGCGAACCGAACAGGCATTTTTTTTTGCCTAAAATGTTCGGGCCGAACATGTTCGGTGTTCGGCCGAACATGTTCGCGGTTCGCCTCTGACATTTGCGGCCCCCAAGTCGAACACGAACACGTTCGTGTTCGAATTGGGGGCCCCGCGAACACCAAAGTGTTCGCGTCAAAATTGGCCGCGACCAAATTTAGGTCGCGGCCGTTTTGAGTTTGAGCTCATTTCGTGAGTTCAAACTCAAAACGCTTTCACAGCTTAGCCCTCCCTCACACAGCCGCCCTAGCCTTGTAGTTTTAGAAGCTTTCACACACCGTTACTACTAATCTACACGGACACTAGATCTAGGGTTTCCCGTAGTGTAGTGTGTTTAGGGTAAAATAAGGTTGAGTAGCTTAGGGATCAATCAGCGCATGGTCAAAGCTGTAGGGTTTCGGGTCGGGCATTTCAGAAACATACACGTGCTGGAACATTGGTGAATCTGCTCATTGGCGAACTCGAACATGTTCGAGTTCGCCTGCTGCAACAATTCGTTCGCCCCCAAGGGCGAACATCGAACACCTGTATTCGCCCAAATCGTTCGCCGAACCGAAGTTCGCGATGTTCGACAGGGGGCGAACCCGAACATGTTCGGGTTCGCCCTCTGCTCATCCCTACATGTATGCACCAACACAGACACACCCATAGCCACCCACCCACCTGCGTAAGCTGCACGATTTGGTAGGGGTCGAGCCCTCTCAGCTGGTCCTCCCTCTTCCCGCTCTCCTGCTCCCAGATCTCATCCAACACCCCGTTGTTAAACGCCTCCATTCGCTTGCTCGACACCTCGTAGGTGATGGCCACGACCGCGGGCAGCAGCATGAGGATGGTGCTGATGGCCATGATGGCTTCTGAGAGGATGGACTCGGCCGTGTAGTTGAAGATGAGCAGCGAGAGCGTGAAAAACACCTCGCCTGGGGGGGAAGGGCAAGGAAGGAGGGGAAGCAGAGGGAGACGGAGGGGGAGTAGGGGCAGGAAGGTGGGGTAGAGAGGTAAGGGGAGAGTGTGTTGGGAGAAGCAGAAGAGGGCATGAGGAGGGGGGAAGAGGCTGATGGTCTCGATGGCGGGCAGCAGCATGAGGATGGTGCTGATGGCCATGATGGCTTCTGAGAGGATGGACTCGGCCGTATAGTTGAAGATGAGCAGGGAGAGCGTGAAAAACACCTCGCCTGGTGGGGAGGGGACAGTGATGATGACGACGACGACGACGACGACGAGCGCGACTGGTTTCAGAATGCATAGAAATAGAAACCTGTAGGTGGGTGCACATACCGAGGTTGAGCGTCGCTTGCAGGTACTCCACAGAGGAGGAGGTGAACGGTGCAAAGCGGTACTCGACGACGATGCGCAGGATCTGGAGGACGACGATGATGATGATCTGCGCCTCGGCGTTCTCGTAGAGGAACACGAGGATGCAGCCGTACAGCACTCGGAGAGACATGTTGAGCAGGTGCCACCTGGGGAAAAGGGGGGAAAGTGGGGAAAAATGGGAAAAGGGGGGAAAAAGGGGGAAAAGGGAGGGAAAAGGGGGGGAAAAAGGGGGGAAAAAAAAGGGGGGAAAAAGGGGGGAAAAGGGGGGAAAAAGGGGGGAAAAGCGGGGGAAAAGGGGGGAAAAGAAGGGGGGAAAAAAGGGGGGGGAAAAAAGGGGGAAAAGGGGGGAAAAAAGGGGGAGGAACTTGATGTCGAACTTGGTGGTGAGGAGGGTGCGATTCCACTTGGCAGAGAAGAGAAGCCATGCGTTGAGCAGCGGCAGAAATAGCAGCACACCCACCCCCACCCCCAGCAGCACATTACCAGAACCAACACACTCTTCCTAAAGAGGCACCCTCACCAGCCGCCGCAGAAAGAATACTTACCAGTAGAATTTGCGATCGAAGCGCTTGGTCAAGAATGCGTACTTGTCGTCAAACTCGGCTGTGAAGAGCGTGCGATTCCACTTGGCTGAGAAGAGCAGCCATGCGTAGAGCAGGGGGTGGAAGCAGCACCCTCACCCCCAGCAGCACACTTGGCAGAATCACCATCCCCCCTCCACCCCCAGCAACACCGGCAGCAGTAGCAGCCCACTCACCAGCAGCGCCAGTGGCAGCAGCAAGAATTCTTACCAGTAGAATTTGCGATCGAATCTTTCAGTCAGAAAGGCGTATTTGTCGTCAAACTCGGCGGTGAAGAGCGTGCGATTCCACTTGGCTGAGAAGAGCAGCCACGCGTAGAGCAGCGGCAGGGATAGCAGCACCCTCACCCCCAAAAGCAGCAGCAGCAGCAGCACCAGCAGCAGCGGGCAACAAGCTCACCAAAATTTAGCACCCTTACCTTCAGCACCAACAGCAGAACCCAGAACTTACCACCAGCCGAAACCTCACCAGTAGAATTTACGATCAAAGCGCTCGGTGAGAAAGGCGTATTTGTCGTCAAACTCGGCGGTGAAGAGCGTGCGATTCCACTTGGCTGAGAAGAGCAGCCATGCGTAGAGCAGCGGCACGCCCGCGAGGTAGACAACGAGGATGATTATAGAGGGGATGAGCATGCCCACGTGCGTCGAGGATAGCCACTCGATCTCCGGGGCGAACAGCATGACCTGGAGGGGTGTCGTGGGAGGAAAGGGAGGAAAAAGCAGAGGCACAGGAAGCTTGAGTAGACGGACTTCTAAGGGTATGAGGATGATTATAGAGGGGATGAGCATGCCCACGTGGGTGGAGGACAGCCACTCGATCTCCGGAGCGAACAGCATCACCTGCAGGGGGAGAGGGAGGGAACAGGGGGCAGTGGGATGGGGGAACATGGGGGAGCACATGGGAGGTTTGGGGCAGACTTGAAAAACGGAAGGATGGAGGGGATGAGCATGCCCACGTGCGTTGAGGACAGCCACTCGATCTCTGGGGCAAACAGCATCACCTGGAGAGGGGGAAGGCAGGGGGCAGGGCACATGGGGAACAGCACATGGGAGGTTTGGGGTGGATCAACTAACAGAAGGATGGAGGGGATGAGCATGCCCACGTGCGTTGAGTATAGCCACTCGATCTCCGGGGCGAACAGCATCACCTGGAGGGTAAGAGGCGGGGAACAGGGCACGTGGGGCACAGCACAGCACATGGGGCACAGCACAGCATATGGGAGGTTTGGTTAGACTGTAAAAACAGAAGGATGGATGGGATGAGCATGCCCACGTGCGTTTAGAACAGCCACTCGATCGCCGGAGCAAACAGCATCACCTGGAGGATGTGGGGGAAGAGGGGGGGAGAGGCAGGGAACAGGGCACATGGGGCACAGCACAGCAGATGGGAGGTTGGGGCAGACTTGAAAAACGGAAGGATGGAGGGATGCGCATGCCCACGTGCGTCGAGGATAGCCACTTGAACTCCGGGGCGAAGAGCATGACCTGCAGGGAGAAAGCAGGGGGGGCAAGGGGCAGAAGGCATGGGACATGGGACATAGGGAGGGGTTGTGCATGAGCTCATGGGGAGGATTGAGAGGTAGACTCTTTGAGGAGGATGGAGGGGTTGTGCATGCCCATGTGCGTTGCTGACAGGCACTCTGATAATTGTGACAGCCGCTCAATCTCCGCTAGAATACCCATATGGCACACATCATGCCAGCTCGCCACTCCCCCCACCAGCCCCACGCCCAGCCCCAAGCCTAGCCGCCCCATGCCCAGCCTCCACTCACAAGCACACCCCTGCAAATCATACCACACATATGCACCACACTAAACACCTCAGCACACCGCACCTTGGTATCCCCAACCATCTGGCTCTGAAACACGGGCAGCACGCGCGCGAGGATACCCATGTAGCACACGTCCAGCCAGCTCGCCACTCCCCCCACCAACCCCACGCCCAGCCTCCACTCAAAAGCGCACCCTGGAAACCATACCACACATACGCACCACACTAAACTCCCCCACACCGCGCTAAACACCCCCTACACCACAATAAAGAACCCCAGACCGCACGAAACACTGGCACACCGCACCTGGGTATCCCCAACCACCTGGCTCTGGAAGACGGGCAGCACGCGCGTGAGGATACCCATGTAGCACACGTCCAGCCAGCTAGCCACTCCCCCCACCAGCTGGTTGTAATACTGAGGTGTCTTTTGAGTCGACCAAAGTCACCTTGTTGCACACGTCCAGCCAGCTGGCAACACCACCCATCAGCCCGTTGTAATACTCCTGCCGCCGCTGCTTCGCCGCAGTGCTGCTCAGCTGCCCCACGCCCAGCCGCCCCATGCCCAGCCGCCACTCACAAGCATAACCCAGCAAACCATACCACACACATGCACCGCACTAAACGCCTCCCCATCGCACAGCGTACCTGGGTGTCCCCAACCATCTGGCTCTGGAAGACGGGCAGCACGCGCGCGAGGATACCCATGTAACAAACGTCCAGCCAGCTGGCAACACCACCGACCAGCTGGTTGTAATACTCCTGCCGCCGCTGCTTCGCCGCCGTGCTGCTCAGCTGCCCCACGCCGCTCGTCTCGCCGTTCTCAACTGCCCGCTTCACTTTGAGCAGCTTGATGCGCTCGCGCAGCAGGAAGAGGCACCAGTGCAGCGCGTAGACGACGAGGCCGACGAGGAAGATGAGGATTCCGAAGACAAACTGTTGCGGGAAGCGGTAGGTCAGCACACAGTTGGGTCCCACCACGTCCTGTGTGAGGGGCGGGGAGGGGAGGGGTGTGTGGGGAGGGGGAGGAGAAGAATGAATGTGCATTTCACTCACGGGGTCGAAGTCAGAGAGGCTGGAGACCTTGGCGAGGCACGCTCACGCACGAGGAGTCTGAGTGTGTAAGAGAAGCAAGCACCATGCGTGCGCGGCACTCACAGGGTAGAAGACGGAGAGGATGTAGATCTTGATGAGCTTCCCCACCCAACCACCTATTGGCTGAGTCCCGTGGGAACACCACAGGTTCAGTGCATGATAGCGTGCATGCATGATAGCGTGTGTGCGTGATAGCGTGTGTGCATGATAGCGTGCATGCATGCATGATGCATCTCACTCACGGGGTCGAAGACAGAGAGGTTGTAGATCTTGATGAGCCACCCCACCCAGCCGTTGGGCGCTGCAGGTGCGTTCAGGTTAATGGAGGCCACTACTGTGAGGTATTGCACCTGGTGGCGTGGAGGGAACAGGAGCGGAGGGAGAGAAGGGCGTTGACACGGTTGGGTTCAGCGTTCGAGTTTACGGAGCCCCACCCATCCGTTGGGAGCTGCTGGTGCGTTCAGGTTAATGGAGGCCACCACCGTGAGGTATTGCACCTGGTGGGGGCAAGGGGGTGTGGTGAGAAGTATATCGCAGGGTTGGATTGTAAATGTATTCAGAGGCAGAAGAAGCACACAAGGTGCATAGAAGGCCAGAGAAAGGTTAGTTGTACCTAGCGAGCAGGAGCAGCAGCAGACAATGTTATACGCAGGTGTGACTAGCACATGTGTCGCGCACACACATGCATCTAGCAAGGAAGGTACCTCGGTGAGGAAGATGTCGATATTGTCATAGTTGTTGGCGAGCAGGAACATGGCCACCCACACCGCAACCATGAGGATGAAGAGCAGCGGGAAGATCTGCAGGACAGGAAGGAGGAGGGGAGATGGTGGGGGGGGGGTTGTGGAGGGGGGTGGAGGGGGGTAGAGGGGGGTGGAGAGGGGTGGACGGGGATGTGGAGGGGGGTGAATTCGGGCAGAGAGGTGCAGAGAAACACACAGGTGTAGTGAGAGCACACACGTGGTTGCTGTCACGTGGTTGACAAATCAGATCACATAAAGGAAGGAAGGACTTATGTCAAGTACATCATGTGATCTGATTTGAATCAAAGACAGTAACAAGAAACACCCACACAGTGACATTGATTGGCTGGCGCACATGCCTTGAGAGTGACAGTGTACCTTTTTGAAGACATCGCTGCAGTAGTTACAATCCCCGAGGAAGGAGTAATAATTGCTGGCGCACAGACAGCACATGCTGTAGGTGGAAGGAAGCGAGGAACAGGAAGGAAATTGGGAGATGGAGGGAAGGGGATGAGGTGGGCAAATGGGCAGTTAGTAGTTGCAGTCTCCTAGGAAGGAGTAATAATTGCTGGCGCACAGACAGCACATGCTGCAGGATGGAGCACGTAACAGGAAGAAAATGGGGAGACGGAAGGGGGAAGAGGGTGAGGTTGGTAAAGGGGTAGCTACTAGTTGCAATCCCCGAGGAAGGAGTAATAATTGCTGGCGCACAGACAGCACATGCTGTAGGTGGAGGCGCAGGGAACGAGGGACAGGAAGGAAGAGGGGGAGAGGGGAGGAGGCGGGGGAGTTTTGAGACGTCTCAAAAGTCGCAGAGACAGCACATGCTGTAGGCGGAGGCGCAGGGAAGGATAGACAGGAGGAAAGCGCACGAGAGCAGACGGGGGATGGGGATGGGGCGAGATTTTAGAGACGTTACGAATATTGCTGCCACACTGACAGGACAGCACATACATACTTACTGCAGCGTGGGACAGGGGGAAGAAGGAGGGGCCAAAGGCAGGGCACTCACGGAGAGGAGGGGTCGTAGCCGGTGGGGCAGATATTGACATCCGCGGTGTTGGAGGTGAGGTTGTACTCATACAGGTGCTCCACACACCCGTTGGTGATAATACAACTGTACGCCGTTCGTGGGCGTGTGGCATGCCATTGCACCTCAACCCCTAGACTAGACTCACCTCCAGCCCAACACACACGGACAGCGAGAGAGGGGCGAAAGGCGGCAGCACCACACTTGAGGATCACGGAGAGGATAGGTCTAGGGGCCAGAGGCAGGGCACTCACGGAGAGGAGGGGTCGTAGCCGGCGGGGCAGATATTGACATCGGCGGTGTCGGTGGTGAGGTTGTACTCATACAGGTGCTCCACACACCCATTTGTAATAATACAACTGTACGTCGTCGGGGTGTCATTATACGTTCTCGGATCCAGCCACGCCTGCGTCGCAATCGTCAGTTCACCGCCCGTGCAATCCAGGTTGTCATCATCGCACGCGACGCATTCGTCGGCGCTAGTGGAGTACGGGTAGAACGTGAAGCTGCCGTCGTCGCAGGGAGTGGAAGGCTGGCCTGCCTCGCACCAGCTGCCCACAGGGCAAGGGTCACAGGTTCCACTCCCTGTGCTAACAGTGCCACCACCACCACCGCCGCCGCCGCCGTCCCCCCCGGTGCCGTCTCCGGTGTTATCTGTGTTGAGATAGGTTCCCGCTGCGCAAAAGTCTACAGTGAAGGTGTGCGTTATATCGGGGAACTCATTAGTGGGGCTGGAGACGGTGACGAGGAGGCGGAAGGGCGTGGCCTGGTCGGGAGTGACCATGACGGACACCTCGGGCAGCTCGGCCATTCCCTGCACCGCTGTTGCTCGCAGCAACCCGGATATGCGGCGATCGGGAGAGATCGCCACGAAGGACGAGTTGTCCTGATGAGAGGGAGGAAGGGGACCGGGGTGGGAGGACGGGGGGCGGGGGAGAGGAGGGAGGGGAGAACGGGAAGGTGGCGTTTGCATGGAGTCAAGAAGGGAAACATGGTGAGAGAGAGGGGTCTGCAAGCAGGCAGCAGCAGGAAGGGCGTGGCCTGGTCGGGAGTGACCATGACGGACACCTCGGGCAGCTCGGCCATTCCCTGCACCGCTGTTGCTCGCAGCAACCCGGATATGCGGCGATCGGAGAGATTGCCACGAAGGACGAGTTGTCCTGCGGAGAGGAGAGAAGGGGACAGAGGATGGGATGGGGGTCGAGGAAGAGGGAAAGGGGAAAAAAGGAAGGTGGCAGCTGTATTGAATCAAGGAGTGGTGATGGGAACAGGGAGGAAAGTGGGGAAAGGAGGGGAACGATGAGCTGTGAGCTGCTACTGTTGAAACCACCTGAGAATTCACCAGAAAAACAGTGTTGTTGTGATCATCCACAATCACCACAGTCAGCCCAGCAATGGGCGTCCCCACAGCCGTGAGCGCCACAAAGGACGGCACCGTGCCGAGGCTGTTGGTGCCCTCGTCCATGCCCGCGAACGTGAAGTAGAAGTTCCTGAGGATGCTGCCAATGGTCTGGCTCTTCTGCTCCCGCACGCACTCCTCACACCCAATCTCCATGACGACCTCTAAATTCCGCTCACCTGAACGACGGTGTTGTTGTAGTCATCCACAATCACAACAGTCAGCCCTGCAATGGGCGTCCCCACAGCCGTGAGCGCCACAAAGGACGGCACGGTGCCGAGGCTGTTGGTGCCCTCGTCCATGCCCGCGAACGTGAAGTAGAAGTTCCTGGGGATGCTGCCAATGGTCTGGCTCTCCTGCTGCCGCACGCACTCCTCACACCCAATCTCCATGACGACCTGCTCACCTGAACGACAGTGTTGTTGTAGTCATCCACAATGACCACAGTCAGCCCTGCAATGGGCGTCCCCACAGCCGTGAGCGCCACAAAGGACGGCACGGTGCCGAGGTTGTTGGTGCCCTCGTCCATGCCCGCAAACGTGAAGTAGAAGTTCCTGGGGATGCTGCCAATGGTCTGGCTCTCCTGTTCCTGCACGCACTCCTCACACCCGATGCGCACTGCGGGGTTGTAGGAAGCTTCGTAGAAGGCCACTCCCTGAGGGTACAGGGCGCCGTTTTCACTGAAGGTCAGGTTGGAGCACACCAGCGGAGCGAGCTCAGCCTTTCCCACGCCCATGCTGCTGCTGCTGCTGCTGCTGTTTGTGCCGCTCGTTGCAGCACCTGCACTACCCGCATCATTCACAGCAGCGGCAGCAGCTGACGGTGGTTTAGCAGCAGCGCCACCAGTGGAATTACCAGCAGCTGCCGCTCCAGAGGAGGTAATCCCGAGGGTCTCTGCTCTCTTCACGTAAACCCCTGCACCGCCCACCACCGCTTTGTTTCCAGTCATCCACGCCGCCTTAAATAACCCGTTTGATTGGTCCAAAAACGCCGCTGCCCCACCCGCACTGCTCGCGCTGTTCCCCACCAGCGTCAGGTTCCCCGCGGAAATTTTCGAGCTGCCCGCAACGGCAAGCGCCGCGCCGGTAACCGCGTTGTTCCCCTCGAATCGCGACGCATCCAGGGTCACCTGCGCAGAACCTTCCGAAAAGATTCCGCCGCCCGTGACAGCCGTGTTGCCCGTCAGATTGCACGATCGGACGGTGAGAGACGTTTCTGCAGCTGCCCAGATGGCCCCTCCGGTGCCCTGGGGGGCAGAATTGCCCGAAAAAAGTGCCTGAGTGACAGTAGCCTGAGAGCTCCCCCTTATAAGAACAGCTGAAGCAGAATTATTCAGGAAAGAGGAGGAGGTGGAGGTGAGAGTTGCATCTGTATCTAGAACCATAGCGCCGCCTCTCAGCGCGGAATTCGACCCGAATTGCGACGAGAGCAGTGTCACAGTCGCGCTGTGCGTGGCAAAAACCGCCCCTCCTTCGAAACTCGCCTTGTTACCCGTGAAGCTGCTCCGCGTATCCTCCACCACACCCTCCATCTCCACCCAGAGCGCGCCACCTGTCGGGCTCCCATTGGCCTCCACCTCACACCGGGTCATCACCAGCCTTCCAGACCCAGACACCTTCCCCACCCCGCCTCCACTCCCCGCCCTATTCCCCGTAAACCTGCTCCCATCCGCGGTAATAGTCGCGAAATCCGTGACCAATAGGCATCCGCCGGCTGCGTCAGCGGCGTTGCCCTGGCAGGAGGAGGAGCGGAGGGTGAGGGAGGAGGTTTCCTGGGCGAGCAGGGCGCCGGCAGCGGTGCTGTTGTTTTCGGAGAAGGTGCAGTTGGTGAGATCGGCGGTGCAGTTGAGGCTGCACAGGAACGCGCCTCCCCCGACGGGGGAGGTGTTTCTGGTGAAGGTGGTGTTTGAGAATCGCCCCAGGGTGGTGGCTTCTGCACCTCGAGAGCCTTCAACTGTGACAGCGCCGCCCTTGAGGTAGGACCAGTTATTCTCAAACAGAGAGTCCTCTACTTGCAGCAGCGACCCTCCGCTGAAGATGGCAGCTCCTCGCGAGCTGTTGGCTCTGTTGCCCGTGAACGTGCTTCCCTGCACTGTCACGTTGCTGTCCGCCTATGGGTGAGGTAAGGGAGCAGGGTGAGGGAAGCAGGGAGCAGGGAGGGAGGTAGAAGGGAAGAGAGAGAGAGTAAGCACGGAATTGGCTCAAAGCTGAGCTGTTGGCTCTGTTGCCCGTGAACGTGCTGGCCTGCACTGTCACGTTGCTATCTGCCTGTGGGTGAGAGGAGGCAAGCAGGAGAGACGGGAAACAGTGGAGTGCAGAGGAGTGGAAGGGAGAAGAGGGTGGAAGGTGAGGTGAGTTGTTGGCTCTGTTGCCTGTGAACGTGCTGCCCTGCACCGTCACGTTGCTGTCCGCCTGTAGGTGAGGCGATCTGTTGGCTCTGCTGCCTAAAAATCCCAACCCCTCCTCACCCTTCCCCACCATTCCCCACTCTTCACCGCCCTTCCGCACCCCTCCGTCCGACCCCTTAAACCCAGTCCCAGGCATGCGTAATTGACTCAAACAGTGATGCACAGAGCGCATTCGCCCTCAAGCTGCACAGAATAGCCAGTAAAGGTGATGGTAGATCCCATTCCAATATCCGCAGGTACCCCGTGCCCTCGCTGTAGACGGCTCCTCCTGACCTGCCCATCCCAACCCTTCCCCACCCTTCCTTCCCTCCCCTTGTACCCCAGCCATGCTTCATTCACTCACCGCAATGACATAGAGCGCGCCACCGTCCTTGAGCTGCACGGAGTTGGCAGTGAAGGTGGAATCAACGATCCGCAGGTGCCCCGTGCCCTCGCTCGCTGTAGATGGCTTCGCCCGATGCTGTCCAGCCCATCCTAAACCACACCACAGTGCCCCACTCGCTTACCGCCGCCTGGCAATGCTGCACCTACCGCAATGACATAGAGAGCACCGCCGTCCTTGAGCTGCACGGAGTTGGCAGTGAAAGTGGAGTCCATAATCCGCAAATACCCTGTGGTGGCCACGCTGTAGATGATATACAAAGCACTCACGGCAATGACATAGAGAGCACCGCCGTCCTTGAGCTGCACGGAGTTGGCAGTGAAAGTGGAGTCCATAATCCGCAAATACCCTGTGGTGGCCACGCTGTAGATGATATACAAAGCACTCACGGCAATGACATAGAGAGCACCGCCGTCCTTGAGCTGCACGGAGTTGGCAGTGAAAGTGGAATCAGCGATGCGCAGGTACCCCGTGCCCTCGCTGTAGATGGCTCCTCCCGACCCCGATGCACTGTTGCGCTCAAACGTGCAGTTCTGCACCTCCGCTGTCGTCAGCGCGATCACTGGCGGTGGTGAGGGGTGAGGGAGGTGGGGGTGGGGGTTGAGAGGTAAGAGGGAGGCGGGGAGGAAGTTGGGGCCGAGTGTGGACGAAAGTTTGGTTTGGGGAACAGGGAAGAGGGAGAGGTGAAAGCAGGCATTTCCCTTTACCCTCCCTTACCTGTGAAAAAAAAACAGAAGCCAACCCTTGTGCCCTTTCCCTCCCCATCCGCACTACTCACTTGCTCCGCCCAGCTCGCCGCCCCCATTGTCTCGAAACACCGTGTTGGTGAATTTGGCGAGTCAATCAATTCTTTCATGAGCCCCCACCCATTCCCCCTGATCCCCAACTCCCCCCCCCACCCAACACCACCCACACCACCCAGACCACCACCCCCTCGCCCCCTTTTCCTCCCCATCCGCACTACTCACTTGCTCCGCCCAGCTCGCCGCCCCCATTGTCTCGAAACACAGTATTTGTGAACTTGGCGAGTCCTCCGTACTGGTAGAACCCCGCGCCTCCCTTCGCCTGGACAGGACAAGAGAGAGGTGCAGAGAGGTGTCGCAGAAAACAAAGCGGTTAGACGAGGTGCCGAGGGGTGATGAAGGTGGCGAGTAGACCTCCGAACTGGTAGGGAAACCCCACCCTTCCTTCGCCTGCAGGGGAGAAGACAGGGTGTGGAAAGGGGAAACTCTAGGCACGACATAAGGAGGTGTGAGAAAAGGGTGCATCAGGTAACCAGCGAATGTTTACACGATGAACTCGAGTGTGGTTACAACCTCGTCCCTTTTCCCCTTTTCCCCCTCTTCCCCTCTCCCCCTCTCCCCCTCATACCCATCAATGCACGCCGTTTCCCCCATGCTAACTAGCCCAACCCAGCTTAGAGAAGGGAAACCAGTTGCAGAAAAACACGCACCAGGTTACCAGAGAAGGTGCAGGAGATGAACTCCTGTGTGACTACCACCTCGTTTCTTTTTCCCTTTTCCCCCTCTCCCCCTCTCCCCCTCATACCAATCAACGCACGCCGCTTTCCCCATGCTAGCTAGCCCAACCCAGCTAGCCTTAGAGAAGGGAAACGAGTTGCAGGAAAGCACGCACCAGGTTACCAGAGAAAGTGCAGGAAAGCACGCACCAGGTTACCAGAGAAATTGCAGGAAAGCACGCACCAGGTTACCAGAGAAGGTGCAGGAGATGAACTCCTGTGTGGTATTCGCCGACTCCCCATCCTGGCCCACGTACACTCCGCCGCCATACCCATCCACGGTCGCTGCATCCCCCATCGTGATCCCCACGTTATCCTCAAACACGGTGCGCTCCACGCGCGCTGACGTGGCGCTCAGCGATAGGCCGGCGCCCGAGGGCGCGCTGGAGACGTAGTCCATGACGTTGCGGGCGAAGGTGGAGTCTGAGATCAGGAGGATGCCACCCGTGGCGGATATGCCGCCTCCCAGGTATGTTGCGTAGCCGTCAGAGAAGCTGCACTTGGTGAGAGTCGCCTGGATACGAGAAAGCGGACGGAAGGAATGGGGGGTCAGGAAACGAGGGGAAAAAAGGAGAGAGTAAACAGAAGCAGGAGAGGACCCAGTTGGTTAGACACGCCTGCATGTTCAAGACTTCCCAAAAAACTTGATTGCTACTCAGGTTATGAGAACGAGAAAATGAAGACAAAGCTTGGGGCGTGGAGATTATGAGTGTGTCCTGGCACGGAGGCATGATGGCGATTCCGTGGAGCAACTCGGTGCTACGAAATTTGGACGACAGAGGTGCTAGAACCCCATCCGCCTCATCGCCCTCACAGGCCAGTCGATCAGATTCCGTAGCACCGAATTGCTCCACGGATTTGCATCACGCCTCCGTGCTTGGACACTCTTATAATTTCCACGCCCTAAGCCTTTTCCTCATAACAATGCAGCCACAAGCCTCGTATGTGGCAGTCATAAATTAATCTTCCCTACCAATGCATTAGGTAGCAAGCACACAGGTGCATACCTGAGTGGTTGCGTACACCCACGCGCCTCCTCCCTCGTAATCCGTGACACACTTGGTGGCATTAACGGATGTGACTGAAACCGTCTGCGTGGCGTTCAGCGCCATACACCCCCCGAAGCCGTAGCCTGCCGCGTACACGCCAGCTGGCAGCGTGCCATTGGAGGAGCAGGAGGTGAACGAGGAGGAGGAGAGTGCATAGGTGGAGGAGCCCTCGTCCGCAATGGCCCCTCCAAGGACAGCCTAGTGGGGAGTGAAGGGGAGGGGAGGGAGAGAGGAGAGTGTGAGATTGATTTCTGAAGCGCCTAGAAAATCGCGAGACGGGAGGAGGAGAGGGCGTAGGCGGAGGAACCCTTGTCTGCAATGGCCCTACCAAGAACAGTCTGGTGGGAGGTAAAAGAGAGAAAGAGTGGGAGAGGAGATAAAGAGAGGTGAGAGAAGATGAGAAATACTAGCAGGGCATTCTCCTCTCACCTTCTCACCAGAAACACGCACCTCACTAACCGGTCCATTGCTGGCCGTCACCCCATCATCGACACTCTTGAGTACATGGTCGCAACCGTCCCTCCCCAACCCCAATCAACAACCCCGTCCCACCACCATCAAGCAAACACCATGACACATGATGTGCGCATCTCACCAGTCCATTGCTCATAGTGATCCCATCAATGGACACACTCGAGTGCATGGTCGCAATCGCCCCCCAACCACCGTTCTTAGCAAGCCTCACCACCACCACATACCAAAAGCAAGCACCTCACTGACTCACCAGTCCATTGCTGACAGTCACCCCATCAATGGACACACTCGAGTACATGGTTGCAATCGCCCCGCCAAAGTACCCCTGGCACCCCGAAAACTCCCCTCCGTCCACCTCCACCTTCACATTCCTAAACAGCAGCGCGCCTCCCGCCCCGTTCTCCGAACTGCACCCCGTCGCAGTCACCCCGGACAGCTTCGCGCGCACGCCTCCCCCAGCCGCGCCTCCCCCAGGTGCAACCGCCCCCCCCTCGGGCCCAGTGACGCTGATAGCGCCGCCCCCCGAGTTGTACATGTAGGTGAGGTCGGACCCGGGCGCGGAGCACGCGGAGAAGGAGGCGGAGGAGACTGTGAGCGACGCGCCCGCGCCCTGCACTGCCACTGCGCCTCCCAGGTTGGTAGCGGAGCAGCGGGAGAACGCCACGTTGCTGCGGGGAGGGGGAAGGGGAAAAGGGGGAAGGGCGACGTGCGGGGGGGCAGGGGAGAGTGAGCGACGCGCCCGCGCCCTGCACTGATACTGCGCCGCCCAGGTTGGTTGCGGAGCAGCGGGAGAACGCCACGTTGCTGCGCGGGGTGGGGGGCAGGGGGTGGAGAGAAAGAAGGGGGGGGCGGGATGAGGAGGGATGGGGGAGCGGAAGGAAGAGGGGCGGGAGGGAAAGGGGGAGTGGAGACGGTGGGAGTGGGGGAAAGGAAAGAGACAGGGGGGAGGGAGGGGGTGGAAAGCGGGGGGAGACGGGGGGAGAGGAATCAGCTATCCGGAGTCAGCGGGAGCAGACAGCGTGGAATTCCTAAATGCTCTCTACATCAGCCACTTGACCTGAAGGTTGGGGCAGAACCCACTTGATAGCCAAGCCCTGCCCTCGCACATGCACGCGCCTAACCAATCTGCCAGCTGAATTTACAAATCAACGTTGACCGCATCTCACAGCAGTGGGAATTTCTATTTCCTCCGCACATCAGCTATGGTTTGGAGCGGTACTCACTTAATAACCAGGCCCTGCCCTCGCACATCCACGCATCCTCCCGAATCGGCCGACACGCCATTGGTCAGCGTGAACAGCGCCAACGTCAGCACCACCTTGCTCCCCGCGCCGCACCCCGCGCCAGCACACGTGGCGTTCAAACACGGGCCGCCACCGCAGTCGAGCGTGATTGCAGCGGGGGACGCGGGGGTGGACGCGGGAGGCGCGCCGGTGATGGTGAGAGATTTGCCGCCCAGCTGAACGGCGGATTTGGTCGGCGAAGATTTGATTGCGGATGGGGAAGAGCCGGCGGGGGGCGGGAGGAGGGTGATAGTGGCGGAAGGTGCCGCCCTGGCGACCGCTGCTTGCAGGGTGGCTGCGGGGGGAACGGGGAGAACGGAAGTGCGCGGGGGAAGCGTGGGGGAAGGGAGGGACGGGGAAAGCGAGGGGGACGGGCGGAACGGGAGGGACGAGGGGGGAGGTAGGAGTTGCACAGGAAGAAGGAGATCAGAAGGAAAGTGAGGGATGAGGTGGGGGAGTGAGGTGGGGAGTGAGGCGGAGAGAATGCGAGGGGGAAGGGGGGGTGGGGGAAGGAGAAACGAGACGGAGCAGGGGAAAGAGAGCACCCAGCCACGAGGAAAAAAACGACAAGTACGGATAGGACAAGCGAGAAGAAGACAAAGTACGGATAGCACAAGGCCAAGAACACGAACAAACAGCCAAGGCAGGGCAGCGTACCACAGGGAGCGGTGGTGGAGTCGCAACAGCCGATGTCGCTGCCCGTGCTGGCGACGTAGAGCTTTGCGAGAGAAGTGCACGACGGTGGGATCTGCTGCGACGACGCTGATGGCGACAGGGAGAGAAATGGCGGGAAAGGGAGAAAAGGAAAAATCATGATGGGAAGTTGGAGGGAGGGAGAGAGAGAGAGAGAGAGAGAGAGAGAGAGAGAGAGAGAGAGAGAGAGAGAGAGAGAGAGAGAGAGAGAGAGAGAGAGAGAGGGGGAGGGTCAGGAGGAGGAGAACGGGGAAGGAGGTGAGAGGTGCAAACCTGTGGAGGAGCAAACTACTCAACGGAGTGCAACAGCAAAAGGCACTTCTACAGGGCTTCGGGAGCAATCGATAAGAGAAATGACTAGCAATACAAGCCGTAACGAGACAAAACTAGTGCAGCAGCAGCAGCAGCGCGAAGAAACTAGTGCTATGGAAGGGAGCAGGCCAAGGTTCCCGTTGAGCCGACTTAAGAGTCACATTGTATTGACTCACGTCAAGAAAGGCTACAAAACGGAATGACTAGCAGAGCGAGCCGTAATGAGAGTAAGCTAGCGCGGCAGTGCAACGAATAGAGCCGAGGTTCCTTATGAGCAGAGCCAAAAGTCATCTTGTTATAAGACGGCTCAAAACTAGCGCTTTGCAAAATGACGAGCAGTACGAGCCGTAACGAGAGTGAACTACACGAAAAGCGGTACCCGACCCGTCGCGAGAGCGAACGAATGCGGTTGCAGAGCGAACGACACGAAGGTTCCTCTTGGAGTCACGGTAAAATTCATATCTAAAAGTATTTGAGCGCATTCCTCTTCATGTGGCAGCGTGCACCATAGGGTTAGAAAGCATCTCAAACATTCGCTCTAGAAAGCGTCGTAAGCATGCCTCTAAGACAACGCAGAGCGTGAATGAGTACACGCACCGTGAAGACTACAATGGCAAGTAACAAAGTGAACAACTCTAGAGACGCCTCAGAAGGAGCGTGAGTGAGTATACGCACTTCTGGAGATGCTGGTGAAGACTAGAATGGCAAGTAAGCACGATAACCGTCTCGTCGCCATTGTCGCTCGCCTCGACGAGGCAGCCGAAGCTATGCGGAGGCTAGTCATAAGCTCACAACATTTGAAGCAGCGGCAGCAAAAAAGCGGGAGATGGAGGGTTATCCTGCTCCAGAAGTAAAAAATGCTTGGAGAAATAATTTACAATAGATAGTCTGAAAGAGAATGAAGGTTCCTCTGACGTAAACGCCGCGGCGAGGCCCCGCCTGGGAAAACGATGCTTATTGCGACTACTATACAGATTCCACCCGTGAGCTACGCCGTATCATAGACAACCCTAAAGGCTTCTCAGACTATGATGGGTTGGCAGCTGCTAGGAGGGAATTCGGTCACTTTCTGGGGTGGCTGCCTGATATGGTGGGTGGTCCGTTCTGTTCTGTACAGTACCTACACTGCGCGGTATTCTCGAGGGAAAACCATCGCAGTGCTGCTCTCTTCTTGCGACTCCTCCCATCCATCCCAGGGACTTCACGAAAGTGTCCGTTCCGCCCTTACGCGAAACATTTGGAACTATCGCGACGGTCGTGAATGTACTTTCTTGCCCTGGCCCTGCGAACCATTCGCGAATTACAGGTTGCGATGCGATGGAAGGAAGACCGAGACCGTGTTGTTGCCAATCGGGAAGATGGCCCTTAGGGTTAGTGGCCCATTGGAGGCGAAACAGCCAATAGCACACATCGAAGCCTGTCGGTACGATAGCGAAGCAGCATTAACGAAGACAATTGAGAAAACGACGCGGGGGTTGAAGCAGTCATTTGTCTTGTTGCACCCACCTGAAACTGTTCGTACTTTTCACGCGGCGAAACTACACCACGGCAAACCCGGTGTGTAGGGCCGAAATGCTCGTTCAGCGATCCGTTGTTGCACTCCAGGCAGTGCAGGAGCTTCGAGGTGTACATGGGCACTCCCTTTGGACCACCTGAACTGTTGTTCACAAGCTGGGCCAACAACAACATTCCATTATGGTTTGAGAATATGTGCCTGGCTTGGGTCATTGAATGGATTATGTCTGTACATTGCCATCAATTCATTCTGTAATATATATGTATGTCCATTGAGTCCATTATTCAGCAGCTTGAGATGCCCTCAATGCATTCGCTATGTGGATATCAAGCAGGAAGCATATCTCATCGCCCTGCAAGAAGGGGAGCCCATACGTTAGCAACTTTGAAGTTCTTTCACGACACTACACACTGCAAAGCACCAGAAAATTCACTCACCCCAGTTGTTGCAAACTCGAACGAGTGCAGCTCGTCTTGAAGTGTCATGCTGAAGAATATTCTATCGGGCTTCCCTGCATACTCTGCGAGATCCCTCAGCTCTGCCTGGTGGATGACAGATCGAATCTCTGCATCCAGAAAATGCAGCTGCCAACCAACGCAAAGGAATGTAGGAGAGACACAAATGAAGTGGTGCCACGCCACGGGTTTGGATCTACACCCGGAATACAGCTCACCCCATCGTGGCTGACCTGAACCCCTGTGCCCTCCACTATGCACACGTCGAACAAGATCGGGCCTCTTCAAAGGATCTCCTCTAAGAGCTCTCAAGAGCAACTCAGCTCACCCCATTGCTGTTGGCTCCCACAATGACATGCTTGGGAAAGTGGTTGGCCTGGCCCTTCTCTGTATTCATGTCAAAAGTCAGACCCTCCCAGAGTGGGATCATGTCTGATTTTTTTTCAACCGCAGCTCAACTCACCCCGTTGTGGTTCACTCCAACAATGACGTGCTTGGGGAAGTAGTTGGCCGTGTCCTCCTCTGTGCGCAGCTCAAAGAAGACCGACCCGCCCTGATATATCACTTTACCAGTCTAAGCATTAGAAACAAAAAAAGCAGCTGAGCTCACCCTGTTGTGTTTGACGCCCACGATGACATGCTTGGGGAAGTAGTTGTCTGTGTCCCCCACTGTGCGCAGGTCAGCGAAAACAGACCCTCTCTGGGTGGGATCGTCTGAGAATTCTCTAAAGCGACGCAGCTCAACTCACCCCGTTGTGGTTGACGCCCACGACAACATGCTTGGGGAAGTAGTTGGCCGTGTCCTCCTCTGTGCGCAGGTAAGGAACCACTGACCCTCTCAGAGGGATAAAACAGGGAACTTCAAGGGAACTTCAAGGGAACTTCAAGGGAACTTTGCTCAACTCACCCCATTATGGTTCACTCCCACAACAACATGCTTGGGGAAGTAGTTGGCCGTGTCCTCCTCTGTGCGCAGCTCAAAGAAGACAGAGCCTCCCTGTGTTGTCGTTTGAGAATTATCATAAACCAACTCAACTCACCCCATTATGGTTCACTCCCACAACAACATGCTTGGGGAAGTAGTTGGCCGTGTCCTCCTCTGTGCGCAGCTCAAAGAAGACAGAGCCTCCCTGTGTTGTCGTTTGAGAATTATCATAAACCAACTCAACTCACCCCATTATGGTTCACTCCCACAACAACATGCTTGGGGAAGAAGTAGTTGGCCGTGTCCTCCTCTGTGCGCAGCTCAAAGAAGACAGAGCCTCCCTGTGTTGTCGTTTGAGAATTATCATAAACCAACTCAACTCACCCCATTATGGTTCACTCCCACAACAACATGCTTGGGGAAGAAGTAGTTGGCCGTGTCCTCCTCTGTGCGCAGCTCAAAGAAGACAGAGCCTCCCTGTGTTGTCGTTTGAGAATTATCATAAACCAACTCAACTCACCCCATTATGGTTCACTCCCACGACGACATGCTTGGGGAAGTAGTTGGCCGTGTCCTCCTCTGTGCGCAGCTCAAAGAAGACAGAGCCTCCCTGTGTTGTCGTTTGAGAATTATCATAAACCAACTCAACTCACCCCATTATGGTTCACTCCCACGACGACATGCTTGGGGAAGTAGTTGGCCGTGTCCTCCTCTGTGCGCAGCTCAAAGAAGACAGAGCCTCCCTGTGTTGTCGTTTGAGAATTATCATAAACCAACTCAACTCACCCCATTATGGTTCACTCCCACGACGACATGCTTGGGGAAGTAGTTGGCCGTGTCCTCCTCTGTGCGCAGCTCAAAGAAGACAGAGCCTCCCTGTGTTGTCGTTTGAGAATTATCATAAACCAACTCAACTCACCCCATTATGGTTCACTCCCACGACGACATGCTTGGGGAAGTAGTTGGCCGTGTCCTCCTCTGTGCGCAGCTCAAAGAAGACAGAGCCTCCCTGTGTTGTCGTTTGAGAATTATCATAAACCAACTCAACTCACCCCATTATGGTTCACTCCCACGACGACATGCTTGGGGAAGTAGTTGGCCGTGTCCTCCTCTGTGCGCAGCTCAAAGAAGACAGAGCCTCCCTGTGTTGTCGTTTGAGAATTATCATAAACCAACTCAACTCACCCCATTATGGTTCACTCCCACAACAACATGCTTGGGGAAGTAGTTGGCCGTGTCCTCCTCTGTGCGCAGCTCAAAGAAGACAGAGCCTCCCTGTGTTGTCGTTTGAGAATTATCATAAACCAACTCAACTCACCCCATTATGGTTCACTCCCACGACGACATGCTTGGGGAAGTAGTTGGCCGTGTCCTCCTCTGTGCGCAGCTCAAAGAAGACAGAGCCTCCCTGTGTTGTCGTTTGAGAATTATCATAAACCAACTCAACTCACCCCATTATGGTTCACTCCCACGACGACATGCTTGGGGAAGTAGTTGGCCGTGTCCTCCTCTGTGCGCAGCTCAAAGAAGACAGAGCCTCCCTGTGTTGTCGTTTGAGAATTATCATAAACCAACTCAACTCACCCCATTATGGTTCACTCCCACGACGACATGCTTGGGGAAGTAGTTGGCCGTGTCCTCCTCTGTGCGCAGCTCAAAGAAGACAGAGCCTCCCTGTGTTGTCGTTTGAGAATTATCATAAACCAACTCAACTCACCCCATTATGGTTCACTCCCACGACGACATGCTTGGGGAAGTAGTTGGCCGTGTCCTCCTCTGTGCGCAGCTCAAAGAAGACAGAGCCTCCCTGTGTTGTCGTTTGAGAATTATCATAAACCAACTCAACTCACCCCATTATGGTTCACTCCCACGACGACATGCTTGGGGAAGTAGTTGGCCGTGTCCTCCTCTGTGCGCAGCTCAAAGAAGACAGAGCCTCCCTGTGTTGTCGTTTGAGAATTATCATAAACCAACTCAACTCACCCCATTATGGTTCACTCCCACGACGACATGCTTGGGGAAGTAGTTGGCCGTGTCCTCCTCTGTGCGCAGCTCAAAGAAGACAGAGCCTCCCTGTGTTGTCGTTTGAGAATTATCATAAACCAACTCAACTCACCCCATTATGGTTCACTCCCACGACGACATGCTTGGGGAAGTAGTTGGCCGTGTCCTCCTCTGTGCGCAGCTCAAAGAAGACAGAGCCTCCCTGTGTTGTCGTTTGAGAATTATCATAAACCAACTCAACTCACCCCATTATGGTTCACTCCCACGACGACATGCTTGGGGAAGTAGTTGGCCGTGTCCTCCTCTGTGCGCAGCTCAAAGAAGACAGAGCCTCCCTGTGTTGTCGTTTGAGAATTATCATAAACCAACTCAACTCACCCCATTATGGTTCACTCCCACGACGACATGCTTGGGGAAGTAGTTGGCCGTGTCCTCCTCTGTGCGCAGCTCAAAGAAGACAGAGCCTCCCTGTGTTGTCGTTTGAGAATTATCATAAACCAACTCAACTCACCCCATTATGGTTCACTCCCACGACGACATGCTTGGGGAAGTAGTTGGCCGTGTCCTCCTCTGTGCGCAGCTCAAAGAAGACAGAGCCTCCCTGTGTTGTCGTTTGAGAATTATCATAAACCAACTCAACTCACCCCATTATGGTTCACTCCCACAACAACATGCTTGGGGAAGTAGTTGGCCGTGTCCTCCTCTGTGCGCAGCTCAAAGAAGACAGAGCCTCCCTGTGTTGTCGTTTGAGAATTATCATAAACCAACTCAACTCACCCCATTATGGTTCACTCCCACAACAACATGCTTGGGGAAGTAGTTGGCCGTGTCCTCCT